CGCTGTCTCAACAAACAGGCGCGACGACACGGCGGCCGGCCGACGCACGCGCACCATCGTCCAGGTACGAGCGGCGCGGAGCACGCGCTCACGCGCAGGGACTGGCGGCGCACAACACGGCCAGCCGCGCGCGTACCATCGTCCAGGTACGAGCGGCGCGGAGCACGCGCTCACGCGCAGGGACTGGCGGCGCGACGATAGCGACCGGCCGACGCGCGCGCACCATCGTCCAGGTACGAGCGGCGCGGAGCACGCGCTCACGCGCAGGGACTGGCGGCACGACACGGCAGCCGCGGAGGAGCGGGTGCGCTGCGCCGCCCGGTGTGGCGCCCGTCCGTCGCCGCGACACAGGCCAGTGGTCTCAGCTGGGACGGGATCACACGCCCGGCGCCCGCTCGGACGCTCCACTCCACCGCTGCGGTGCGCTCGGCCCGTGGCAGCGAGATTGTGTTCGGGATTCAGAGCCGGCCATGGTTCGGCATCCCGCCTTGCGCGGGAGACGGCGACGACAAATGAACATGGAGTTGCGTGCGTAGGCGACGACAACGATGTCCCTATTAACGGGACCTGACTCGCCATGAACTCGCTTCTCAAGCGCACAGCAACCTGTTGACCGAGCGAGGAAGTGTCAGCGTAGACACCAGGCGGGACATGACGCATAACTACAGAAACGAACGGCGAGGCCAGCCAGCACGGCAACGCGCACCGGCGCGCGCCTCGCCCCACCCATTACGGCCGGCTTATTTTCAAACGCGCCTAATTGATGCGGCTATTTAGCGGCATCTCCAAACAAACAGCGGCGCCGCCCACCTGGCCGCATAAATCGCCGCGCCTACCGCCGGAAAACACGGTAATGGCGGCCGTATCTCAGTCGGGGACAAACGCGCCGCGCGCGCGCCAGCGAGCCGGCGCCGCGGCGGCGGGGCACGGCCGCTCGCCGTCGCGTCGCTTCCGGCGGGAGGAACAGCCTCGGGTGCCGCCGCGCCGCGGCGGCGCACCGCCTGCGGGCGCCGCCGCCCCCCTGGGTCCGGCCCGCGCCGCCCGAGCCGCGCCGCGACGTGATCATCTCCCCGGCGGTCCGCCGCGCGCGGCGCCCGCCGTCGCCCGCGAGCCGCCGCGATCGTCTAGCCCCCGGCTGCCGACCATGTCTCGGTGGTCGTGCTTGTTCGTCAGCTGCAGGGAGGTCGTTTCGTCGGCGGACGGGCGCCCAGACCCTCGGAGAGCGGCACCGACGGCGGACGGCGCCCGCCGGGTCCGAACGGCCACGGACCGACCGGCGTTCCGGGCACGGTGCTCCCGGCATTGTCGCCGGGTGCCCACGCCAACGACAACACCGACACCCCGGCGAGGATCGCCCCCACCACAGGATGGGAGAGATACTGGGTATGGGTTCAGCTGTCTAAGCGACGCCGCTTAGGCCTAAAGCGTGGCGACTTGGCGCAGACTTGGCGCCACGTGGGTGCGGAGGCCTTGAGGTCTTTGCGGATTCCTTCTGAAGCAATGGAGCGACATCCCACGCCCAGACAGCATGCACAACGAAATCGCCACGCAGCCGCTTGGGCCTATGTTCGCCCAGCCGTCGCCGCGTCGCCGCGCGCTGTGCCATTTTAGCATACCTCGTGTGAGGACGGCGCCTGGCTCAGCGGTCAGAGAGTTCCAGCCCGAGTTATGTCAGCAAGCTCTCCCAAAGCAATCACTGACGACCTTCGGTATATCATGGCGGCTGGGGGACTACACCACAACAGCGTTGATTGAAAGGCCAGGCCGACGGAGCACTCTGGCTGTTGTCATCACCATCAGATTGACGAACGCTGACGCCTTGGTACTGGTTACTGCGCTGGGTGCCAGTGAACGAATCAGGCAGTCTGGCAGCCACCAGCGACCCTGTGGACTGCGCTCCCGCCGGACGGACTGCACTCCCCGTCGGACGGACTGCACTCCCCGCCGGGCTGCCAGCGCGAAGGCCGACTCCCAGGGCGGCTCACCCCTCCCCCGCCCCATCCCCACCGAGGGACCTGCCGCGCTGCCGGCCCGCACCAGCGTGATGACCCGCGGCGCCCCTCCGGGCCACTCACCCCTACGTCGATGTCGTCGTCTTCGCCCAAGGTTCATGTCGTCGAGGTCGAGATCCATCTCGAGCTCTCGCTCCAGCTGGGCCGCGTCCACCTTGGCGGTGGGCGCGGGCGCGGGGGCGGGAGTGGGGAACGGGGCGCGGAGGCGGGGGCGGGGCACAAGGCGCGGGCGCGGGGGCCGCCGGCGGCGCCGGGCTCGGCTTCAGGGGCTCGGCGGCCGGCCGTGGCGCGGGCGCGGCCGCCGGGTCGTCCGTGTCGGTCAGCAGGGGCGCGGCTGCTGACGACGCCGCCGCCGCTGCAGGCCACCCGCCGCCGCCGCCTCAGGAGCCGCTCGGCGCTCGCCGACACAGCCAGGGTCAGGGCGGCCCGGCCTGGTGGGCGACTGCATGGGCGCACGGGCCGCCGCCATCGGCACGGCAAACGGACACGGGACGCGAGCGATCGGGAGAGGCTTATGCGTGCGATCATGGCCGTTCTGATGACGCTCCCTCACCAGGGACCGTAGCCAGATTGCAGCCATGCTGAGGACATCATCCGAGCACTGCGTGACCATACGCAGCCGATGCGAACAGAGCCCAATGCACCATCACTACCTCATATGGCTATCCTCCAAACGACTGAGCGACGGAGCAAATGGGGTAATGCTCCACAGACATGATACACCGACCCGGTGTTGGAACCAAATGCTTGGACTTCAGGCGGTACAAACCGCCAAAAGAAGGCAATACCAAAGCGCAAACGCTTCCCCCAATCCGCAGCATCTCATCACGCGCCGCCCCTCACCTGAGTCCGGGTCCGAGAGGTCTCCGTTCTCCTGTGGCGCCTCCGGCGGCCGGTAGACGAACTTGCCGGCCTCGGTCGCCTCGGCCGTCTCGGCCAGCAGATCACGCTCCCAGTTGGGCTGCGGCGAGGGGCGCCGTCAGCACGGACGCGCGGGCGGGGCTGGCCGGCTGCGCCGCGACACACAGCGACGCTGCGGCACAGTCTGCCGCACCTGGCGCAGGCGGCGGCCGGCACCGCCCGCCCGCGCCACGCGGCCCGCTGATCTTCGAATGCAAGGAAGGCGAAGGGACAGTAACTGTGCTCCGTCCACGCACTTGCAAGCCGTCGTCGTAACTTAAGGAGGATATCGCTGGGATCGAAGGCGTATTCGCGACGTGGCAAGTAAGCGGAAGTGCTGTGGGTGGTGCTTTTGATAGAACGCAGTGACATAATGAGGGATCCTGTTCGCATCAATATAAACATACATGGAACAAACTGCGATTAAAAACAAACCGTTAAGGCCAAATCGCAGACACGGACTTCCAAGCATAACAAATGCCACGCCATCTTTACTTCTTTGATACATGTGCCGGAGTAATCGTCCAAATCCTCCAGTCAGTTTATGATCTGTCGAAAAATTACGCGGATGCATAAGGAAACCAATGCCTCACAATGCCCACGCTGTCACCCAACACGAGCACAGCATCCCCATCCCAGCACCAGCCGGTCCTGCACCGCCCCTTGTTGGCGTCAGCCGCGCTCGGCGCGTGGCGGCGCGCGCGGCGGTCGCCCTCACCGGCACCATGGCGGCGGCGCGCGCCGGCACCGGCCGGCGCGCTGCTGGCCGGCGAACTGATGCGCGCGCAGCGTGGCCGGTCGCTCCGGGAAGAGGTTCTCGTACTCGGCCGGGTCGGCCAGCGCGCGCGCCGCCTTCTCGCTGCTCTGGCTCAGCGACTGCTTCCAGAGGGCGACGACGCGCGACACCTCCGACGGCAGGTAGGTCCTGGCGGGGACGGCGGCGGTCAGGACAGGCGGTGGCGGCGGCGGCGGCCGATGGCGCGCTCACGGCACGCGGAGCCTCAGCTCGACTGAGCCGTCTGCCGGTGGATCGCGAGACCTGGAGCTCGACTCCTCGGCCCCGGGACAGCCTCTGCCGGCCCCACTCTCATTGAGATGCGGTGACGCTTGACAAACGCAGTGCAGCGAATAATGAGTAAGAGACGACCACAGGGGCGTCAAAACTCAGCGCCAGTTAGCACACGTGAGACCGAGGCGCGGCCGTCCTGACGTCAGGCGTGAGACAGGCGTTTGCCCCAGACCTGAGCCAGCGTCGTTCAGGGGCGCGTCCTGCGCGGACGGGGCGAACGGCGCTCACCTCGCGAAGAAGGCCGCCTCAGGCAGCCGCTTGCTCTGGATCAGCACGTCCAGACACTGGTCCAGGTGGCCGGTGATGAAGTAAGAGAGGAAGGCGACGTTGTTCTTGCCGCCGCTGGCCGCCGACTCGCCCAGCTTGGCCACCATACTGCCGTTGCCTGAGGGCACGGTGCTCCGATCAGCGCAGCCCAGCCCGGGTCAGGTCAGGTCAGGTCAGACCGAGCGGTCAGACCGCAGCACTCCCAGGGCCGCGCCTCCAGCGGTATCGGATAGCTCCGGCGTCGAACAGCTCGGAGCAGCGCCTCTGCAGCCGAGTCGCCGTTCCACCACCACCGCAGCGCTCCCCGCCGCCGGGGCGCCGGCTGACAGGGCGCGTCGACCGTGACCAGTCTGCCGACCGCTGACGGCTCCAGGGCCGGAGGGCGGCGGCGGCGGCGGCTGGTCGGCGGGCGGCGGCGGCGGCGGCGGGCGGCTCACCTGCGGCCGTGGCGCAGCAGCAGGCCGCCGTAGTCGTTGGCCTTGTGCAGACACGCCTGGGCCAGCCCCAGCTGGCCGCGGCTGGTGGCCAGGGTCCGCCAGCTGCTTCCACTTGGCCTCACTCTGCCAGGGCAGACGCGCCGAGTGAGCGCCCAGCGGCCCCCTCAGCACGGCGCCGGGGGGGAGGGGAATTCACCTCAGGCGGCAGCGGTGCAGTTTCGCAAAATTAAGTTCGAGGAGGGGGGGCTGAACAGTGAAAATAGCTAAAACTACGCCGAAAGTACGCAAAAAACGGGATTCTGCACTGGTTTGTCGTTTTCCTTCTCAATGTTGGGATCTAAGCTTCCCACCTTCGAATAAATAAGGAACTACGTCCCTAGGAGGCGGGTAGTTGGAAATCCATCGTCACTCAGCAAAGGAAAGTACCCACTGCCAACACTATAATATTATGCGAACATACAACACCAAAGTCCGCTAATAAAAAAGAATCTTTCTCAGGATTTCTCGTGACATTTGCGCATGCTGATCGACTTCCATTTTGTGCACAATGGACCACATGGACGATAGATGTTGGCACGAGCCCGCATTTCATATGTCACAAACACCGGGTTTATTACAAATCAGAGGGCTCCTACCCAAGTTGGAAAACATTGAGATCAATGCAGAAGTTCACTTCAACCTCAGTGATTCTTTGTAGGTCAAACGGGCCAAGCACCTGTTTGTTCATCTAGCAATAAAAAGACATTGAAAACACGAACCCTTTTAAACCGTGCTCTAAATCATAAAAGCCCTCATATAAAATCCTGTCATAAAAGCCTTCCACACTATATTCCATTTGTGAATACGGCACCATCACCTAGATGGAAGTCAAGCCACCTGCCCTTACTTCGAGCCCTCAGGAACTTACTCATTTGTCCGCACTAAGACAACAGTTAACCTTCATCGACCAAGTTACAAATACACAATAGCGTCCTGAGTCAAAACGTTGTCTGGGCCCCCTGCGCTGCTGTGCGGGCAGACTGTGCCCCGCCTAGTCAGCACCAGCGGCCAGGCGGCCCGCCACGGTCGCGCCGCCTCACCTGCTGTTCGACGGCCAGCTGGTAGGCGATCTTGAGCTCGCCCAGCTGCAGCGCCAGCTCGAACCGGTGCTCGGGGTCGGTGGAGACTGCCAGCGCCTGCTGCCGGAAGCCCTGCGAGCCGGCCGCACACCCCCGGTCAGGCCCGGCACCTACACACCCACACAGCGCGCCGGCGCCGCAGGCGGACGCGCTCCAGCGGGAGGCGTCTCCGGCCGAGCACGGGCCGCAGCCACAACACTTCCGGCTAAAATCGCCGAGTGTTGACTTGCGACGGCCGGCCAATCAGGCGGTACACGTGAACCCAGCAGGGTGGGGCCCCCTCCATCGGCCAGTGCCGTCGTCCTGCACGAGCGGGACGCGTCCGCCTCACGCCGGCAGCGGCGCCACACCAGCTGCGGTCCCGCCCCGCCCGCGGACTGACGCGGCTCGCGCACCCCAGCCCGCGGTGCCCGCGCTAGAGCGGCCAGCAGCTTCAGCCGAGCCGAGCTTCAGCCGCGCGCCACGGCCGGACGGCGCCGCGCACCTGCTTCTCGAGGAAGTGGGCCACGCGCGCGCGCTGCTCCTTGGGAATGGTGGGCAGCACGCGGTCGGCCGTCTGGAAGTCCTGCCGCATCACGGCCGTCTGGTACTCCAGCACCGAGAGCAGCAGCGAGAAGCCCACCACGTTCAGCTCCTTGTCGCCCAAGTAGAGCGAGTTGTCCTTGGGCAGGTAGCCCAGCAGGTACATGGTCCTGCGGCGACACGTGCAGTCGTGACACAGCAAGCGCCAGTCTCGTTGGAAGCAAAGTTGAGGGAAATTTCCTGTCGCAATGCTCTCACCTCATACATAATTCTGCGCTCAGTCAGAGGACAGCCAAGCAAGCGCGGCGAATGATGAGGCGGATGCGGGCAACACTCAGTCCAGTGAGAGGCGGTAGAAAGGAAAACCTACCGACCGCTCTTTGCGGGCGTCATCGCCAGCTGACGGGACAACAATACCGATGGCGTGAACTGTTGGCCGACGCACGCCCAGTGCCGCTGCCCAGCGAGCCAAAAGGACGCTCGACGGGACCGACCTGTGGCACACCACGCACGTCCGACCGCAGTCGCCGTGTGACCCGGGACTCAACGCACCTGTCCAGGTGGGCCACAGTCACAATCTCGCCGCCCACGTAGTAGTTGAGCCGGTTGACGCCGTTGGTGTAGATGAAGCAGTCTCCGACCCACAAGCCCGTCTTGACCGTCTCCTGCACCTCTCCCAGCACCTGCAGCGCGCGCGTCAAACAGCGGAGTCAGCCCGGCAGGAGCAAGGAGCGTTCGCACCGGCTGTCAAATAATCGGGGACGAGTCTGGCTCGAGGCGCACTCGCAAACCTTTCCAGACCAGCTTCGAAGCCCCTTAGTCCCGGCCACCGCACTTGAGAAGAAAAACAGCCCCTGTCCGCAGGTTTACCGCGGGTCCCTGTTGCAACACCAGCACAATCACCAGCGCAGGCCGCTCCAACACACCTCACTTGGTGTTGTCCCGATGATCACCTCGCATCTGATGCAGCAGACATCTCACGCCAGCCCCAGCCCGCCCCCGCTGAACCCCTTCGGTGCACTCACGTCGAAGGCGTCATCGACGCCGTCCTCAGTGACGCCCTCCTTGGTCTCCTGCGCCTTGGCCACCAGCTCCGGCGAGTACTTGAGCACGAAGTAGCTCTCCTCAGTCGCTATACACACCTGCCGACCATGGGAGTCAAGCGTGTCGGGCCGCGCAGTGGGAGCAGCTGTCGTTCCGCAGATCCGGCAGGCAACACAGGTGAACCGCACACGTGCGCACGCGCTGAAGGCCCGGCCCGGTGGCGTTCCACACGGCCTCTACTCTCGAGCTCCGCGCATGAACACACCCCCGCACCGCTCCCCCGACCGCTACCTCCTCCCCCAACAAACACCTGCTGATACTCAGGGCTGATAACAGGTCGGGAGCACACACAACAGCCACCCGCTGTGTGCTCCTCGCCCTGGCATCCGCGGTGAGTACAGCGCCCCCCCCCCCCCCCCCCCCCCCCCCATCGCCGTCGCAGCGCCGGGCGGACCCGCCGAGCCCGCGCCGGCCAACGCACCAGCGTGCCGCCCTCCGACCAGTACACGTGCTTGGGCTGGATCTCGATGCGGCGCACCAGCTCCAGACTCTCCCAGTCGTAGAAGGCCAGACCGGAGACGGTGCGCACTCCCAGCAGCTGGCCGCCGAATATCGCTGCGGCGGCGCACGCTCGGGTCAGAGCGGCGCACCCGCGCCGTGTCAGCCAGTCATTCACGCGTCACACACCAGCCGACTGTACGGCGCACACGCACGCAGTGGATGAAAATATCGATACGCCCGCGTGCGCTGGGCGCTGCTCGCGCAGGACAGCAAGAACAAGAAGGTCGTGGTCATTCGCCGGCAGATGCACGCCACATCGGGCCGGAGCACGCTGTGGACGAGAACACGCGCCGGTCCACAACCCACAGCCTCGGCGCCGGCGGGCCGTCAGCTCACCGTCGCAGCCGAAGTCTGGCTTGAATGTCTTCTTCTCCTTGAAGTTCTTGAACAGCTTGATGGTGGTGGAGTTCTCTCGCACGGCGTACTCGGACGAGTCGAGCGCCCACACAAACTCCTGCGCCGCGCCGAACGCCTTGTTGCGCAGCGCCATCGCCGTGTAGATGATGTACTCGCCGTCGCCGCAGACCACAACGAACCTGGCGGTCACCGAACGAAACGCTGGGACAAAAGGGCCTCGACCGACGCAGAATGACAGGCACGAACTGCGGCGCACCCGTGGGTAATTCAAGGCGCGTGCTTTGGAGGAGAACGGGGGACGCAGGTGTTGAACAGGATGTCACGGCCGTTCTCGATCCAGTCCACATATTATACTGGAGAGTATTAAGAAAAAACGACAACCATATTACCATAGTCCGCATGGCAGCGTCCGGCGCGGGTGCCCGCATAAATTAAGTTTGTAAACAACCCACATCGTTACAGCCTAAACAAACACTAAACACAAATAGGCCACCCTGTACCGGCGCAGGCCAGCTGCCCACGCCCACAACAGCTTTCACGTCCGCGGAAAGTGCCGCGCAATAAAAGCCACGAGCGCAGGGCAACCACCCTCCGGCTATCAGTAGACAGGTGGCTGAAGCACACCCGCGATTCTCGCTCACGCCTCAATCATCCCAAAACAGCCCCAGCTAGAACCAGACCTAAAAATACACCGGACACACGTGCTGCCCGCCCCGGCGGCTGACCTGCCGTTGGGGTTGTGCGCGATGGTCTGCGGGTAGATCTCGCAGCTGCCCATGTCCTTGACGGCCAGCGGCAGTCGCTCGCCGTCCGGCAGCTCGGCGTCCGTGATCGCCTTCAGGTTGGCCTGCTGGATCTCCGAGTGCTTGGCCCAGATGATCTTGCCGCTTGAGTCCATCGACATGGCCGGCTCCTCGCGACCCACCTGGCGGGCGGCGTCGCGTCGGGGCGTCAGCGAACCGGGTCGCACGCGGGGAGCGCGCGCCACATCGACCACCGGTCAGCTGGTGCCAACACGCGGTGGCTCCGTTCGAGCCCCTGACGCTACAAGCCACGCGTCGCACAGCCCTCCTTCTACGCGAATACGTGCCGTTACGATGGAGAATGACCGCGGTACGCGATAGTCCCGACGCCCATCGCCGACACCACTGTCGAACGCGCCCCAGGTCGAACGGCATGCAGGACCCGGACTCGGAGCAGCCGGTCACCACGGCCGCGCACCGCTTCCTCCCACCGCTCTCCAGACCTGCGCCGTCCTCCGGGGCTTCCCGCCCGCCGCAGAGCCGCGGCGCGCCCCACGCGCCGCCACCTGGCGTCCGAAGGCGGCCGGCCGAGCGCCGACTGACCTTGATCATGATGCTGCCCTCGTCGTAGCCCATGGCCACGTTGTTGGTGGCGCGCGTGGCCGTGATGGTCCAGACGCGCTCCAAGCCGTAGTTGAGCGTCGACTCGAGCCGGTACGTGTTGGCGTGCCAGATGCGCACCGTCCCGTCCTCCGAGCCCGTCATGATGATCGGCAGCTCCGGGTGGAAGCACACTGCAACGACGCCACACCCGGTCGGCGCGCGTTGTGCACGAAACCGTCACGCGACACGCGCGCCGGGCATGAGCGCACTCTCAGATGGTGACCATACGTGCCTTAGTTTCATACACAGAATGGGCGTTGGCGTATGTGCATGTGCGTGCGTCACACCAAATCACTGACTGCACGCACGACACTGCACGATGTAACGCATGGTGGAGTGTCTGGCGTGCTCAGTGCAATACTACGATACAGTAGACGGTTCACCCAGCCAGAAAGCCTTAGCGCCTTAACAAATGCCGACGCAAGCGAAGCCTACAGTAACCGGAAGTGTTGGTCCTTCCCAGACTCGCAACGTGTTGCATGGTGAGTCTGGGAAGGAAATCTACACCGACGCGTAGGTGTGACGTGCCCCCGACAACCTTATCACCATAAATGCCACAGCGACGCCAATGCGGAGCCCGTTTCCCCCACCCCCACCCGGGCGCCTCCGGCTGGGCCGCGGCGCGTGCACGCACCTGCCGAGATGTTCTGGGCGTGGCCCTCGAGCGTCTGCACGCACGTCTTGTTCTGGTAGTCCCAGATCTTCACCAGCCGGTCGTCGGCGCCCGAGATGAGGTACGGCTTGTCACCGCCGTGGTAGTAGTCGACGCAGTTGACGCCCTTGTCGTGGCCTTCCAACGTGAAGTTGGGCGTAGCCGAGCCCAGCTGCCACACCTGCCGCGGGGGTGGGCAGAGGTCGGAGGTCAGCACGGTAGCACCGCCTACATCACGGCCAGACGCTACCGCCTCCCGCTTGGCCCATTGGTTCAGCAGGCTGTATACTGGCGAGAGTTCAGAAGGCAAGCGGAAGCACCGACGATTTGTTCATAGCTATTTTCCCAAAATGCAGACAGGACCATGAAACCCGAAAGCAGCGGAGTACGTTGGCAAAGGATGGCTGCAATGGATGCGCACATAATATCCAAGCATGAGTGCTTTCTAGGATGGCTACTCAGATCGAACCACAGCTCAAGAAGCAGGCTGCGGGCTCCCAACTGAGCTGGTCACACACCTTAACCGTCCGGTCGAGGGAGGCGCTGGCGAAGGTGTTGTTGTCTTTGGGGTTGACGACAATCTGCATCACATAGTGGGTGTGACCTTCGAACACCTGCTGGCAGGCCCACAGCTTGTCCCAGTTCCACAGCTTGATCATCATGTCGTCTGCGGACGGAGAGGAGAGCCGCGGCGGTCAGCGGCTTCTGCCACGGCCGGCGAGCGTGCCTCTGCCAAGCGCGCAGAGACGCTCGCGGTCCTCCGAGTGAGTGTGAAGTGTGGCGCGTGAGTCAAAGGAGTTAACGGAGCCATCACCAGCCACCGCCAAGAGCCGTTTGCTTACAGAAAATTAGATCTTATCCACGCGATGCACGTTGCTTAAAAGTGGCAACTTCATATCAGCAGACGGAACGCTATTTTTCTACAGTAACGTCATGGTAACACCTTGGGCGCTCCTACCACCTCAAACACGAAGAGAGAACGTCTGGAGAACGCCCACACGGAAGCTCCACCCACCACGGCAGCACGGCTGTCACCACAGCTAACGCGCAGCCTCCCGACCCCACGCCAGCGCCAGCCCGCGCTGGCGCTGCGCCGCGGCGCGTCCCCAGCGCCCCGCCCCCAGCCTCGCCGGCCGGGTCGGCGTCGCCGCTGCCGTACCGCTGCTGGTGAGGATGAACGGCTGCGTGGGATGGACGGCGATGCAGCGGATGTAGTCCGAGTGGGCGTCGAACATGTGGCTGCGCTCCAGCGTGTTGTAGTTGAACACGCGCACCTGCATGTCGTCTGAGCCAGTGATGATCCAGTTCTTGCGCGGCACAAACTTGACGGCGCGCACCGGCAGGTCGCACACCTGCCGCGCGCCAAGGTCAGGTCAGTCAGGTCAGTGGGGGAAGGGTTGCGGGGCACAGACGACGGCACTGCGCTGCCGCGAAGATGTTGATGTAAAGACACGGAAAGAACGGAAAAAAGACACAGAACACGTGCGTCAATCCTCGGCAAGGTGGCGGCGAATGGACGTGCGCAAAATGGTACAAAACGCCACGCGACAGACAGATTGACAGCACACCACGCTACGTCAGCCTGAACGTGGCGCCGGCGAATCACAGACGTCAGGCCACCGTGGCGCAGCCAGGGACACGCCCAGGAGTGAGCCAAATCGAGTCATAGGGGTCCCTTTCATGCAGGGAGCTCCCCTTCGCTGCTTAGGGACCATGCTCTTTATTCAAGGATCTTTATGGCTCGGGATCCCATTTTTATGTATGGAGGGCCCATCTTGGGATATCTTGGAAGCCGAACGGGTGTCTTGAATTGCTAAAAAGTCACAAAGGGACCCGCCACCTCCCAGAATGGGGGCGGGGGAGCATGGCCCCAACATCTCTCCCTCCGCTACGCCAATGTCAGGTCGCTCGGCTAATGCAAGCCGCCCACGAACTATGCCAGAGCGTACCTCGAACGATTTGATGAGCTGCGAGGTCTCGTGGTTCCACACGTGCACGTTGCCGTTGTAGAGCGAGGCCAGCATCCATGGCTCGGTGGGGTGGATGTCCACGCACTTGACGCGGTCTGAGCGCGCCGTCAGCTTCCGCTTGATGTCCAGCCGCAGCGGCTGCAACACACACAGGGGGTCACCATCGCTATCACGCGCCCGCTGAGGCGTCGCGCCGGTCAGGGCTCGGCAGCGATATCAGCTCCAGCATGCTGACGGGGCGAAACTCGCTAACGTCCCGCCGGTGGCGCGGTATGCGGGCACCCGTCCCACACGACCCCGCACGAGAGCACACGAAACTGAGGTGTTGTTCCTGTGGTGGTCAATCCCGCAGCTCCATGGGCTTTGGCTACTTGGCTCGAGGTTTCACACAGGACACATGTTTGCAAACATGTTGTCTATCTGTCATCACGCCATGCATGGAATAGTGACGCTCGAAAAGGATCCTGCAAAAGCGGGATCATTTGCATAAAACGCACGTTTTCCGATACGGCATAGCTATTACTGTCTTTGACACTGAAAAGTGTATCAGTTGTATTTTAATACATAATAAGCTTCATTCAGCGTGTGTTCAAACGATTACACGTTCAATGTAATACAGAATAATATGCGCAATTCATTTAATGTTGACATATAATGAGTGTCGACGACCTCATCCATAGCATGCTATACCACAGGTTAAAGAACATAAAAGTTCCTGGGTGAACTGCTCCCTCTCAACTAAAGAAGATAAAGAGAGAGAAACCGAGAGGAAGTGTCCGTTTTCATCGCATCTTCCGACACCGGCATGGCGGACCGGATAACAGCCACCGACTACATGATGACGAATCTGACCGAGTCGGACTCGTGCGACTCGCTGCCGTATTGGGTGCGCCGCCCGAGCCCCGAGCCGCTGCCCGGCCTGGCGCAGTCCGAGTCGATGCTGTTCCTGCCCGTGCATGACCTGGGCACGGTACGGCCGCACCAGATAATGGGTACGCCCGACGAGCTCTACACGGAGGCGGCGCGCCGAGAGCTGCAGCAGTTCCCGGGCCTGGTGGCGCCGTCGCCGGCGCCGCCGCAGCACGTGCTGCTCGAGCATGTGGCGGCCGACGAGTTCTGGCGCGACGAACCGGAGGACGCACCACCCGAGGCCGACCGGCCGCTGGCCGTGTGGCGGAGCTTCCTGGCGGCGCGCCGGCGCCAGGAGCGGCTGCTGGCCGGCCGCACGCACCGGCCGCCGGCCGCGCTCGCCATGCACAGCGGCGGCGACTTCCTACTACGCGCCGAGCGCCAGCTGGAGCGCACGCTGGTGCACGGGCCGGCGGCGGCACGGCCGGCCGGCCACGGCTTCTGGCGGCTGGCCAGCCGCTTCGGCGGCGAGCTGCACGGCCTGCAGGAGACGCTGAGCGCCGAGCGCGGCCAGCAGCGACCGCGCGTGCCCGAGCGGCTGCACGTGGCGCGCGTCATCCGCGAGGAGCGCGGCACGGCGCCGCTGCCAGGCGGTGAGACAGGCGCGCGCGCCGGCGCCTTTCACCGCGACTGCCGGCCGGCGGCGCCGCCCGAGCAGCAGGACCTGGTGGTGGTGGGCCACGCCGTCAGCCGCGAGGACGAGGCGCCGGCGCCGGCGGCCGAGAGCCGGCCCGCGTCGGCCGCCTCCGACTCGGCGTCCGAGAGCTGCTGGTCAGACGTGGCGGCCGGCGGGCCGCGCCTGCTGCTGGCCGGCTGCGAGGCCGTGTACCGGCGCGCCGCCTCCTCGCGCACCGCGCCGGCCGTCAACGCCGCCGTCAGCCTGTCGGCGGGCGCCGGCCGCCTCTGTCGGCGCTTCGTGCCGCTGGCCAACGGCGGCCCGGTGGCAGTGTATTACAGCTGGCGGGCAGTGCCGCGGCCCAACCACTTCACCGGCCGCCATCCAACGCCGGTGTTCTTTTTCGACAGCGGGCCGGGCGTGGCGCTGCCGGGCGCCGCCATCCAGCTGCCGATCGTCTTCTACGCGGCCGCGCCCGGCCTCTACTCGGAAGAGTGGGACCTGGTGACGGTGCCGCGGCTGGAGGGCGGCGCGCCACTCCGGCTGCGCCTGTACGGCCTGGCCGGCCTGCTCGACCCGCACGGGCCTGATCGACGGCAGCTGACGCTGGAGCTGGAGCGGGGCGTGGCGCGCGCCGCCGCCCGCCACGTGCTCGAGCTGCTGTTGCGGCGCGCCACGCTCAGGGAGGAGGTGCCGCCGGCGCCGCGGCCGGCCGACACGCTCGAGATGCGCTTCCGCTCGTCCAACCCAGGCCTCCAGTACCGCACCGAGGTGGTGCGGCAGCTGATGCAGCTGCACCTGGACGTGGTGGCCGCGCGCGAGCCGCCCGAGCGGCGACGCGGCTCACGCCGCGGCCGGCGCCGCGGCCGCGCGTCGGAGGCGCCGGTCGAGCCGTGGGACCTGAGCTGCGCCGGCCTGAAGGCAGCCGTGCTGGCGCTGGAGCGCGGCGCCGACCAGGACCGGCTGCTGACGCGTCTGTACGAGCTGGTGGAGCTGCTGTGGCGGCCGGCCGACTGGCCGCCGCCCGTCTCGGCCGCCACCGTCGTCCGCTCCGGCCTCGTGATCGTGATCCAGCGCTTCTCGGAGGCGGCCGCCGAGCTAGAGCTGCGGCTGGGCGCGCCGCGTGCCGCCGCCACCGCCACCGCTACGCCCGAGCCGGCCGAGCCGGCCAGCGCTAGCTCGCCGCAGCAGCAGGCGGCCGGCAAGCGCGGCGCGCGCGCTGCCGAGCGCCGCGAGCGCAAGAAGCGCTCGCCCAAGAAGCCGCCGTCGCCGGTGGAGGGGCGCGGTCGCGGCCGCGCGCCGGCGGTGCCCGTCACCGACTCTGGTCAGAGCGTGACTGGCGGCGAGGCGCCGGGGCCGGCGGCGGCAGGCGCCACACCGGCCACACCGGCCGTGGCGCCGGCCGTGCAGGCCCGCCTGCGCCGCGGCCTTTACGCCATCATGCGCTCGCTGCTCTCCGACTTCCTGGAGGACATCACGGAGCCGCTGGAGGCGGTGGCCAGGCCGCCCGACGAGTTCCTCATCTGCGACAGCATGTGCGGTTCGCAGCGGAAGTAGAGGCGGGACGCGACGTGTCCACCACTGCTGGTGTGGCACATCAGGACGGCTCGAGCAGCGGGCTGGCCGGCGCGGCGAACGGAACGGCATCCCAATGGAGCTTTGTGATGACTGTGTATCTGCTGAGCTGCCCATCCCCGACCGGACGGATAGTCTACGGTGATACCGACCAAGCGTCGGTGCCTTGCTGGGGGCATCACTACAATCGGTTTAAGGGTGTCACTGTTAAGTGAATTGTTGCCTTTAAATCTGCACTGTTATACATGTGATTTGTGTTAACGTTAAATCCAAAGTTACCTTACAGTCATTTTAAGAGTGGCGATTGTGCATACAACATTATTAAAGTTCCAACTCTCGTTTCAGCGCCAATAAGACGAGAACATTACGCCGAACACCAAGGACAACATGCCCATGCACCCAAGCTTATCTTACCGCTGTGACTGCAAATAAGCGAACTGCAACCAAAACAACGAAACAATGGACACAAACCCGCTGTCGGCTTTTGCCTCGGCTCGTAACGACGATGACCAGTCAATAACTTCCATGTACAGATGCCTCTACTGTGGCTGCAATTATATGTTTGTGTAATCTACGCCGCTTTTGCGAGGCGTACAACGTGCCTTCTACCAGGCAGGTTCTTTCAGGCTAACGAGAATACGTACAAACGACCCCTGGATGATTCCAGGAGACTATATAATAAACTTGTTCAGTGGGCACCAAAACGTCCCAACGTCCATACTGTTCAGGAACCTCTTCCCAGTTTTATGGCAATGTCTGTATCCTTCTTTCTCAATGCATCACGATGCAATCTTGTACAGCTAATTATCAATTCTTTGTGCATTGAGCACATTACCCAAACTGTTTGTGACATCATAACACAGCCTTGGACTGTCAGTTTTCAAACCTGTATGCACCTTGCCAGCAACCTTCAACTTTCTCCACATCACTTCATTACCCTACAATACAAACTGATTCCCAAAGGTCTGCAAAGCAACATCTAGTGAAGAGCGTTGTTTCGCGCAGCCAAAACCATTTTGTGTGTCATTGGGGCTTTACGACGCACCCAGCTGCTGAGGCTATACGGCGTCCCTACCTCTCACCATGGCAGGGAGGGCGGGCAACGCGGGGAATCGAACCCCGTAACTCTGGTTTCCCAGACGCGCAGTGCTTAACGCAGGCGCCAAAACCATTTTTGCACCCACTGGAACTTATGGCATCAGCAATTATCGCACAAGTTTTGAGGAGTGGTTGAGATAAGGCGTTAGCAGTGCGGACAGATACGGGTATTTTGGGACACCTGCCCTCATCTTCTGTTCAAGTATGCATGCAACATTCGGGATGGTTTGGTTATGCTGCCATTGTCAGGTGTTAATAGGTTCTGGAAATGACCACCTGGTTTTGGCTTTCAGCCATGTATGAGTCAGCACTGAGAAGATGCATGGTATGTTAGGAGCAAAAGGTCATGCAAGACCATTTTCTTTGCAGAGTAAAATGCTAGCTGCAGTAAAGGAATAACATCACAAAGCTGAGCAGTTTGAGTTTGCATGGAGCTAAACCAGAGCTAGATTGTTAAAAGACCTAAGCCAAAGCCAGCTGTTGATAATGACATTAGGCCAAAGTTTGTAGTTTTAAAAAAGCCACTTTGATCTTGAATTCAATGTCCAGCCACCTGGGTGGCAGGGATGCCAATATTTTGTCATTACATTATACCTGCAGCTTGGGGTTCATGCCTGTTGCCCCTCCCCTCACTAAAAGTCAGCCAATCAGAACATCTGGGTAGTGGTCATCCCAGCATCTAAGCACCTCAGGCTTGACAAATGGGCCTGGCATGTCAAATGTCTGGGTTCAGGATCAAAGGGCAAAGAATAGGCCTAGCATTTGTGCGCAGAGGGTGCTGAAGAACCAGGATTCTGGCAGCATGAATTTATAGTCACATGCTACACACCATACTGAATGAATTCTGAAGTGCTGCAGCTGTGGAAAATGGCTAGAAACCAAGTCTGACTCCAAAGCCATTGAACAAAAAATGTGACCTCACAAAGCCAGAGTCAGCTTCATCTACATGCCCAGACCTTTTTACAGCAAGCCAGCATCATCACAAACATAGCGCATAAGCGTGATGTCCTCTGAAATACATTATGGAAAATCCTAAAACCTTAGGTAACATACATTTCCTCTCAGACACAAACAGAGGCATCCATTACACATGGGATCTTCACTACACAGGTGTATAAAACCATCCAATGAGATTGGAAGTGTGATTCGGCCTGAGTGATTAAGGTGTCATTAACATTTAAATTTTAAAAAACTTGAATGGCAAGTTGAAGGCCAAATATGCATCACCATGACATATTGAGCCTAACTTTGCCACTCTGGATAATGTATTACTTAGATAGTCTCATCATTACTGCTATGCTACACAAAGTGATGAACCCTACCTGGAATCATTCCCAAGACCTACCATGCCAAATACACTGTGAAGAGCCAACAGCAGATGGTTCAGCTGAAGAATGACAGAAAGGCTGTAGATACAGCTGATCAAGAAATGTTCACAAAGTTCACCCACATGGGGAATACATGGGAGTTATGGGTATCACTGATGAAGATCCCTGCTTCATTTTTTGATAGAATTCTGATAAATATACACAATCTGGTTATCAAAAATGCATCATGTAACAAGACATCAAACTAAGCATTTATACACATGCAAGCATAAAATCCAGGTTTCCAAAATTAATGCTCACACTGGCATGTATAACACAACTTCACAACTGAAATGGAGGCCATAATTCAGCTTGACACCTTGCTCAACCACCCAGACCAATAAAGATCTTCTTGTGCATTGTTCAGCAATCCAACAGCCACCAAATTCCCAGTGATGGCACAGCCACCATGTGGTTGTTGTAGTCAAATTGTCATATCATGCCCTACAAACCCAGCAAAGTCCCCTGTATTCAGTGGGATCATTGCTGGTCTTGCCTATATGTGGGGCCTTCCATAATTTATGCTATGCGTGGAGGAATGGGGGGGGGGGAGATTAATGAAATGTAATAGAAGGACAACAGGGAAAAGGTCAGGATTTAAATTGCTCAACATTATGCACAGGCATGGTTCCTTAAAAAATTAAAACCTAAAGGCTGCATATTATAGGCTTCCTCTCATGACAAGGAGCAGTGCTATCATTTGTGTCATATCTCTAGCCCCATTAGGATTAAACAGACATCACATGTAACAGTGTGACAAGGGAAGCAGGGGCGGAGGGGGGGGGGGGGGGTATCCACACATTCATTGCACAACCAGATGGAAAGGGAAGGTTTGACAGTAAAAATTAACTACCATTCATTCATCAAATCCTACAGAGCAAATGAGTAGTATTTAATAGGCCAGATCAATAACTTTGGGCAGAATACTCATATCACTTATAGAATAAGTGCCCTGTCCTTATCCTTCCCAGTTACCCTAGTTGGTAGAACACAATCATAATACCCTTATTAAAATCCCAGCAATTCCACAGAGAAAATTCACATGGTGATGCATACATGCATGAAAACAGAATGCACTCCAGTCCTCCTCAGGATTCCATTACACCTGGTGATGGTAGTTAGCTGACTAAAAGGCTGCAGGGTGCTGCTGGTATAGTGCTTAACATGCATGTGTTCACTGCTACACTTCTGGAAGACCAGAGGTACATAAATTGATTCCCTGTGGTGTTCACCCCTCCTCCCAGAGTCATAGGCAGGTGATGCCATATAGCCTCAGCTGCTGAGTGTGTCTTTAGTCCCATTGATGATGACATAAAGGAGGGGCTGTGTGAATACTGATATACTTGACAAGAATGACAGTACGGTCATTTCATATCATGTCTGATCAGCTTACCATATCCTACACAAACTGCATTCCTTTGCCATGCAGGAGTAACATGAAATGCCAGAATTAGCAAAATGGGGAGTTCATGACAGTAGACAACTAGTGCCTGGTGGCATTCCTGTGGTACATGCCCATCTTCCCACCATTACTGCACAACAAAAGGTCTATTCCATCAGCACGTTCACCAATCACAGGTAACCTGTCCCCGGCAAGACTAAAGCATTAAGAGGCGCAGCACACCTACATGGATATTTTCTTTCTCAAAGCCGGCCTCCACTATCCTTACCATTTTGGAATTAGTTGATCACTAGTTATCGGCTGGAACTCCAGATCAATGCAGTCTCTTCCTTCGATATGTTTGTCCCGATAAATTCTTCTTCATGCAGGCTCAGGCAGACAAGTGAGATGGAGCCAGGCCACTCTTAAGATGAACCAACAACCATTCACACAACATACGCTCCAACGCAAACTTGATAGCGAGCCACCGCATATGTACAGAAGGCAAACCATGGATGATACATATGCGACGCACTATAGCCAGCTTGTCAGGTTTATAGAGATGAAAAGGAGCACCAATATTGAACTTGCCATTTTATGATGAGATAAATCAAAATTGTGTAATATCTGTGCACTCATCTAGCGCTATATTTCGCATATGTGCCTGGTATATTTTTTCAATTTCACTGGCAAAGGTTCATTACTTCTAATTACGAAATATATGATGAAACTACGAGCTGACACAACTCTTGCAATTCTAAACCCATCCCTCCTTTCTTTACGTGGCTTGGAAATACGTACTAAAACGCTGTCAGATTGTAACTTGTACATTTCAACACTGCAGAACTGTACATACGGCAGCAGTCGAAAACGAACAACAAAAGGGGATGTGTACATGAGGTTTTCAAATCGCGACAGGCTGATCAAATTATTGCCTTATAACGGGGTCTAGATCGTTCAATACATAAGGGTGTAAAACTAAGAAATCATTTCCGTGCCGGGCTGAAGAAGCGTACGCTGACACTCCTCCAAATTTTTGTTTCTGGAATATATAAGCATGCCTTATTTATGAAGGCAAATTTGCATTCTTTATTTGCACCATTTATCAAAAAGCCCTCAATTTACCAGCATGACAGTTATCAACAGCGAGTAATGCCCGGAGCAAATCGGTTTTGTTAGAAAGCTTTTTGCTACAGTTTTGCAATATTCCAGCCAAAAATATTTTGGGGAAGCCAAGAATGGGGAGGCTGGTATCATACAAAAAGGGCACAGGGAATTCGCAAAAAAACACCTCTACTTTCAAGAATACTCAACTCCCCAGGCCCTCGTTTTCTGGCAGGCCATCTTTCCCAGCCCAAGGCGTAATGCTCATAACAACTAGGAGCGGTACCGCTTTCAGGACGACATGATTGGGACGCTTTAGATGAGCGAATTTTTGCGCCACTTCGGGCACAGTTAGTGTTCCGCATCCCCATGCACCGCAAGAATTTGGCTCTCGGAGAGTCTCTCTCTCTATGAGACTGGGGGGGGGGGGGGGGGAGGGAGATGCCACTAGTGATATGGGAGGAATGTGGGCAGGACAAGGATTGAGGACGAGAACCGTTGTTGAAATGATGGCATGAGCCTAACCGACAGCGGAGCTGCGCAAGGCCACGGAAATGCAGGCCATGACTTTCCGCTCTTACTGGCGGTGTCCCTGCTTCTTCCTGCTCGCTGTTGGGGACCAGAATCCGGGCAGAGGAGCGTACTTACCTACACTTATGACACTCCCTGCTAGACATGCGTGCAATGACCAGGTAGTCTGTGTGAAGTAGGTGTACCGAATTCAGAGAAGAAAAAAAATTGGTAGGTGCGAACGCTTCGTTTCCCCGCAGATAGCTGGTAGGTTTATTGGCGTGCCCGCCCGATACGTCTTCTCCGTATGTCCCCCCCCTCCCCCCCACACCTCATCTCATGTGCTGCTGGTCGGCCCGGCCGGCCCAACCGGTTGTCGCAAGCGGTCCTCACAGCGGTCACAGAGGCGGCCTCAGGTTCCAGCTTACCACACCTCTCCGAAATGGTTGTGACGGTTGATATGTATATAGGTTGACTGTTAACAGTAGCAACCAAGAGGTGTCGCCACTTACGCGGCGGAGTGCTTGATGACAACCGGGGTCGGGTACTCAGCTCGGATGTGTGGATTGTTCGGGAGTCTGGAATACATAGCTGCACGCGGCCGGTGCGCTGAGCGAATTGTTTCGTTGATCATCCACGGACAGATCAACGGTAGCACTAAAACATTTTCTTTGTGGGCAGATCATGCACGCCATACAAACGTTACAGCGAACTGTTAAGAATGTAGAAATGCTCAACACTTTACATGCACACCCAGAGAGCGATAACAAATAACAAGATCACAAATACAAACTGAATATAATATGCAGTCAATCTCAACAGAGTGAGAAAAGTGTTTGCCAGGTATGGAAACGAGACGCCAATCTTGGCCACCAAATCAATCACACCATTGCAGCCGGGGGTCCACAACGAGACAATGCGGAGCACGTCGCACTCTTTCGCTGCGGCGTAAAGGCGCCGGCTCACGTGTTTTGTTGAGATCTTGGCCGTCACGGCCGCGGCGCGGACTTTCGCGCTCTTTAGGCGGGCTCGCACTTGGGGTTTTCCTGCTGTGTGGGGCATGCGAACACGGTAGCAGCGAGCGATAAGCATGCAAAAATCGTCGGTTACGCCTGGGAATGCGGTTACTGGGCATCTTCACAAGATAATCACCGTGATCACCGACCCCCACGACCGTACCAACCGGTCCCACCGGCCTGTGCATCGATCCTGGACATCAACGGTCACTCCGACTCGAATGTTGTACAGGGGTTTTGCGGTGCTGTCGTATATACATATACAAGGTAGGTCTTGCCGGCATGTTGAAGGTAGTCAGCTGAGACGGACTCGAAAACTCTGCTTGGTAGCAGGTCCACCATCATCGGCTCCTTCCGATGGCTGGGCAGCAGTACTCTGCTGGCACGGCAGGAACTGACGATGCTGGCCACGTCGTTGTCATTGTTTGGCCAGCATGCGGTTTGTCTCGCTCTCGTTCTCGTTCGATTGATGCCTCAATGACTGTCATGCAAGCTACACAGGACTCCCGCCCTCAGACTGCGAGGGATGACGAGTCGGGGCTCACACACAATGAGGTCATCATCCACGATGATCCGTTCGCGGACACCTCAGAAGGGCCGCATTGCGACACTCAGTTTTCCCTTTGCGCCAGGGAAGCCAGTGGCTATGAATGCCCGCAACTCCTGGTATTCAGCGTCTTGTTCAGGTGCTGCGCGTACCTGCTCTAGCGGAGCCCCGTGCAGAGACATGAGACGGGAGCCGTCATGGGTGACTGCGTTGACAGCTGTCATGAGAACCTGACGGACGCGCTGACTCAGCTCTACTTCTGCCTCCCCATCCTCGAGAGTCAGGTCGCAGTCGTTCTACAGCAGCCGCCGGGAGAAGTGAGAGTCCACGGGACGTCTCGGAACGCCGGTGCGGCGGAGAGGTGAGACGCTATCGGAGCGACCATGCGCAGTATCGCATCATGGTGTCTGATGTATCATCAGATCCCACGTCTCACAAGACGCCGCAGATTCCTGCCATCGTCGAGAATCTCATCAGCAATGGTCGTCTGTCATGGACTCCCGATACCGGAGCTGAGTCCAGTCACCGGTCCTGAATATGCCAGTGCGATTGGTGTCTTGGCAACGGTCACAGAAATGGCAAAATTTGTGGATCTCTTTGACTGCAATCAGTAAATCATTGAAAGGTCTCCCATCAGGCTCTTGCGACCGCAAAAAGAATTCGCGGCGATCCGAGATGGTTTCTCTATTTATGTTAGCGCTCACCGATCCTGTCGACAATGACATCAGTGGTGGCGGTTGCATTGATCAGGTCAACACCCAGTGAACATTTCACGAGCCTCATCAAGTCGTCATCGAGAAGTGCGATCAGTCCCGTCTTTTCTTCCTCCAAAGGTGGGCTGGCCACTCACTTCAGCTTAAAGCCACCATTCAATTTTCTTCCCGCGCAGACAATTCTCGCAGAGATGCGCCTAATGATGGGTGGTGAGCGGATGCTAGAGCCGCTGACAAACAGCCTCCAATGCGTGCTGGTGGCTCTCCTTCACCCTGTGCAGCGGTGCGGACCTGGTGATTTTGCGAGGACAGGCGTGGACAGCGTTAGGAGGCGTTTCGTTAATCGCTCTTCTTTCTCCCGGGCTTCCTGCCGGTCCAGAGCCGCTACCTCCATTTGCTGTCTCAGCAGGGCAATCGGCTGCTCCACCGCCGTCTGTGCTGGATTGACTGATAATGAGGCCTTGTACAATTTTACAGCAATGCCCGAGCGGCCGGAACAGGCTCAGGCCTAGTCCTGCCGACCGCGCCATGATAGGTTTATTGGCGTACACGCCCGATGTGTCCACTCCACATGTCCTCCTCACCACATCTCTCGTGCCGCCGGTCGGCCGGTCGGCCCAGCCAGTTACCGCGGGCGGTCTCGGGTCACAGAGATGAAGTCAGGTTTCAAATCATCACAACCATATCTGATCCCACCACGTCGGTTGGCAGAGCTCGCACCGGGATGACTGTGTCAGCTAACCCGCGGACGACTGCGGATCAACATCAACCGGGAGGCGAGTATAACCATTCCGCTACGGATGTTTACGAGGTGTCGGCCGCAACAGGGTCGTGGGGAAGCTGTTGAGCAGTCTCCCCTTTACCACTAACTGCATCAGCCGCTTCGACCAATGCAGTCTGAACGTGTTGAAAAAGATCCTTTTTCTGAGGCTTCACAAACACGTTTACGGTTTTGAAAACCAACGCACCGTTGCAGTGAACAGCTCAACATTTGCTGTAAAGACAGCAATGTATACGTCGCAAAAGCGGATGCGACGCTGGCACAAACGGGGCAGCCGCAATTTACACCTACAGCTAAATTTACTCCATATAAATGTCGCCAGCGGCGACAATGCTTCAAAATCGAGGCCTCTGATTTCGCGAACTTAAACTAAATCCGCATACCGGCATCCATAAGCGTTTCTGAAGCAACACAAGCCACGCCGCTGGGTTCATTTATCACGCACGCTATAAACGTTACAAGTCAACAGACGCCGTGGGTTACAGGTTGCCAGCCGATGCCGTGGACGTCATTGCTCGTGCACGAAAAAAATGTCGCACTCCGCAGTTCATATTTAATAAAAGCCATAGCTACAAAAAAGGTATTTTGACCGTCTGTATGACCCCACTGAATTGCACCAGCTGCACATTACACTGTGCTGTTCTAAGAGTTACGAGTGGAGCCATTCTTTTGTCGCGGGACGCAAGACCAGCTGCTCCCAATCCCGCTGTTCCGGCAGGTGGAGCTACACCGAAATCGATTCCGGACGCAGGACGGAAGAAAACGCCGATGCGACACATTTCATATATATTACAAAATAAACGGACCACTCCTGACTGTGACATCCGCAGAGGATCCCATACACTTGACATAAACGGCTTACGCCTTAGAGTCGCTACACAATGCTCCTACCCCACCTACGGGCGAATACATGATGAGACTCGGCCGCCCCGACGACCGAGCAGCCGCGGCGCTCTGCCCGGCCGCCGCACGCTGCTGAGACCGCCGCACGCGCCCAGACAGTGGCTTGGCTAGCGGGCGCGCGCGGCGGTCGGGGCGCCCGTGCGCGTGGTGACCCCCGGTCAGGTGCCGGTCGCTCAAGAGGTGAACTTGCCGAGCAGGTCCGAGTCTCGCATGAGCACGTAGTCGGTGTCGTCCAGCGTCACCTTTGTGCCGCCGAACTCTGGCAGCAGCACTCGGTCGCCGACGCTGACCGTAGGCGCCACGGTCTTGCCCTCCTGTGCGTGGCACAGGTAACGTGTCAGGGCGCCGCACAGATCGCACCTCAACGCATCAAACACAAGTCACCCCATGTTATGGAAGGCACTTCAGAGCAAGGGCCGGAAGTCACCTCACAGCGCTAAGCCATCGTAAGATGCAGGCAACATACCACACCACAGCCAGCCAGAGGCACACAATGGACAGTATTAGTGATGGAAAATGATTGCTCATGAAGTGATGATGATGATGATTTGGACTTTAGGGCACAATGACTACCTTGGTCATATTGTGCCCATATTTCTCATGCAGTTTTGTATTTCGTCTGCTGGAGTTCAATGGACTTCTTGGCTTTTCATTCCACTCTGTTTACACAAATAATAATGTCTGTGTACCTCTAACCTCAATCATCATTACACTCAATTGTTCAAGCCTGTAGCTGCATGCACTCACGTCTGTCCTGAAGCCAGGACCAACTGCGACCACAGTGGCCTCAGACACCTTCTGCTGCGCCTTCTCTGGGATCACGATGCCACCCTTGGTTTTGGTGATGGCCTCTGCCCGCTGCAGCAGTACACGGTCAAACATAGGGATAAACCTCTTCAGGGCACCGGACTGAAAAAGAGAATGAGGCCTTTACAAGAAGCATCCTGCAGACATGCATGTACGAATCCAGTAAATGCTAGTACCAATGTTATAACCAGCTACCTATGCAGCTAGAAATATGCTGGTATCCACACCATGTCATTAGATCCCACATAAAGTTAAAAAATTAAAGATATTGAATACCAATCATGGATGAAGCTTTTTGCCAGACCTGCAGCACACCAGTTTGTAGCTGTCCCAGGCAATACAAATTGAATAAGCAGGTCACTGTCAGTTTGTGGAAGGTCTGATGTGCAGGTGAGTGGTATCCACTAACCTGACGTGGCCATTCCAAGACTGAGGTAGGAGTAAGTCTGACAGCTTGGATTTCAACTAACAATGTTGCCACCAAATTGATTTGCATCTGGGGACCCCATCTGACAACTGAGATTATTTGTTGATAGTGTCCTACTTTACTATAGCCTATTGAGAAATATGTATTGACAGGACTCTATTGTTTTTTTAGACATTGGACCCCATCAAGCAGCCTCAGCAAGGAGGTAGATAGCTCCAAGACAGGCCTATTGGCCCAATCCAGTAGGCTAAATGTGATTATGCACCAAAATACATGGTTCAACACAGGCACCAGTAGCATCTGATCCAGCAACATGCGAAGCACTGTTGACAGCCACATGAGTCCAATAATTCTAACCAGTATTTCATCATTCCACTAGTAAACTGCCTTCTGGCATTCCAGCTCTTAAAGAAAATACCGAAAATGCCTGAGGAAGAAATTCTCTGCTTACACCCCATATCAATTGCATATGGCCTAAACATGAATGACCTTGCATGCTATTTCACTTAAATGACATCTCAGCCTGCACTTTGTCAAATCATTGACAACATGGTAAAAGTTTGGTACTGCAGATAGTCAATACTGCTACAACAAGACAGTGAACCCCTCTACCTAAAAACCCTAGCAGCAAAACATTTGAAGTGATAATGGATAGTGGGCTCAATGTATTCAACACCAGCATTGCTTAGCAAAATCTAACAGCACTAACTGGCACCTAAATGTAAGCTATATGGGAGAACAACTTCTCTACATTCACTGAAGTTCATTAGTTAGCTGCAACCTGATCCACTGCATACAAAAAAAATGTGTCAAGGAATTATGCCACTACAAAGGTCATTCCATGTAAAAGTACACACAAAACAATTTTTCCCCAGACAAGCACTATTAGACTTGGTCTGAGTTCAGCACACACAACAATCAGCAAAGTCATATTGTATAGACATCCAGCACAGTGGATGGATTACTCGCGGAATTAACTAATAACTGATACCTACCATGAAAGACCCTTCGCCTCATGTGCGTGACTGGCCAATATTGGTGAAGGAAGCATGTGATAAGCCACTACAAAGCACAAGTCAGTAGTGATTGGCCCACTGCATAGGCTATGCCAAATGCTTGATTGGTATGACATAATTCACAGAAACGCGGTGATAATGGCCAACCATTCACATTGCAGACTCCCCTGCCCGTTGGTTGAAGACCCTCGACCTACGAGTGCACTTTATGCAGTCAGTTAGACTTCCACCACGAAAATGCCACATTCTTACCATCTTTGCGGCAGCGAGCTGAGCTTATCCTAAAGCGCAACAGACACCTCTCTCGAGACTTCCCGTTTTCGAAGCCGGTGTGGCAGTTCCTCTACCACATGCGTGAACTGATCGAAGCAAATGTGTCGAAAATGCGTCGCGGCAATGTGTCGTTTCCTATATGGAAAGTTATGTAATCACATTATTTTACGTTTAATAATTATTTTGAAAATAAATAGAGTTTTTTAATTCATATGCATGTTAAACAAATATATTTCAGTTGCACTAAGGAAAATAATATGTTTAAATGGTTTAAAATAGGTTGCAGTAAGAAATATTTTACATTGACGTCATAAAAATGACCACTTTTTCACAAAGGAAAAGCATAACACGATGAAGTACCTGCAAAATATAGAGGTGAAAAATAGTTGGAAGAAGATTTGAAGAACCGAATATTTCTTTATGCATGCTGCATGCCATGCGAATGATGAAATGTCTAAGCTTTTCTCGGTGCGCTTAGATATTTGTATACGAAATAATTTTAATCAAAAACAATGTAGTATCGATTTTTAGCACTGAGAAAAGAAAAGAACGTGTCCAGCATCACGCTAGCAATACAATACCCCTTCAGTTAACATTGAGTCAGAACGCTCGGCCCATCTCTAACCGGCTTCCGGAATGCTCCAGAACGTGGTTGTCTTTTTCTGATCCACGTGTGAGGGAGGAGGACGTTGGAGGTTGTTGGAGTGAAAGTATTCGGATTTGTCTTTGGAAAACCCTTCCACATTTAAGGTGGGTACTGTGCTTATACCTTTCTGGTGTTTGGTACCTGTTGGAAATGGAAGATGTCACGAAAAGGAACGGCCTCGTCGGGCGCCGGCCGCTCTCGCCTGAACTTGCACTGTCACCCGGTTTACGTATAGGGCAGTTAGGGTGGTGTGCAGCAGCGTGTTTTATGACCAAACTTGTCCATGCGAAGGGGACAAGACTGCAAATCAGCCGCAGTTGTTGAAAAGCTGATAATTGATCTATAGCAGTTTGCGCATTGCAATGAGACCTGAGTTATTTCGTTTCTGGTTTAGATCAAGAAACTTCAGGTGCAGACCTTGGGCAGCAAGTGTAGCCATTTCGGGTAGTTTCTTGGTACTGTTAGATGGGATTAGCTGTTCTTCATTCTTTTTGGTGCCCCCAATATTGCGCTGCTATGCTCTTGGATGTAAGTATTCTTGAAAGTTGTAAGGAATGTGCAGTAACCCAGTGATGTCAGCTACGGTTTGGGGAAAGTGTCCAGGCCGGGTGGCATGTATCATCCAGTTTGGTCTGGCCCCATTTTGTTTGTCCATTCATTTCCAGTCCTTAACTAGTCTCATCCTGTGCCACTGGGTTCTATCCCACCATGTCAGGTTAGTGTGCTGTGTCATTCATTGTTCCATCCCCAGTGCCTTATCTTGTTTCATTGCCTGCCTGCCTTACAATCCCATGCCACCTTGTCAGGTCGGTCTTGCCCAGTCTTGTTGGGGCTCATCATGCTCCATCCAGCACTGGTAGGGTTCTATCTGTCATGTGGTGGTGCCACCTGTGCCACTGGATCCCATCTGATCAAGTCCTGTCTCATGTGCCCCTGTCCAGTCCCATCCTGTTCTGTCTAGTTCTTTGCAGTGGGGTTCCCTTTGGAACTATAAGATGCTGGCAGTGATTTTTTGCTTTTGTGGCATTGGGGTGAATTCAGCTGAGTTTTTGTAACCTTGGCCACCCTCACGTAATTAACTGATAGCGCACCCCAAATGCATGCATCTGCTGACTGGAACTGGGTGTGTGGTAGGTGCAGTAAACTTTTTTAATGCCATGATGTGGCACAGAGCTGAATGAATGTGCTAGAAATACTCAAAAATATTTTGTGCATCTGTCAATACCTGTGTGGCGTGAATTTTGTCCCAAATACAGTTCATCTAGACTGCTGAGGAAGTATGAAGCATTCACCAAGCATATCTGCCATCTGTGTCCTGGGATTCAGTGACATGGTTTTCTTGGTATCAAACCTAATGGGAGGGCTCTGCCCCCAGACCCTCCTCAGCCGGGCTGCCAAAAAGTTCATTCACTATGCCAGATGCTTGTGTGACACCAGTGTGCCAAATATCGGGCTGGCGTGGCATCAAACCCAGACCAAATTAAATTAAGCTGAATTCCAAAGTAATGTTACATGAATGCGTGTTTTCAGAGTAGGTTGCTGTGGGATTACCTTCCCATTATGCGAATGCGTGTTTTCAGAGTAGTTGTAGGTTGCCGTGGGATTACCTTCCCAGCACTGTAATTCCTTGGACCATGATTGTTTGCGGCCCTGCACCAAACTTAGCCTGAAGTGCTTGGATTTATGGCACACGTGCTGAAGCAGTTGCTGTGACATTGCCACTGTGCCGAATATGTTCGGATATGTGCGTTTGCGGTCTGGCCTCATAGCAGCCGGACCTTTCCAAAACCTTGGGTTTTGGTGAAGTCCGGTCTTAAGCATCAAATGTAAAGGGAAGGGGGGTGGGGGAGAGGGAGACTCACAGCGCGCTTCCAGGACTGCATGGTTAGGGCGTTAAAACTGCGTTTGATTCGGAGGTGGTGGCGGGTGCTTTTGCGGTGGCGGAGGCTCTGAAACGAGGTCCTACTTTGGCGGCCGTCTTGTAAGGTCATGGGAGAGGCGCCCAGATATAACTCTTAACATTGGGCTGAATATTTGGGTTTTGAAGTAAAGTAAAACGACCAAGCCGTTGTGCTTGGCCATATCATTGTAAAGTTTTGGTCTTGTATGGAAGAGGGCGTACTGGGTCCCAGTCTAGTGCCCATTTGCGGTCTGCAGGAAAACTGCAGTTGAGGGAGTTGGTGAATGCTTCGATAGAGGGGGTTGATTCATTATAGCCCTTACCCTGATATTGGCGGGTGGGGATGGTGTTGTCACTTTTCCTTCGTTTGGGCCTAGAGTACTAGGACCAATTATCGGCTTGGTCGCACAAAACTACTTGCGAGATATCACCGTGGTCAATTCAGTTCCTTCCGCGAGGTTCGAACAGTCTTAAGGCGCGTTCGGCCGGCAGATAATCTCGGAAAATTATCTGGAATGTTGGAAAATCTTCCGGAATGACGCTCGGCACTGCCGTCATGGAAAATGATCCCAGATCATTTTCCGTAGCGAGGGAGAATCATGGAGAATTTTCAGAGCATGGTCCAGGCGGAGAATCTTTTTTCGCTAAGCATAGCTATGACCGTTGGCTGTGGATGGCGCATGGGAGACTAATCTGGGGTATAATTTCCGGACCGGCCCAGTAGAACTTGAGGATTCCGCGGATGATCATCGGAGAGATAATTGTTCGTTGAATAATTTTCCCTTGGCCGAACGCGCCCTTAGTTTGGAAATCGCAGGGAACCCGTCGACCGTGTCCCCCCCCCCCCTGCCCTATCTGTTATGTTATGGAAAAACGACCAATCGGCTTGAGGGTGAAGAGGACAATTATGTGTACCGATTTTGGGCATGCTGTGCTAGGAACTTGCGGTAGTTTAAGTGGCTAATTGTTAAATTTTCCCGCTAGGTTCATGCAAGAAGTCTGTGTTAAATTTTCCCGCAAGGTTCATGCGCGAAGTCTGTCTTAGTGGGTTTACGAGTATCAGCCAATGGCTCAGCGGATCCAGTGCCCGCAAGTGCACGCTTGCTAAATGCCAGCTTAATGCCATGATCACGACGCCACATTGACACCGGAGTGTTTTCCTACTCATTTTGTCTCTGTTGCCATACCACCACCACGGGGCTTGAGACCTCGGACACGTCTGTGCTGGATCCGCGGGCGCCTGTGTGCCTGCTCCGCCTAACCGAGCCCCGACCACCCCTCCACAGCATGTACCGCGTTCCGGGTGTGCTGCGCGGCTCGTCGGCGGCGGCGCGCCAGCTGACGCGCTGGTACGCCAAGGACGTGCGCTTCGGCGGCGACGTGCGCGCCACCATGCTGCAGGGCGTGGACGTGCTGGCCGACGCCGTGGCGGTCACCATGGGACCCAAGGTACGGCGCTCCCGCCCGCCGCGGCCGCGCGCGCGTCGACCGTCCGGGCGGAAAGGCGGCGTGCGCGGCGCGGGCCGCTCGCCCGCTCTACTATCGCGACATGGCTGGACGGGTTGTGCAGATGCTGTGACTGTTGAGGTGTTTGCTTGTGCTTTGCTGTTCGCCGCGTGCTGTCACAGCTTGTGGGCGTGGGAGTGCGGTGACGGACCGCGTGCCGGCTGCGCAGGGCCGCAATGTGATCCTGGAGCAGTCGTGGGGCTCGCCCAAGATCACCAAGGACGGCGTGACGGTGGCCAAGGCCATCGAGCTCAAGGACAAGTTCCAGAACATCGGCGCCAAGCTGGTGCAGGACGTGGCCAACAACACCAACGACGAGGCCGGCGACGGCACCACCACGGCCACCGTGCTGGCGCGCGCCATCGCCAAGGAGGGCTTCGAGAAGATCAGCAAGGGGGCCAACCCCACCGAGGTCCGCAAAGGTGAGTCACGGCGTCATGGCCAGAGACGGGCATTCAGATGTACTGACTTGTTGGGGTTGTTGCTTGGGGCAAGTTATGAGGGGAAGTCAGTTGTAAGGGTCGTTGACCCGGCTGGGTCATCCTCCCCAACGCCCCCGCCGCTCCGCTCCGTGGAGGCGTCGGGTGACCGGCGGAGGTACAGAGAGGGGGCCGGTGCGTGGCCGCCGCCCGGCACACCCGGCGGCCGCGTCCCGCACCGCGCCACGACAGACGCTCGTGCGGCCGGCTCGCCGCCGCGCCGCGCCCAAGAACCGTGCGTGTACTTTGAAAGCGGACGACCGTCGGAGAGCGGCCCCTCCGCCATGCCAGTCCAGTTCAGTTCAGTTCAATCCAGTTCAGTTCAGTTCAGTTCAGTCCAGTCCAGTCCAGTCCAGTCCAGTCCAGTCTGCCGTCATGTCCCTGGAGACAGCGGCGTGGTTGGGCGCTGGCGACGATCACGTGTCCGCTGTCTGGACATTCGACGGCGTCGCCGCCTGCTGGAGCTGTGTAGTTGGGGCTTACGTAACAGAAAATGTCATGTTTATGAAAATGTCAGGTTCATGAAAATGCCAGGTTTATCCGGACGCATAGGCACGGCATGTGTACCTCAGCCTCACTGCATGCCGCGTAGCGTGCTGACTTCTGGAGCAAGGACAAGTGCTGGTCTTAGAACCTGCTTTCGCCCCCAAGCGAAATGCAGAGCCGGAATTATTTCAACTTCTGCGCAGCTATTTCCGCTTCTGTGGGTCTTGGCTCGTCTCGCCGCGCCGTGCCGCTTTTGACACAGCATACCGCTGCGATGATGGTGTACTTAACTGTAAGTAGGGATATTGCCTATTCGTCCTGGAGGCGCCGCGGTTATGCATGCATTCCACCCAAATTAATTGCTGTGGACCAGGCTTTATCACGGTCTGACCATGCATCGTCCGTGACCCCTCGGAGCCCGTCGCTAAGTCGTGCTTGGCATGACCGTGCGCTGGCGAGTTGACAACAAACAGTACTATTTTTAGGACACGTTTGGTTTGAATGTTTTGCATTAGGTGTTTTTGGACTATCGCTAACCGTAGTGTATTGTGAAGGCCTTAGCCCACCATCCCTATAAAGCGTCCCCGGGTTGAACGGGTGATGTTCGAGTGCGGACATCGTTTCGTTCCAAAACATGAGCCGTAAGTCTTTTTGGTGTACATAATGAGTGGCACTGAGGAATTTTTCACGATGTGGCGCCGTGCCAATCCCCTTCTCTCTCTCTCTCTCCCTCCCCCCCCCCCCTCTATCGTCCTGTCAGCTGCCCATTGCCGCCAACAGCAAGCCACGCAAGCGCTGTAAGCGACATGTCTTCCAAGCGGTGTCAGGTGTCGGCGCTCCGACAGCTGAGATAGGGGGAGGGGGGATCGGGCTAGCTGATTCGATGTCGCCGGCGTTTGGCACAGCACCGCACCGCACCGCACCGCACCCCGACGGGGCCGTCTCCCTAACGCTCTCACCGGTCAGACGCCGTCGCCGGTCGGGGTGAACGCGGGAGAGACAGTGAACGGAACGTTCTCAGGATCGGCCGCTCGGTGACACCGTAGCCTGTGGCCTGGGATAACGAGAACTACATCTGCTGCACACTGCGGGCGGGCCTGTGTTAACGGGTGCTGATGTTAATGATGTGCTGATGCTGATGATGTAATGGGCGCTGATGTATTAACGGGTGCTGATGTATTAACGGGTGCTGACGGGTGGCACGGGGCGACTGAATATTGAAGAGGCCTCGCTTTCATAGGAATTGATCGGTAACGCCCGCGTAATCGGCCGAGTCAGGCGGGGTTGGCGCTACAAAACAAGCACAGCGTGTGTGTGCCGGACGGGCGGGACTCGCATGGCAGGACATGACTTCACGCGAAACCCCTCCCCCGCCCCTCTACTGGTCCCCTGTGGGAGGTTTACAAACCTTCGCAACTCGACAATCTCTCTGCCTGGCGTTTGCCACTCTGCGGTATATGGCATATGCGTCAAAATTTCACGCACCTGACATTGTGGGAGTCGTGTCTCCTTGGAGTGGTTGGCGTTCTGATGGCCGCATCCATGACTGCGTCCGCATCCATGACTGCATGACTGCGGCGTAGCCCCAGCCGGCGGGCGTTCCGTGTTTGCACGCGCTCTCACGTGGCTGCCGGCGGGCGCCCGGCGGCTGAGGGTTCGCCCGGCTCTGGTGTGACGCGGCCCCCTGCGCCGTCTCCGGCAGGCGTGATGCTGGCGGTGGAGGCGATCGTGGCGCACCTGAAGACCATGTCAAAGGCGGTGACGACGCCCGAGGAGATCGCCCAGGTGGCCTCCATCTCGGCCAACGGCGACAACAAGATCGGCGACCTCATCTCCAGCGCCATGAAGAAGGTGAGTGACGGTGTCAGCGGAAATCTTTCATCCTGGGGGCTTTTGGGTGTGATCTTATACGTATGTCTTGACGTCGAGGAATGAAATAAGAGTGTCATGCGATCTAGCGTTTTAGCTGGGTAAAAGGCCGCGTGTTTCCGCTTGTTAGCGCGTGGTGCGGTGCGCGCCGTAGCCGCGGCATGCGCTGTCCGTGTGGGCGGCTGACCGTTGACGGCTGTCTGTGGCGCCACGTCAGGTGGGCCGCGACGGCGTGATCACGGTCAAGGACGGCAAGACCATGCACGACGAGCTCGAGGTGATCGAGGGCATGAAGTTCGACCGCGGCTACATTTCCCCCTACTTCATCAACTCCAGCAAAGGTGAGCTTCGGTAGCGCAAGTTGGGCGGGCTTCGGTATTCGTGCCTGGTGTATTGGATGGCACCACTATGGAAAGGAGCAATTAACTATTCATCATCTACCATATTCGCATGCGTCAACAATAGCTTGATGACGTTGCATGACTTAGTATGTTTAGCACCAAATCATACTGTTGGCCGGCTCGCCACAAAACTCAACATGGAACGTGGCGATTTCACTATCCGGCGCACGCGTCCTCCCATATTCACCGGCGCGGCGCCGCGCAGCCGCGTCGGTTGGACGTGGAGGCACATGACTGGTGCCGCCGCGCCCGGGTCTGCCGGTGGGGCGGCCCCGGGCCGGCGCGGCACCGACAGCCGTTCGCGAGACGACGGCGCTCGGCCCCCGCCCTTCCCCGAACTGCCCCCGCCCCCGCCGGTGACCCGACGCTGACTTGCGCCGCCCCTCGACAGGCGCCAAGTGCGAGTACCAGGACGCGCTGGTGCTGCTCTGCGAGAAGAAGATCTCCAACATCCAGCAGATAATCCCCACGCTGGAGATGGCCAACCAGGCGCGCAAGCCTCTGGTGATCGTCGCCGAGGACGTGGACGGCGAGGCGCTCACTACGCTCGTGGTCAACCGGCTCAAGATCGGCCTCCAGGTCAGACAGACAGTGGGACAGACGATGGTGCGGTGCGCTGACCGGGAGGAGAGGGGGAGGGGGGGGGGGGGGCGACGTACGGGAGAGGAGTAACGGCACGGAGAGTCCTGCGGTTCTGGGGAGCGTGAGATGCAGCTGAGACAGCGCTGTGGGCCCGAACATACTTCACTGCCTGTCAAACTAGCGACTGGCTGATCGTGTTTGTCGGGTTCAAGGAAACTACCTGGTGACCGCTCTACTGCATTCAACGGAGTCCATAGTGATCTGTCGGCGGTACGCTATTTCCGCTGTCGTTATTGTTTTGCCACGCCTCTTCACATGGATGTGATCGGCCGCTCTATCCGGCGTGTGGGCAGCGCCCAGTCCACCGCTCCGTGTGATATCTCTGGCAGCCGGCGGTCCCTGTGACGCGCAGTGTGTCCGCGCCGCCCCCGACTGACGCGGCCGCCCGCTCCGCCAGGTGGTGGCCGTCAAGGCGCCCGGCTTCGGCGACAACCGCAAGAACACGCTGCAGGACATGGCCATCGCCACCGGCGGCGTCGTGTTCGGCGACGAGGCCGCCTCCGTCAAGCTCGAGGACGTGCAGATCTCTGACCTGGGCCAGGTCGGCGAGGTGCAGGTCACCAAGGACGACACGCTCATGCTCAAGGTCGGTGGCGGCCGTGTGCCGGGCGCGCGCGTCCTCCCATATTCACCGGCGCGGCGCCGTGCAGCCGCGTCGGTTGGACGTGGAGGCACATGACTGGTGCCGCCTTGCCCGGGTCTGCCGGTGGGGCGGCCCCTGGCTGGCGCGGCACCGACAGCTGTGGGCGTAACCGTGCTGTGGTTGAGCAGTTCCGTAGCGCTGGTGCTCTGAGTGGGGTAGTGATCGATGACACCTCGTCTGTCGGCTGCCGCGGTCCACGTGCTGAGCGGTCGTGTGTCCGCCCTGCAGGGCCGGGGCAACAAGGTCGACATCGACCAGCGCTGCAACCAGCTCAAGGACCAGATCGAGGAGACCAACTCCGAGTACGAGAAGGAGAAGCTGCAGGAGCGGCTGGCGAGACTCGCCGCCGGCGTCGGCGTGCTCAAAGTGGGCGGCTCGAGCGAGGTGCGTCCGGCACGGCCCGCCGTGGCCAGGCCCGTCGTGGAAGGGTGGCGCTCGCCTGCGGCATCGTTGTGTTGCGGGAGGGGGGGGGGGGGGGGCGTCTCCCTAACGCTCTCGCCGGTCAGACGCCGCCGCCGGTCGGGGTGAACGCGGGAGAGACAGCGAACGGAACGTTCTCAGGATCGGCCGCTCGGTGACACGGTAACCTGTGGCCTGGGATAACGAGAACTACATCTGCTGCACGGGTCAGCGATTTTGTGTTTAAAGATGCACTTCAGACAATCCACAAGTGTAGAGTGTAGAACCTGTCACGGGAATGTGGGTGGCATGCTCTATTTAGTTACTGAATCATTGGACACGTTATGGAATGGACGAAAGGGTAGGTTCGTCATCACTTACTGAATTTCCTTATCCTGCGTATAGGCGGGTTGCGTTGCGTGCTTCCGCGGTGGTCGCCAGTGCTCTGGTGCTGACCTTGGACCGTGCCCGCGCGCCGTCGGCAGGTGGAGGTGAACGAGAAGAAGGACCGCGTGACGGACGCGCTGAACGCCACGCGCGCCGCCGTCGAGGAGGGCATCGTGCCGGGCGGCGGCGTGGCTCTGCTGCGCTCCGCCAGCTCGCTCAGCGGCCTCCAGCTCGCCAACGACGACCAGAAGACCGGTGCGTGCCGCCGGCGCGCTGGCGGTGGCCGGTGACGCGCGCCAGCGCCGAACCGCTGACGTGGTTGACTGAACGGATGTGTCGTGTGTGTCGTCAGTGGGCGAATCATGTCATCGGTAAAATGGCGACTAGTTCATTAGTTACGGACGCCGGCGTGGTCGGTCGCCGGCACCACATCCTCCCCAACGCCCCCGCCGCTCCGCTCCGTGGAGGCGTCGGGTGACTGGCGGAGGTACAGAGAGGGGGCCGGTGCGGGGCCGCCGCCCGGCACACCCGGCGGCCGCGTCCCGCACCGCGCCACGACAGGCGCTCGACCGCGGCCCGACGGCGGCCGGCTCGCTGCCGCGCAGCCCCTCCCGGTGGTGACAGGCGCGACCCTCCCCCTGCGGCAGGCGTGGAGCTGGTGCGGCGCGCGCTGCGCATGCCGCTGCAGACGATCGCGGCCAACGCCGGCGTGGATGCGGCCGTGGTGGTGGCGCGCGTGCAGGACGCCTCGCCGGAGATCGGCTACGACGCGCTCAACGACGAGATGGTCAACATGATGGAGCGTGGCATCATCGACCCCACCAAGGTGAGGTTTGGGCGTGACGCGCCCCGCCGCGGGGGCGGCGCGGGAGCTGAGGGCGCCGGGTGGCTCTGGAGCGTGTCGCGGCCGTGCTGATGGTGTCCCCGCTGCCGGATCTCACGGGACGCCCGCGGTCGTGGCCGGCTGGCGGGCCGTGGGTCCGACGGGCGGGCTGACGGGTGGCCGGCCGGCGCTGGCCGTGCCGCGGCGGCCCTGACTCTGCCCGCTCCCGCCAGGTGGTGCGCACGGCGCTGACGGACGCGGCCGGCGTCGCCTCTCTGCTCACCACGGCGGAGGCCGTCGTCTGCGAGATGCCCAAGGAGGACAAGGCCGACGCCATGGGAGGCATGGGCGGCATGGGCGGCATGGGTGGCATGGGTGGTATGGGTGGAATGGGCATGTAAGCACGTGGCGAAGGCCACACCCGTCATTTGTATCTCATCAGTCATCCGTTTCGTGCCGATGGGGATGTTAGTCATGTGATAGTGCCGAGGGATCAGGTCGCTGGAGCAGATGGTCCCGACCAGCTATTATATTCGTTATATTGTGGTTTGTACGTCGGCGTACGCGCATGCATTACAGGACTGCTCTGCCACCGTGTATGCGTGTGTGTGTGTGTGTGTGCGTGTGCGTGGTGAGCGTCTGCCCGCCTCAGTCAGGGCGCCGTGTGGGTGTGTGTTACCGCGCGGCCGGCGGGGGCCGGCTTCCTCGTTCCCGGACGGTTATACCACGGCAGGCCTGCGCGTCCGGGGCCGGGCGACCCGTCCCCCGCCAGCGAGACGCGCTCCGCGACTCTACCATCGTGTATCATCCTGCCGATTGTGCGGCTCTCGCCCAAATACATATTTTGTACCGATCTGGGTGATCCTGCCGGATGAGCCCGCCGAGGCGGGGCGCCGCGGCGAACGGCTCCAGCCGACCCCGTGTGGGCTGCAGCGGCGGAAGCGTACCGAAGCGCCTCTGGGCCTGAGCAAGCCGCGGCGCGCGGAACAGCTGCAGCAGTGGACTGCGAAAGTGGCGCAGTCGAGCAGCAGGCCAGCGTCTGCTTGGTATTGCCGAATACGTGATACGCCTGGTGCCGCGTGTTCGCTGCCTTTGGGAGCGCGGTATGAGGCGCGCCAGCTCGGCAGCGCGTGCGTGAGGGGTATCACGACTTTGGCGCTCAGGAAAAAACTGCGGACGGGAGCAGTGTGACAAGATATACGCGATATAACTTCTGCAGCAAAAGCTCGGCAGAATTATGCCCGGCATTACCTCTTCTCCAAAGACTTACATGAGCGCTATACGATAAAACGTATGCTGCAAGAACTTATTCATTCCTTTATAGTCGTTACTTAAAGGCGGCGTGCTGCAGAGCTCGTACGCGACATAACCGCTCCGCGACAACTTCCAGTGCAAAGACGCTTGCCCGTCATTGCTTTTGCAGCAGGCTCACGCAGTCTTACTTACACGCGACAACACTTCCACTACGAGATGCACCAACAGCGTTACACAAGGCTTGGAGAGAAACGCAAAACATCTTTAAATAAACTTATGCCAATCATTACGTGTACTGCAAAAACCCATTTAGTCTTCACTCATCAGCGATGTTACCCCTCCGACCAATACCTCATTCGACATTTGCGCAATATGATGAAGGGCATGCGATACAAATTATGACCCGTCAGTTCTTCAACCCATAAACCCCCCTAAAATCACGGCGGGAACAAACATCACAGCACTTGCGCGAACGAAATCAAACTGAAGGCGCACACTCCATGGTTCGATGCATTATTGCTGCTCCGAAGTGCAAGTTTGCGATCGACGAGTCACAGCAATAGCGTGAACGCCACAGCGTGACGTGCTTCTGAAAAAGTATGGTACACTGCCGCAGCGTTGCAAAACTATGTGGGGGCCAGGCAAGGTAAAACGGTCGAACCTGCTCCAAAATACATGAAACACAACGTTTGCCCCGTGTGTGGCACACCTTATCACAAATGATTGCGGAATTGGATGGGGCCACCGATTGAATACGAAACTTTACCCCTGGCCTGATGTTCGCTGAAACGCGAAATTACTTGAACCACCCAGTGTCACGCGACCGAGTGATTGTTAAAAAGTTATACCCGTCATCGAGTTTTTGCAACCAAAACTACAGCTTCTAGCGCCAAGCACGGCAAATCGATAGCGTAATGCAACATAATCGCCGTAGTTTTTCTCACAGGCATAACGAACGTTTATTTGCAATATTGCCTGACTGGGCTTACCTCCTAAGCTACGCATTGTTCCTATCCCTCCTGTTAGGTTTTGTATTTTGCACCCCACAGGAAATGCAAGCATTAAGGGTAATGCCACGTATATGTTAAGACTAGACATTTTTGCAGTAGAAGTAATGACTGACATCTTTTGAAGCATAGGTTTTGCCGTGTAGCAGTGGGAGCAATGCCCTATATAAACAACGGCTGTTTTTGCAGTAGAGTCTTACACTCCTATCGCTACAAGTTCTTGTGCTTATGCCGTGGAACCGGTACGTGGCATGCTGTGACAGAGATGGGCCCTCCCGCAGGGTCGTGGGTATCAGGTTCGGCTGCAATTACCAGCAGTGGTGTCATTTCCTGCACTGAAATTCGCACGAGATGTTGTAGTGAACGGAATCGCACAACATTGCACGAGCGTTGTTCACCGAAATGGATCATAATTTGCCCTTGCCACCTATGGCACAGGTTGGCTTGCGGATGGCTGACTTCGTAATGACCTGAGTTCATCCACGGGAGGTAAGGAAGTGGGGGAGGAGGGAGAGGGCGGAAGCGCCGTGAGGGTGGCACAGCCGTCCCCATCTGTGCAAACACTGAGCATCAACCATACGACACAGCTCGACAGTCAGCAACCGTCGAGCTTGCTCCGCCCCGTCTGGCGTTGTCGCTGGAGGTCAGCGTTTGTGTAGAAGCGGCCAGTTGCCGCTGCCGCAGCACACGCACCGGCGGGGGGCGCTAAGCCCCGAACAGGCGCTCCGAAGACCCGCTATCCACGCTCGACTACCGCCTGCAGAGATGACAGCGCCCAGCTTTAATGAGTGAGCCGAGTGGTGCAGAAACCCGGACGCAGGCAGTGTCGATATTTTCAAACTACGAAATGTTTTGTCGTGACTCCCGCCTGGTGGGAAATCGTGGGGCGGTGACGTCATGGCACCGCATTTTCAGGTCGCGAGGCGCACGACGCCACGCGTCAGCGGCATTCCCTCAGCTGGAAACAAATCCTGGAGCGCTGTCCACTGCGCCTGCAGCGCTTCACGCCTTCGCCTCGGTTCGCGAGGGACACTAACATAAGGACACCGGACTAGGCCTGCCGAGTCATCAGCCTTCCGCTTCCTCCCTCCGCATGACCCCACGCCTCCAGCAGTCTCCGGCCGCAGACCAGTGACGCTGCACCGTAGCTCGGTAATAACTGTATTATTTGACGGGAGGTATGGCGGGTACAGCATACACTCGGCCCGACACCGGTCGCGGGGCGCTCCTTCGACGCCTCGAGCCGGCCGCGAGATGAAACTTCGCACCATACGCGGCCAGGCGATGTTCTGAGTACGCGACGCGGTGCCGGGTGGCCGCCCGTGCAGACAAGCGCCACGGACCCGGCGCGGCTGACGGCCGCGAGTTTCGGGGGGTAACAGATCAACATGCTTCGGGGGGTAACAGGTCAACATGTGTCGGGGAGTAACAGGAGGCAAACAGCGCCAAACCGGGCACGCGGCAACAGCAAACAGCGGGCGCAGAGGGCGAACAGGCGTCTCCAAACAGCTGCCGAATGAGAAGGGCGGCTAGTGAAGCCGACAAAGTCGGTGACGGATAGACGCAGCAGGTCCTGTCAGAGAAGCGCTGGGAGCCGCAGGCGCGGGACGTCCAGGCCGGGACCGTCCCGCCTCGGCCGACTCGGCAGGTCAGAAGTGGAATGTTCGGGGACAGCGCCAAACGAAACGCGCCAATCCCGCGATAATGCGCATGCGCAAGATTTGTGTGCGGGAAGGAGCGGGACGGGGTTTAACCGACCCGAGGCATGCAAAGATGATTGAAAGGCGAAGATGAATCGTAGATAAGAACACTAGGTCTCCGATGCCTTACAGCTACGAAGGATCGGAAAGGAGGACCGATCTGTACATGAACGCTACTCTACTCTCAACAAATGCAGTCACCGATATCAGTATGAATGTTCTAAGCATCCAGAACCGACCAGGTTTGTTGAAAGACCGCCGAATACAGCACCGTAAAAGAATAAACAAAGAATCCCTTGTCAACACTACACCTACAATACAGCAACAATACATCACAGTTCATGCCGGCGGGCTCTCTTTGTTCCACCTGCCCCACGTCGGACGCCGCCACCTGACCTGGGGCGGCTGACCCCGCCGTTGGCAGGGGTCCAGCACGCCCAGACACCCATCCCGATGCCGCCGCACCTCTGACTCAGCCCGCCCCGTCCAGCACAGCCACGCAGCCAGCGAAGCAGGCGCCATGCCCGGCCCGCCGAGGATGGCGTCTAGTCCGAGGGACTCGACGGCGCCGTGGCTGCGACGCCACGCACGCGCCAGCTAAACCTACGTAAACAACATGGGCGTATCGAGGTAATCGAGTAATAGACGACAAAGAGTGAGATAGATGGGAAATTGAGCGCAACAACGGTGGCAACGAGATAAGAGTGAGCAACATTAACGTGTGGGACCTTGCTTCGGGCGCCGCGCCGGCTGCCCCCAGCGCGAGCGCACCGCCGACACAGCACCCCAACAACGACACGAGCCGCTCCGGCCTCTCACTCCCGTCACGCAGGTACGGTTCCAGCGCCGGCCATGATCCGGCACCCGCGCCGCCCGTTTTGATTGTGTGCGAGATGATGCGTGACGTCACTGTCGCCGCGGCGGCGGCGGGCAGACGAGAACGACACGCGCCGCTCCGACCCGCCGCAGCCGCGCGGGCCGCCGCTCGCAGCACGGACGGCCGGCCAGCCTATGGAGCACTGCAGGCGGGGCGCGCCGTTCGCACGCGCGCCCTCCGCGAGAAAAGATGAACGTTGTGATGGAGATGCACGTACAAAAGCGGCGGCGCAGCCACCCAGCCCGCGGCGCGGCGCGCCTCCGTCCTAGGGCGGCGGCCGAGCCGGCCGGCCGGCGGCTGGTGGCACCAGGGCCCGGCCGCGCCGCACCAGCGTCTCGTGCGCCACCAGCGTCGAGCTCTCGAAGCTCAGCGTGCGCCGGTAGATGGGCGGCGCGGCCGGGACGCGGAAGCCGTCCATCGGCAGCTGGCGGAACGAGAAGCGCCGAGAAGGGCCACGAGGCGGCGGTGGCCGGCCGAGCAGCTCATGTCAGCACTGCAGGGCGGGGGGGGGGGGGGGTCCAGCGTTAGCGATCAACCATCTCAGAGCACGGCCCTCAAACATGTGACGTATATTATGACTGACACACACATATATGACATACGGCAACGGACATGGCCATTGAAACTGGACAACACGCAACATTTAGGCAAACTTCACTCCATCACCAATAAAACGTCAAAAACTGATTCGAACTGCGCGAAGCTGGGCACGGGCACGCACATGATGAATGACCTTTAATGACCTCGGAAGCCTGACAACACACCTCGCGGAGACCGTTTCATCCATAACTAAAACAAAGTGACACTATCTCGCATTAGCAGGCAACCTCTACATCCAAACCCTACATGCAGCAGCAAATGATTTGTCCGAGCATTCGACGGTGACCTTGTGACGGTGACGGTCATTTTTTGACTATTGTTTTAGTATATGTTCCATTTTAAGCTTTCAAAAATACGCGATCATGTACCTCGCCTAAAGTAAATTGTGTAGAACCACCGTCCTAAAGCCTCGGAGGTGCCAAAAGCTTACGGCCATACGTCCATGGTGACGAACGCGACATCTGCGGGCGCTGAACGCCACATAAAAAGATCAAAAATCACTGAGGTTTTACTTTTTCTGGTCGCAGAGCCCCCTTATAAGTTCTTACTTAGCAGCGGCTGACTAAGCCATAAGCAAAGTACTACGCTGGGAGAAATCCCCCGCCATCCTCGCGCTGCATTTGCAGGCGCAGCAGGCCCCGGCATCGACAGCGCGCGAACCACACACCCATCACGACACCACAGACGACGGAAGACACCCGTCGCCGTCCCGTCAAACCGACCTTCCTGCTGTGGCCGGAGGTGGTGGTGGTGGTCTGGCTTAGCGGCTGGCATCTGGTGGCGGAAGCGGGAACTTTGGCGGGGCACAGACCCGGTCCAAGGGGTCCAGAGGCCTCACGCTTCCTGCTCCCTGCTCGCGCTCTCTCTGCAACCTGGCGCCGCCGTCGGGCCGAGCGTCACGGGCCGGTGGGGGGAGGGGGGAGGGGTCGTCGACCCGGGGGTCGCAAGGCCGGCACACGGACAGCGAACATACTGGGACAATAGCGGTCCGCTGTGATATTACGTTCGGCGTCCACATGAGTTTATAGAGCGGCAGGGGTGAGTTGTTGCAACTCATAAAACACTCCACCAAGCACCAACAAGCCACCACAGACGAGCAAATCATTGAAACGAGCACCAACCCTAAAGCCAGGGAACCCACAGCCGCGCGACGCGCAGCGCGTTTGATCAAGGTACGCAGCGGGGCTGTCGGCCACGTGTAGCCGCGCGTGCCCACCGTAGGTCGGCCAGTGCGCACCGCACACAACCCACGCCGGCAAACTGAGGGAAATCCCAAGCGGGTTCCGAGAGCAGGGCCTGGTCCGAGCGACCGCAGAACAAGCCATCAATTAGATCGACTGGAAAACGCCCGATAAATGAAGCAGTGCCGTAAATGAGACCGATTTTTAGGTAACCAGCGCACCACACGAATGCCCACTTACCGCACCCTCGAACCACACATCCCACTGGCTGCGATAACCGAGACATTACAGAAGCATCAGCGACAGTTGGTATTCCGTAGAAATCAAATCATAATCATACTCTTAGCCTGGTTTAGTGTTAAGTGGTGTTCGTGACACACCCTAAAACTTCGCCCGGTGCTGATTTTTTTTACCTGTGGCCGGTGCCCGACTTAAAAGACAGGTGTGGAGACCACTTAAAACAGTGAACGTGTTTTTAATCTCTCTTAGCAAGGCCGCGAATATGAATTACACTTCACAAGGGCCGGCCATCGAGCAGCCTTTAACCGCCATCGCCAAGGAACCACAACCCTTTCCAACAAAGTGCCAGCACACCGACGACGCCATTATCCTCGGCTCCTCGACAGAGGTCGGGTGCCCACCTCGTTGTCGCACCCACCGCACCACGCACCGGCGACGGAGCCCTCCCCCGCCCCGCCCCGCGCCTGGCGACCACGCCCGTACTTACTTATTCTTGGACTGGCGCATGAAGTTCTGTATTTTCATGGCCGCCTGGTGCTGGCGCCGCTGCGAGTAGGTGCGCCTGAAAGGTGCCATGACATCAGCCGGCTGAAGAAACGACTGGTGCCGAGACCGCGGGCCTCTGTCGCGCGTTACAACCAGCGAGCTCCAGTGCACTAAATCATGAGGCCACACTACACTTTTCTTTACTACGCCATGGATTGACCTCACCCGTCTGAATAACGCAGGACCGTAGGGACTTGAGGGGTGGCAACTGCCGCGCGAATTGACGACGGCTGTCATACGGCTCCCTTCGGCGCACTGAATATTTGAGCAGCAAGGAGGGAGTGCAGGCTTGAGATCCTGAGACCGGTGTGACCGCTGACGCACACAGCAGGGCACGTGGGGTAGGGCTGACGCACACAGCAGGGCACCTGGGGGAAGGCTGACACACACACACAGCAGGGCACCTGGGGGAGGGCTGACACACACAGCAGGGCACCTGGGTAGGGCTGACACACACAGCAGGGCACCTGGGGGAAGGCTGACGCACACAGCAGGGCACGTGGGGTAGGGTTGACGCACACAGCAGGGCACCTGGGGGAGGGCTGACACACACAGCAGGGCACCTGGGGGAAGGCTGACGCACACAGCAGGGCACGTGGGGTAGGGTTGACGCACACAGCAGGGCACCTGGGGGAGGGCTGACACACACACCGGATGGCACCTAGAGAAGGCTGGCGCAAACAGTAGGGCACCTGGGGGAAGCCTGACACACACACAGCAGGGCACGTGGGGTAGGGTTGACGCACACAGCAGGGCACCTGGGGGAGGGCGGACACACACACCGGATGGCACCTGGGCAAGGCTGGCACACACAGCAGGGCACCTGGGGAGCGGCGGGCGGGCAGGAGCGTCCCTTTCTAAAATCGGATGGGAGAGGGCGGGGGCTCGGCCGAAAAGGTTGACCTAACCTACCCGAAAATATGATTTCCTCGCCATTAAAATTAAAAAAGCTTTTACACAAATCGTGGATTCGGAATTGTTTTCCTGTAGAGGAATTGACTTGTCATCCCAAGTAACGTAGACTGCCTTTTCACGAAAAGCTTAGAATGGACTGCAATTCGCAGAGAAAACATCTCGGTAAATCTGCGTGAAGGATAAGTGATGGTTACCGCTGAAGCCAATCATGTTGTATAACCACCACAGCAACGATTACGTCACATACAACGATTACGTCACATACACTTGCCACTGTTGGGGAAAACATGAGCTAATTTTTGTCTGCGCCGCCGTGTGCTTTTAAAAGCTACCGCATATTGCAGTCAGTTGTTCTTTCTCCCAATCCATGAGTTGTCATTTGAGGAAAATTTGTCAAAGATTTGCAGACTGGCTTAACATATGATGGAGTTGTCATGACGAAAACCTTACGTATCTACGGACACTAGTTGGTAAAAAGTCAACATGATAGTAATGGTGATGTGTTTACCCAATACCAATAGTTAATATGATTATTCTGTATCTTTTGGTCAAGTATACCTTCTTTGCACATATGTATTGAGGGGGCCCAAAGAAGAATTGGGGGGGGAGGGGGGCTCAAGCCAGCATTGGTGGGGGAGGGGAGGGGCTCACCTCCCCCAAAGCACATAAAGTGACGCCCTTGTGGATGGGCAGATTACGGGTCAGGCACCTTGGGGAGAGAAGGAAGGGTGGGGGGGAGGCGGCGGCCACAAGATCGCAGGGGGCCAGCCACCAGTGCCGCAGGAGCAGTGCCGGCGGGCAACGGTCGGACCCACACACGGCCCCCGCGCCGCCGCAGCGGGACAGCGCCTCACTTCAGGGAGCCGGGCGTGCCCTCGCGGCCGTGCCGCTGCCGCTCCTGCTCCTTGTACTGGCGGTAGTAGTTCTGGATGCACACGGCCGCCTCCTGCGACTTCTTGAAGCGCTTGTGCTCGCAGTAGGTGCGGTACCGGCTCTGGATGACCATCGCCGCCCGCGTCATTTGGGTGTAGTAGAAGTACTGAAACGTATGAAACGCGTCGCTAGAATGCAGAACACGCACTTGATCGACGGCATTGGTCGCGTAGAAAGTACCTCGTAGCATCCACAGGGAACCTTGTGGGCAGCAACAACGCAATAAAACAGCCAGTGACATTTCACGCCGGATACCATGCCAGCCGTTCACAGCGAGCGAAAACAACGACCCACGCCACACCCTCGGAGCCAGTCAGCTTGCTCGAAGCATGGCGACCGGCCGCTGCACCACCGACTCGAGTCAACCTGACTCCAGTTACGCCGACTCCGGCGGCGGCTCGGCCGGTGTGCGCCGAGCGTCAGCCGCCGTTGCCGGCGGCCGCTCACCTGCTTGTAGCGCCGGTAGCAGTTCTGAATGACGATGGCCGCTTGCTTCTCGCGGTCCTGCTCCTCGGCCCGCTTGCGGCCCTTGTAGCTACGGTACGCCTTCTGGATCACCTTGGCAGCCTCGTACAGCTCGCGCTGCTCGCGGTCTGCGGCGGCGAGGCGGATGTCACGCGCGTTACGCGGCGTGACGCACGCCACCGCCGAGGCCCAAACGACCCGGCCGGGGGGCCGAAGGGGCTGGGAGCGGCGCAGAGGCGTACGGCAGCCACGAATTCAGCCGTCAGAATGCCGGAACTGACTCCCACCTAGCAGCCGGGGCAGGCCGCGCGATGACCTGACCCGGGACGTCAGGCCGACCCTGAGTGACGGCGGAAGGGTGCCGTCCCGCCCCGCTCCAGTGCGATGTCGTGACCCGTCTGGTGGGCTCGCTCGGCTCGGGTGAACACCCTGATTCGGTAATCCCGACCGGCCGTGCGGTCCCCACAGTGACCCCACGCTCCAGCCGCCGCGGCCTGGCGGCCTAACCTGACAGTGTTGACCTCAGAGCCCGACCTGGGACAAGATACCCGACCCACCCTGACCAGCCCACACGCCCCCCTGACCCGACAGTCCGTCCAGTGCGATCCATCGGTCCCTGCCTGACCTGAGAGCGTGAGGCTCGAGAAATCCAGCGCGAAGTCGCGTCGACCGGCCTTGAAGTACTGGCCCAGGTCGGCGGCCGACGGCGGCGGCGACGGCGAGTCCAGCACGGGGAACGAGCAGGGCGACGGCAGGCAGGAGGAGGCCGGCGACGCCGACGACTGCGGCGTGCTCACCTCGCAGTACCTGCCGGCCGCGCGGCGCGCGTCATCCCAGCCGCGCGGCGCGCGTCACCCCAGCCGCGCGGCGCGCGTCACTCCAGCCGCGTGGCGCGCGTTCACTCCAGCCGCGTGGCGCGCGTCATCCCAGCCGCGTGGCGCGCGTCATCCCAGCCGCGCAGCGCGCATCACTCCAGCCGCGGCTGGGCGGCGGCAGGCGCCGCTGGCCCGTCCAGGCGCCGGGCCGAGGCCGAACGCCCAAGTCGCCACGGCGCGTGAGCGTGGCTAGTGGATCATGACGCCCTCCTCCCCCCCCCCCCCCCCCCCCCCCCCCCCCCACCACGCTACTGTGTTACTCTGCCTGGCGCAAAGCGACGAGCCCGCACATCCGGCCTGTCAAGAGTCAAGCTGACTCGAGTCGAGCCGAGTCGTGTCGAGTCGTGTCGCGCGCGGCGCGGCGCCGTCCGTGGGTGACACAGTGGCTTGTAGCTTACACTTGAAGCCCTCGATTTCGCTGACCACACACCAGTGAAACCGAGTAAACTGAAACCGTACGACTAGAATGAGCTGGATTTAGCCATTCAACCACAAACTACAAACCGGATTACGCCAACGCATTTGTAGTCAGACTGGCGCTAATGACATTAGCATCGACCCGGGGATGAATAATGACGCGGCCTGCCAGTAATATTGCGACTGGAGCGGCGACGGTCCTCACTCGAAAGGTGTATGGCCGTGACGTCAGCCTGCCGTGGCTCAGGCTCATTATTCCCTGCAGCCTCGGCTCACGCAGGGTAGACAGACCAGCTCAGCTCAGCTCAGATCAGCTCAGCTCAGCTCAGCCCAGCTCAGCGTAGCTCAGCTCAGCTCAGCCCAGCTCAGCGTAGCTCAGCTCAGCCCAGCTCAGCGTAGCTCAGCTCAGCCCAGCTCAGCGCAGCTCAGCTCAGCTCAGTTCAGTCCAGCTCAGTTCAGTTCAGTTCAGCTCAGCGTAGCTCAGCTCAGTTGAGTTCAGTTCAGCGTAGCTCAGCTCAGCTCAGTTCAGCTCAGCTCAGCTCAGCTCAGTTCAGTTCAATTCAGTTCAGCGTAGCTCAGCTCAGCTCAGCCCAGCCCAGCCCAGCCCAGCCCAGCGCCCAGCCCAGCCCAGCCCAGCCCAGCCCAGCCCAGCCCAGCCCAGCCCAGCCCAGCCCGGCCCAGCCCAGCTCAGCTCGGCCCAGCTCAGCTCAGTCCAGCTCAGCTCAGCATGGCTCAGCTCCCACGCGGGTCGGTATCGCATACCACAGTAGCACGTAAAGTGCCAGTAAAATCTAAGCTCAGAACCCAAGCTTTACCGATGGCACCACCGACGGAAAAACAAAGAGGTGGGTGCTTCGCATACGGAGTCCGTCTGCATGGACCTTCCACCCCCCCCCCCCGCCCAACCTGCAGACCGCGTTCCGTAGCCCAAAGTCCTTACGCCTCTGTTCTGTCCGCACGCGTCCCTCAAAGGACCGGCATTGGTCGCGTGCAGCCGCGTCACCAGCCCGGCTCGTCCGTCCGTCCGTCCGTCCGTCCGTCCGTCCGTCTCACCTGTAGCCGGTGTCGCACAGCTCGGCCAGCTCTGTCGCGTCCTCCATCGCCTCCGAGCGCAGCGAGATCAGGTCAGAGGCCGGCGACGACGAACGCTCCCACTGACTGTCGCTCTCGATCTGGAGAGGTTAAGTCAGGTCAGGTCACGTCAGAGACCGGCGACGAGGAACACCCCCAATGACTGCCGCTCTTGTTCCCAAGCAAGGGCGGGGGGGGGGGGGTAAGGTCTGGGGGAAGTCAACTCAGCTCGGCGGACAACAATGAATCTCAGCATTTCAAAGCCGACCAAAGCTTACGAAATATCAGCATCTGCACCATTCAATTCTCATGAATCTTAATGCCACAGTGAACAAGACAATCTGCAGTTCAGTACGCAACCCTGGCACTGAACTGCAGCTTCCACGAACACACTGTTTGACAAACCCCAACCGGCGAACCCGCACCCGCGACGCTGACCTGTGACCTGTGACCCATCCCCACGCCGCCACGTGCCGCAGCGACGCCCGACCGACCTTGATCCGTTCCGGCATGGCGGCTATGATGTGTTCAGCCAGTGTGAGCACGTGCTGCTGGTCCGACGCGTCCGAGGCCTGGCTGGTGTCCATCGACGGCGACGTCTCGCCTGGGGGCGTCCGGGACCAGGTCAGCCACGCGCCTGGCCTACGGCTGAGGTTGAGATCGTTCCATTGTTCGGTAGCGGAGGAGACTGCACCATTAAAATTCCGCGAATTTTGATGCAACAGAGATTAAGACAATCTGCGCTCCCGTACGTAACCATGCCACTTACAACATACATGACGGCCATCGATCGACCTTTGTCATGGAACCGCGTGAGGTACGAGGTCCCGGATGGGCAGCGCGACACCCAAAGCAAATTGAATTTCGTGACTGCGGAGGACGGCGGGCACCGCACTGGCCGGGCGTGCTGATCCCGCCGGGGTGTGAAGGTCAGCGCGAGGCGTGACTGCAGGGCCCGAGGTCGGGATGGCCCAAGGCCGCGAGATGGACTCAGGCCCGGGACGGCCCGAGAGGGCTACGGACGGATTTGGGCCGACAGAACTCGGCTCGGTAACGCGTGCCCGAGGCGGAACGTCGGCTCGCAGCTGGACGAGGAGGCTCAAATAGACAAGAAGCATTGCGCAGCACAAAACGGATGCATGGACGAACAAAAATTATCCGAAACGGGAAAAAAATAAAAGCAAATAAAAGTCCTGTGGGCCAAGGACAAATTACATAAGATGCACCGAAGAGCAAAACATGGCCGATGGGTTCATCATATAACGACCACACTCCGTCAAGTATCCTCAGCTTGAGGACGACAGCGCGCAAAGGCATTCGTTGGAATACATTTAGTTTACAAAGCCGCATACCATGTTGTAGAAAGAAATTGGCAAAAGGAAACAACAGAAGATTCTTCCATAAGAAACGTAAATAACACCGACATGCCGTTGAAACCCAGCAGACCATTCATGCGTAACAGTGAGAGGCCGTCCCACAAACAAGCACTCAGCGCATGGTCGGAGGAGCCGCGGATACAAACAAGCACGGTTGGAAGGCCCCGACCAGTGCCTGCAGCACGCGGCTTATCTGCGGCGCACTTAAGCCACGAACAGGACGCGGGAGGAACCGTGAGCTGCCACTGCCACCGACCACCGCCCGGGTCCCTGCGGGCCCACGTCGCCTCTCTGCCCGACTCACAGATGGCGGGCGACGGCCAGTCGCGCAGGTCCGCGGCGCTGCAGCGCGAGCTGCAGGCCGGTGACGTCACAGGCAGCGAGGCGCTGCGCTCGCCGCGCAGCGTGTCCAGGCCCGAGTCGACGCTGCTGCGCGCGCTCTCGGCGGCGGCGGCGCGGCGGCCGGCGCCGCTCGCCGCCGCCCGCTGCGGGCTCGGCGTGGACGAGCGCAGCTGGCGCGCGCACGGCCCGTCCTGCGGCGAGCCCGACGGCAGGTCCAGGCTGAAGTTGCGCTGCCGCCACAGCTCCGACCTGCCGGCCGCGGCGGCGTCGTCACGGCGGGCGGCCGTCCAGGCGACGCTGGAGCCGCCGACCACGGTACGGTGGCGAGGCCGTGGTTACGGCGATCACGGCCGAGTTCGGCTCACAGGCGGCGATCCGATACTAACGAGTGACGGTCCCGTCACAGTACGGAAAATTACGGCGAGTCAGCAGCCGGGGTGACGTAACCATGTGTCCGTGAATATTTTGCAGAAAATGCACATATTCCGATGCACATTGCATTGACATCAAACACGATCTACGCTTGGTTGCCACAGACCGAGTTACCGCTCAGCTCTTAACGCCCACGCCATCAGACGCGCCGCCGGAGTCTCCCCGGCCTCAGCTCGAGTCGGCCGGCGCCCGGGCGTGCGCTCACCTGTACTTAGTGCCGGGCCGCGCGAACACGCGCTCGCTGCGGTCCAGCTCGCGCGCCCTCTGCCGGATCGCGTCCAGCCGCTCCAGCTCGTCGGCCAGCGCCGCGTGGCCACCCTCGCGCGCCAGCTCCAGCGGCGTCAAGCCCGCCGAGTTCCGCATCCTGCGCGCACGGCCGTCGTCAGCGGGCCGCCGGCGGCGCCTTAGAGCCGCGAGTGGGCAGATTGGGCGCGTGCTGGTCGGCGGCACCGCTGCGGTGCCAGTCGGCGACAGACATCAGGGCACGGCGGTAAAGTCGGCCTGCTGAGGCGGCGACAGACCGACAGTTGGGCGATCGGGACCTGGCGTTGAGCATGTGACCCTTTCACGCAGTGTGCGGGCACTGGCGGCTCTCAAGGTCAGCTGGGCAGCACGACAGGGTGCGAGGGGAGGAAGGCTGAGGGCTGGAAGACCGGGGCGTACAGGGAGGGCGCTAGGAGGTAACACGCCACGAGCACACCTCAGCCGGGGCGCCGCCGCTGAGGCGCCCACACGTGGCTGCCGAGTCAGCCACCCGCCGCACGCCACAGCAGTCCGCCGTACTCCGCAGCGTCATCAACCTTCCACAACAGCGCACGCACACGCACACACCCTCCGCGCCAGCCGATGGTGGGGCGTCCGGCGCCGAGCGGCCGTCGGCGCGCCGGCCGCCGGGCTCGCCGACTCACCTGAGCGCCGTGTGGTTCCACTGGTACAGCAGGCGGGCCGTCTCGGTGTGGCCCCGGTGGCAGGTGAGGCCCAACGGCGTGTCACCCGACTGGTCGGTGCGCACGGCGTCCACCTCCGCCTCCAGGTAGAGCGACGGGTTCTCGGCGCGCCAGTGGAGCAGCGAGCACACCAGCCTGCGGGGCAGGGCGGGTCATACTGCGGTCTGAGGGGGCAGGGCGGGCTGTCTCCCTGCCTACAAGCCTGGTGCAGCAGAGTTGCACGTCTCTCGGTGACACAGCTTCCTACGTGGTTGTATGTCTCCAATGCATGTTTTGAGACGTAACATGCACACACGTGCGTCCGTTATCAATGCGTCTAATCTAAGGCGCATCTACTCCTGAGACTCATCACCGTGATATGCCAAAGGCGAGCAGGGGCCCCGATTACGTCGATGCTTCCGAGAAACGCGTCGAAAGAGCGAGTCGAGGCTATCTCGTCGCGCCGCACGCACCAACGCTCCTTCGCGCGGGTCGCCGTGGACAGCCGCTGCACAGCGGCGGCGGTACATCGAATCGATACATCAACAAAAAACCGCCCGTAAGAAGCCGGCGCATGTTCCGCTGGTCGCAGAACAATGGCTCACAGTCTGGGCCGCTAACGAGAGCGCCCGGCGCGAGCGGCGAGTTTGGCGACGATCGCGACCCCGGGCAAACACGCCGCCGCCAATCAGGTGAAGAGCTCGGCGACCCAATTGCCAGCGGCGCGATCCACGCGGACCCGCTGACGAGGGCCGTGGAAAAAGGGCGGCCCCGGCGCGGCGGTGCGTGGCAGCGGCCGGCCGGCAGAGGCGAGGCTTCGCCGGGGGAACAACCGTATTGGCGGAGGCGGAGGCGGACTTACCCGCCGCGGGTGAGGGCCGAGGCATGGCGGCGGCTTTGACGAGCTTAAAGTGACCGCGGAGGGGTTGGCGCGGGGCACGGAAGCGTCGAAGACGCAGGCCAGCTTCCCCCCTCCCCTCCTCCACCTGCCCACGGAGCCGCCAGACAGCACACGCCAGCGCTCGCCGTCGACAGTCCGAATACAGGATCACAGTCAACACATGAGCCTAATAAACACGGACACATTCACACAGTGACACATCAGCGCCGCCACTGACGTTGACGCTAATACTAACACTGACATTGACACTGACAGTGACACCGCCATTGCCAAAGCCGGCCCGCGCGTGCTGCGCGCCGCCCCGGCGCGATGCCATCAGCCGGGCGGCGGCAGCGCGTCAAGGCGGCGGCGCTGACCTGCTGTAGCCGAGCAGGGCGGCCAGGTGGAGGAGCGAGGGCGCGCCCTGAGCGCCCTCATCGCAGCAGGCGAGCTCGCTCAGCCACGTCCGCGACATCAGGTCCTGGCAGTACGAGATGAGCCGCTCCTCGAGGTGCGGGCCGCACAGCGCCGCCAGCGGGCTGGTCGACTGCCACAGGGGAGGTCGACGGTCAGGTCAGGTCAGGTCGGCGGCCTCTGAGCGTCCCGCGGCCTCGGCACACCCGCGCGGCGCTTCCACGGTCCCGTTGCCGCCGGGAGGCCGACCGACCATCGGAAGGCAGCAGCGACTGTCAGACAACGTCAGGCTATTGGCATCCGCAAATGGAGATTCCGTCTACGACGGCATCTGACGGCCGAGCCAATATTGGCCAACGTTTAACCGCGGACAGTGACAGGATGCAAATGGAAGAACTTGCGGACGCAGTGATTTAGAAACACGCCGCTTTGTTGCTGTCGACCGAAAAAGCCCACAGCAAGACGTATATCCACGGGCTGTGGAACAGCTGGCCTCCGTGTAATGACAATGCCCAAGCTTGCTTATAAACATCGCGCGGCAGGTGACGCAGCAGCCACGCTGCGCGCCGAACAAGCCGGGCGTAGTCGGCGACCCTGACCGGACGACGTCACCCTCGCCCTCCCCTGCCCCGGCCCACCTGGCTGTGCAGCGAGCCCTCAGTGCGCGACTCGATCAGCTGCACGCGCTGCATCAGCGTGAACTTGACGAGCGTGTCGTCCTGGCTGGGGAACGGCGCCGTCGCCGGGTAGGAGGCGGGCGCCTGGTCCGAGGCGCGCCGCTTGTACTCGAACAGGCACGCGTTGGAGATGACGAACCCCTCGCAGGCCACCTGCAGCGGCGCCACGCCGGCCTCGTGCGCTGCCGGCGGGGGCGCCGCCCGGTCAGCGGGCGCCCGAGGGAGGCGGCGCTCGACAGCCACTCGTCACTCGCACCGGACGACGCACGGCGGGGGGGGGGGGGGGCGTCACGGCCGTGGCTGTCGCGACGCGCAGGTGTCGCAGTCGGACGGGTGCGGTGCTGTCTCGTGGCACGCGGGTGGCGTCGGTTGGCGCGGTAGGCGCGGAGTGGAGGGCGCGGCGACGTCAGATGGGAGGGGTGCGAGGTCTACCATCGAGTCGGCAGGCGCCGGTCTGCCGACATCGCCTGCTCCGACCGATTTATTGCCGTCAAACACTCCTCATTCGCTTAAAACGATGGCCTACCAACAGAGGTGCACTTTCCTCAATTCATGGACATTCAAATGAACGCTGGAGTTCTGACAAGAATTGTCGGCACTCAGTTAAACCACGACAATTATCAGAGTACACATCAGGCGCGCAATATCCAACACACGAGGTCAGCATCCACAAGGTAAAGCAGAGTCAAGATTATAAACAACGCCGTTTGGTCGCCAGCTCGCGCCATGTTGTCTCAACTGTTCGTCTCCGCCAGGTCCCAATGGACTTTTCCCCCAGAGTACCTCTCCCAGAGGACACCTCTCAGAGGATTCATCCCAGAGGACATCTCCTCGAAGACATCTCCCCGAGGACATCTCCCCGAGGACATCTCTCAGGGGACGTCTCCCAGAGGACATCTCGCAGAGGACATCTGCCACCAGAGTTCCTCTCCCAGAGGACATCTCTCAGGGCATTTCTCCCAGAGGACATCCCCCGAGGACCTATCACTGAGGACCTCTCTCCGAGGACATCTCCGGCGGACGACCCGGAGGACCTCTGAGCGGCCGAGTGACAGCACAGATATAATCTCTCCAATGACCAGCCCGCTAAAAGCCGTCGATCCTCTCGCATAGCCCAGGGGGGGGGGGGGACGTCGAACCGGCCACTGACACCGGGCGAAATCAAATCTGTGCCCAATTTTCACGAGGTGGTCTCGAAATGTCCGCTGATTGAGCGGCCGCAGCGCTGACGCTGTCCCGTCAGCGGGCGCTGTCGCCAGCCGGCTCTCCGCCGGCCCACGGACGCCCGGTGGCGGGGCGGCCGGGCCCGCCGCCAGCGCGCGCTGGGAAGGAGCTATACTCCCTCAGGCATCTTTGTTGGATGGTTCAAGAGGGCGGCGTATGGATCTCAGTTCCAGCTAAGAGAGCGATTGAAGAACACGTCGTGCGGATCCGATTCCAAGTACGGGCAGTTTGCTCTGGCCGTGGTCCTCGGCACGTCGTCGAGGCGCGTCTTCCAAATACGTGGTATTTTTGCCGGAGTGAGCTGGGCAGCGCTGCCGAGAACTATAACGTTAAGCTGGGTTGAGCCGTGAGGGCTTCGGAAGCTACCCTGGGCAAAGCTCCGCCTGTGTCAACGAGATACGACCATCCTGGGTGGGATTCGAGTTCAGGAGTTCGTGTGTCTGAAACCCATGGGATCCGACAGCAGATGCCGACGCAAAATAAACACTCTAACCATTACACCTAACTAAGCACCACCGGAACGGTGACAACCAGAAAACGACGCATGCCAACCAACGCCACTACTTCCAATATTTATTAACCCTAGCGTTACGAATGGTCTGAACATCTGGCGTTTGCTCACGGAACTTCCAGTCGAACGAATAATACTGGCCACGCTTTTTGCTGGACGAGCTTGCAGAAAGGATCGCGTTCGTTCCGCACAATGTCACGGCACGTGCCTCGTTGAGCCCCTCTCGTCCGTTGTCAGCTGACCGCTGTGTACATGGACTGACCAAACAGACCAACCTCCGGGACTCGAAGCCCAGCACAAATATACGACTCCTCCGCCTTTCCCCTCGGTCCCAATGTCGGATCGCCTCTGCTGAAGTTGGATTTCCGGCCAGATGCTATTGTGTTGTGGGAGGTGGCGACATGCAATGGCCATCACCAGCGTAAGGGTGCGCCAATACTGTGCGCGTGAAATGTTCAATAACCATGCCCAATCAGCACACATAACACCTCAGGCAGTCGGCTGTAAAGGGTCGAGATCAAGCCGCACCCCGGACGGGCTACCGCGGCGTCGTTAGATCAACTGGGAAGAACTACGCCATTGGGGCCGAGTCTTCACCCACTGAATGTTTTGCTCCAGGGACCTCTGGCGTGAATGGCCATGTTAATGAATTATGCACAAACTTCCAGATTAACTCGCACAACAACACATCGTTAAGGGGTGAAAGCAGCGTGGCTGACGTGTCCGAAAGCTGGAACAACCATGTCAAGGCTGTTTTCGAACTCGCACTCGGGAAAGAGTTCAACATGCGAAGCGTGGAATGTGGACGCATTCTTCTACATCCTTCCGAGAACAGTTCAGTGACTTACGGCACACCCTGGGAAACCTAGCACTTCCTTATATCCGGAGCCACACAGCGACGACACGTCATTTCTCTTCCAGCCAGCGACTGGTTGAACCTGGTGTCCCATTTGTTTGCAAAACCTGACAGCAATATAGCAAATTGCCTGCCTCTTTCACTTCGGTCCGGCCACAAAATTGCGAAGCTGATGCAAGATGCTGCATGCAAGCAAATGTCCGACAAACCGAGGCAGTGACCTTGCCGGAATCTCCAGATTTGGCGGGGTTGTGGCTCGAAATGCGGGTGGCTTCATCAACAGAGCCGACCTTCTAATCAACCGCTTATCGGCACCGCTAGAGCTTCGACTGCCTCCGAAAACTGTCATAGATTGTGCCTTTGCGCTACAGGGAGACCAGAACACGTCCTCGAGCGTCGCAACATCCAGCGGCGGCCCGTGCCAGCGACGATGCCAGGTCACAGCCACAAACCGTCCATGTTTCTGAGGCCGTGAAGTGTCTTAACAATTTCTTTCAATTGGCAATACGCGCAAAACAAACATGTCGAAAGACGTATTATGGGCAATTTTATCACAGTTTCCCCCATGTATTCCGTTTCTAGAGACCCTCATGGTTATCAACGTCAGGCTGGGCATAAAATGACCACTCCTCCACACCTATCTGATGAATATTTCAAAATGTTTATTTATTTCTTAATATCTTATTATTAATATTTCATCGTAAGTACTTTCCGTGTACGAAAACTTTAGAGCATTTGCGAGTGAGCACACGTACATTCTGGGGGTACCTGGCCCGCTGCTCACACGCGGTGACGTCTCTGAGCTACCACCTCAGGTCACACTTTTCTAGATCCAGACAATTTATGTTAATTAAGCAAGCACCCAAATATCCCACAGGCGGGGCACACTAATTTCGCTTATCTACGCAGGCTATAATACAATGTTCCCCATGGTGTCAGCTAAGAACTTTTCTGGAAAACAAATAACCTGAATTCGAGCAAACCCCCACAAAAGACCACCTAACACGGAACACTGGACAAGAAAACGGTGGGACGATACTTTCAGCCCACAACACAAACACCGAAGCGACACTTACTTCCCGGTCCAAAAGCGGACAAGACCAGACGGTCATCACGATTTTTCCCCGAATTCTCACTGACCTGGACAGAAGCAGCGGAGCACACCGCTCTGCACGAGCTGGGTGGGCACCGCCACGCCGTCGAAGAGCACCGAGTAGGGCGAGGTGGTGGCGTACCACGGCCCGGCCACCAGCACCTTGATGCCACCCTGCCGGCACGCACACCGGTCCGCGTGAGGCGCCGTTCAGCGACGCTTCCGCCGCCGGCGCGGGGTAACCCGCAGGGCCGGCTGGCGCGTCACAACCATGGAGCACACGCACACACGCACGCACGCACGCACGCACGCACGCACGCACGCACGCACACACACACACACACACACACACACACACACACACACACACACACACACACACATACAAACAAACGCGTGTATGTTTCATGTATGTGTGCGTCGCATTACGCACACATTTCATGTATGTCCCACGCATCATACGCGCATGAATGCGTGTCGTATCTACGCATGTGTGCATGAATATATGCATGCATCTCGCATCTGCGCATGTAACTCGCTCTCGCGCCACGCGGCGAGCCTCCGCCAATCTCCGCGAAGCCGCGCGGACATACCGTCCCACCCGCCGTCACGGCCGCTGGGGGCGGGCGGCGGCGGAGCGCCGCGACCCCGGCGGCCGCCGCCGCTCGTCGGGCGGCGCCGGGCCAACCGAGGCCCGATCAGCGCGCCGCTGGGCCGGCTGATTGCGCTCCGGAAATCTCGCGGCCGCGCCCGGCAGGCGGACGAGCCGGCCGGCGGCCCCTGGCGACCGCGCCGGGGCTCTGGCGGCGGCCGGCGCGCGAGGCAGACGCCCCATCTGGCGCGCCTCAAACGCACGGCGGCGGGTATTGATCTCATCCGAATCAGCGATTCATGGCCAGCGGTGCAATAATACGGGCGATGAAATGCATGACAGAAGCGTGGAAATATTGTAAATATAACATTCCAAGAAATGGTCTTGTTTGCTTTTATACTTGCTGGGTGGTATCCAACCACAGCCAGCGACGGCTGTAAATCACCGTCGTGGGGAAACCTCCCCTAAACTGGACAATGGTGATGCCTCTCAACGATCATCGGCAGGCATGTGCTCTGAATGCTGACGACTCGACCTTTTAGCGCGGGACAGAGATTGTCTTTGATCAGACGCGATGCCCAGAGCGATACACCTTCACGTCCTCCCCATTTTCAGCGATACGACAGAAATCAGATCAGCATCAGCATCAGATCACCACAAATCAGCAGCGGGCGGCGCGACACCGCCGCCCAGCTGCGGCTCAAGCCGCCGACCGCTGGGCGATCCACGGCTCTACGTCCGGCGCAAGACGGCACACACGGGCGGGCCGACGGCCGACCCGCCGCTGGCGGCGCGCCGTCCCCGGCGCTGACGCGAGGATGGCTGCTGGCGCTGGCCGCCGAGTGTCCCGTCAGACCTGCCCTGGCGCTGTCGGTCAGCCGACCTGCCGCTGGCGGCGCACTGTCCCCGGCGCTGACGCGGGGACGACTGCTGGCGCCGGCCGCCGAGTGGCCCGTCAGGCCTGCCCTGGTGCTGTCGGTCAGCCGACCTGCCGCTGGCGGCGCGCCGTCCCCGGCGTTGACGCGGGGGCGACTGCTGGCGCCAGCCGCCGAATGGCCCGTCAGGCCTGCCCTGGTGCTGTCGGTCAGCCGACCTGCCGCTGGTGGCGCGCCGTCCCCGGCGCTGACGCGGGGATGGGGGCGGCCGCTGGCGCCGGCCGGCGAGTGTCCCGTCAGGCCTGCTCTGGCGCTGTCGGTCAGCCGACCGGCACCACTGGACCCCCTCCTCCGGCGCGCGGGGGCGGGGGGCGGGCGGGGGCGGCGAGTGAGGCCAGCCGGCGACGAGCGCGACGCGGCGGATCGACCATCGCGCACGCCCCCACTGGCGCCCGCGACCGCTCCCAGAGGACACCAGGCGAGCGGGCGGCCCACTGGGGAGGACGCCAGCGGAGAACACGGCACGTGTCCAGCGGCAGCGCGCCGACAACCGCCTCCCCGATCCACACCGCTTCCCGGCCGACGGTTTCAACTCCTACGCGCCGAACTAGAAGCCCGGTGGTGCCGCGGCGGAAATTGTGGGGCCGTGACTCAGCCGCTGCGGTCGCCGACCAATACCGCCGGGCCATTCGACCGGCGATCCTGTCTCGTGATCAGCTCTCATCGGCGATACGGCGCCGCTCTGTCGGCCACCGGCGCGGCGTGCAGCATCACGGTCGGCACCGGGGCGGGGCACGAGGCGGGGCACGGCCGGGGCGGGGCACGCAGCGTACCCTGGTCCGTCCTCACCAGCCACAGCACCATGTGGCATTCATCACGGACTGAGCGGCTCGGCCGGTATCTCGCATGTTCTGCGCCCGAGCTCCGTGACACCCGTCTCCGCCCGACGGCGTCCCGCTAGTCCGCGTGGATGCCGCGCTCTAGCAGGACCTCATCCGACCGTCTCGACGGACAGCCGCCCCTCCAGTGCCGGACAGGACGCGCACGGGGCAGCCGCTTCAGCCGGCACTGCCCCAGCCCATCCGCCAGCCCCTCCACCGTCAGAGCCACCTGTGGCCCGTCGCGGGCGGACGAGGTGAGTGGCAGGAGCTGGCCCCTCGTCCCCCCAGGAGCCGCCGGCTCAGTGGAGCCGCACCAACCCCCGACTCCCCGGCCAGACAGCCAGCGACCAGCTGGGGACAGTCACGTCGTGGGAAACAAACAACGCCTACCGACGGGGCGGCGAACTGTTGAAAACTACCGTTACGTAATAATATTGATGGCGGTTTGCAAGAAATGAGCAACAACATGACGGACAGTTTAATGGACTCCGTGGTTACCTTGGCGCGCTACATTGCTTGTAGTTATTTATAAGAATTCCCCGGGCCTTACAGGCCGAGAGGGAAATCCCGTGTGCAAAACGAGTCACAACCATGTGAGCGTCGCCAACGGCACCACAGAACTCCGCCACGGCCTTCCCATTGCGAACCAGCCCCATGTACGCCCCATGTACGCCCAGCCCCATGTAGCAAGAGGTCAAGTCCCACCGAAAAACCGGCGCGTGCAAAAGTCCAGCACCGTGAACTCGTCGGGGCTGAAGGAGACTCGTCGGCTCCGAAGCTGGGGTATTGCCGACCTGTTGGCGCACGACCAACCAACGCCCGTGGCGCAATTCACAGCGATGCGAGTCGTGGTTTCCCAGCGACACACAGCTGACGCAACGGGAAGCGGGGTGATGTGATGTGTTGGAACTGATGGCCGAGTGGCGGTACAAACGGTCCGACGATAAACATCGACTTCGCGCCCGTTTCGGAGTATCGTAGTTGTACCAAATGTAGTACAGGCGGGACAGACCTGCCGAAAACTCAAAAACAAGGCTTGGGCAAATACCTTGTTATTGAACTGCGGTTTGCTTTCGATGACACGTTGAGCGAATGCGCCACGTTGTTTGGCAAAACGCAATGATTAGTTGGTCGTTCATACGGCGTGTTTCGAACCCGCCCGGCTCCAAATCCGCAGCATAAGCGCACCACACAGACACGAGTGTCCTCTCCCATCTCACCGAAAGCTCACCGTCCCGTTCCAGTTCCCACCGCCGCCACCATCCGACAAGAGTGCACGTGGAGCCCGCACGGCGAGCCAACTGACCTCCGGGTAGGCCCACTCCGGGCTGAAGTCGGTGATGTTGGCCGTGCCCTCGCGGTAGTCCATGTTGACCGACGTCTTCTCCGGCTCGCACTTGCCGCCCTCCGGCTCGGCCGCCGCTGCGACGGCGACCGCCGCCGGTCGCTGACGCTGCTGCTCCGGCAGCTGCTGGCGCTCCTCCTGCTGCAGCAGCAGCGGCGGCGGCGGCGGCGGCGGCTCGCCGACGGGCGGGGGCGAGTCGGCCGGCGGCGGCACCGGCGAGCGGCCGACGCTCGCTCGCTGCATCTTGCTGTCCGGCGGCGAGCACGAGGCCGACGACGACTGGCCCACCTCCAGGCTCTCGAAGTCAAAGTCGTCGAGGTAGTGCAGCGCGTCCAACAGCGACGCCTGGTCGTGCTTGTCGCAGGCTTCCAGCTGCGCCATGTCCAGGTCGGCCGGCATGCTGGCGGACAGCGTGCGCTGGATGTCGTCCAGCGAAAGGTCGAACGTCGCCCTGCGGACGCGGTGCCTCCGGTCACCGGCGCACGCGCCGTTCGCGAGCCCTGACGGGCGTCGCCGAGCGTCGCGAGCGAGCGACCCAGCCCGCGGCCGCGAGGATGCAAACCGTGCGCAGAGCGGGGGCAGGGCGGGGAAAGTGAGGGGTACAGGCTGTTACGAAGGGCACCGGCAGCACGGCCGCGTGGCGACCGTGCTGAGCGGGGCGGACCAGGCACCGCTCACAGCCGGTCGCAGGTCCGAGTCTGAGGTGGGACCGGGTCAGGCAGAGTCGAGCAAGCTAAGCCGGCCGAGGCCTGATGGGGCGGCGACTGCAGCGACGGTCACCGGACGGTCAGGCCCCGGGACGACAGGCAGAGCGCCGAGGACACCATTAAGCGCCAGAGCGTGTCAACCTCGATCGAAGACCCACCAGCCAGTCAGCAGTAAAACGCAGCACCACTAAGTCCTCATCCCACCGGCCATTCGGGACACCCATCTGATCTCCAACAAAATCAGCTTTGGCAGCACAGCCACGCGCACAACTGTGTTGACGCATCGGCGTTTCGGCGAACTGCCTGTACAGCCCACAAGCCTTGGGTCTTACTAAGCCCGGCAATGGGCGCAATCCGTGCCTCACACGGGTCGCGGGTATGGAGCACGATGCCCCGTCACGCATGCACCCGTGCTCAAACAAGCTCGGCATCGATGGCATGGCGGGGTCGCCTCGCAGCTTATCCCCCACATGCATCATTCATCGTACTCGCCAGGCCGACAGACTCCTAGCAGCGGACGGGGCCCGCGGGGACGATGTCAGGCCATTGAGGCTCAGATTACCACGCCACCGACATGCCAGTTTCAGGGCACGTGCGGCGCACACGGTCCGAGATCGGCCGGATCATCCCAGCGCCAGCCCGCCCGAAATACCGGCTCGCGCGGGCGCCGCGCCGCCGCCGGACAAACTCCGCCGCCGCGCCACGCGCCGCGCCCACCTGAACAGGTCCTGGTCGGCGGCGAGCGGCCAGGCCGGCCCGGCGTCGGCGGGCGCCGGCGGCGCGGACGCCGGTGGCGGCGGCGGCTGCGGCGCGTGCTCGCCGGCCGCCGGCGCCGGCTCCGGCTCCGGACCGCCGCTCGGCAGCAGCAGGTAGCCGGTGCCGCCCTGCAGCGCCTGCACGTTCAGCACGAGCGGCGGCGCCGCGGTGGCAGCGGCAGCCGGCTCGGTCGGCAGCGACGCCCGGCTGGCCGACACCGTCACCGTGGAGGAGGCCGTCGCCGTGGTGACGCGCCGTAGCTGCCGCGAGTCAGGGGCCACAGGTCAGCAGGGCGCCGCGGCGCTGCACACACACAGCCAGTGGGATCGAGCGGCGCCCGGCATTCGATAACAGCCTGCCGTGTCTCGAGGGTGTGCAAAAAGAAGACTACGCGCCATTTTTACTCTGCTGCTGACTACTAGAACGCGAAGTCCTGTAGCAGCCCGTTTCACGTGTCAGCACTGATAACATCGATACAACACCGAGACCGCCGACAACTCGGGAGCACACCACACCGAGCAAATCACGCCAGGCCCGTTTCAGACGGTGTCACCAACAGAACACTTCCCATCAGCCGCCATCAGAGACTGTCAACAAGCACTCCCCAGCGTACTCAGCTCGGTTCGTCTCGTCGAAAGCGCAGCCGCCAGGGAAGGTCAGGAATCTCGTCGCGAGCACGCGGCCGGGGTGGCACGGAGGACGATGATACGGAGGAGAGGAGGACAGGAGGACAGGAGGACAGGAGGACAGACAGTGCAACTGTCGGGCTTGGGCTCGGTCCGCGAGCGGCACACCGCGGGGCTGGGGCGGCGGGTCACGGCATCGTCACCAGGCTAGAGAGCCGGGTCTGAGCAACACTCAAGCATGAGCTTAAATCCTACGCTGACAGTTATCAACCTTAAATGCACCAGGCGGTGCTGGTTATACGGAGTCACCAAGCAACCATTGCTTAAGTTGCCAATGCTGAACAAATCATTGAAGACATAACCGATGTCTGCTTGATGATGTTGCTTAACCAATACCTCCTGGCGTAGTGAAGGCCGATAGTCGTCAGCATAAGATCTCTGAGCTCATTATGCTGGAACATCGCGAGCTTAAGTCCTTTCCTGCCTGTATGCACTCAGGTAAGAGACCGTTTCTGTATTGGATCAGTGCATGTGAATACACTGCAACCCAGTTGGAGCAACGTGCGTGGGATCACCGTTGTACAGCCGTGTTTAGACGGGCGAGCAATCCCGGGCTGAGACGGTGTTAGTGCGGATCACTACCCGGCTGGTGTAGTGCGCGTGCCACGATCATTAGCGTCGGCACTGTTAGAGGTCAAGACCGCGTCGGACAATGTTCCGGCACCAGAGCGGTTGCCGGGTTGTGCCGGTTTTTGGAGGTGTTTTTGCCCGTTTAAACAGTGCGCATGGGGAGTACGCCTCACTGCATGACGGAAACGACGCACACCGGATCGCTGCCGTGCTGGAGCGGGGTTCAGAAGTCGGACCGTTACCAGGTTGAAGCGAGGTTCAGACGTCGGACCGTTACCGCGTTAAAGCGGGGTTCAGACGTCGGACCGTTACCGGGTTGGAGCGGGGTTCAGACGTCGGACCGTTACCGGGTTGGAGCGAGGTTCAGACGTCGGACCGTCACCAAGTTGGAGCGGGGTTCAGACGTCGGACAGTCACCGAGTTGGAGCGGGGTACAGACGTCGGACCGTTACCGGGTTGGAGCGGGGTTCAGACGTCGGACCGTTACCGGGTTGGAGCGGGGTTCAGACGTCGGACCGTTACCGGGTTGGAGCGGGGTTCAGACGTCGGACCGTTACCGGATGGGAGCGGGGTTCAGACGCCGGACCGTTACCGGGTGGGAACGGGGTTCAGACGTCGGACCGTTACCGGGTTGGAGCGGGATTCAGACGTCGGACCGTCACCGAGTTGGAGCGGGGTACAGACGTAGGACCGTTACCGGGTTGGAGCAGTGCGCGCCGCCGGCGCAGGCGCCCTCCGCACAGCCGCACTGCAGCTGCGCCACCGCCTGCGAGGAGCGCACCTGCCGCTGCCGCTCCATCAGCTGGTCCACGATCAGATCCACCGTGCTGGACACCTGGGCGGAAGCGAGACGGGGTCAGCGCCGGGCGGCTCCGAGCCCGCCCGCTCCAGGCAAACAACACACTCAGATGGCACCGTAAACATGCTGACAAATGACCCGTGGCCCGGCGCTTGGCCGCCACGGCAACCAAACGATCGGGACTATTTGGAGGGCGCCGCCACAGACAGACACGTCGGCCGACGCCGTCGAGCTGAGGGCGTTATGAGATAGGGGAGGTAAAAATAGCGGTCACATGTTCTCGTACAGCTGATATTAGTGGCGACTCTTCCAGCAGCCAGTGGGGTCGGCAGGTTCTCATTCGAGACGTCCTGTCGAAAAAACAGAGTCAAGCTGACGGCACTGGCACACAGTCGCCCTTCACAGCGCTTCTCCGGATTCCCGCAGCCCGTGCCATTCAAGTCACACCAGAACGCGACGAGTCCCATCTTCATGGCTCCCGGGCACACCACTCAAGTTGAGAAAGGCTGCACCCAACATCCTTGGCGGAAGCACAGGAGCACGAGTCTGGCCAAAGGGAATCGTGCGCAACGGGCCGCTTCTCGCCATGCGCTGTCCTTCAAAGATGGCATTTTGTTGGTTTCTCCGCACCTCGCCCTTTTCGTCATCCTCCGCGCAATTTCTCGAGCGAGGTGCCCAATGACCAGCGCGCTTCAAATCGCTGCTCGCTAAACTCTTTTTAGCCCTCTTCCTTACCTTGTACCTCACATCCTCCCCACATCATTGTCCCATCTCTGTTCCAAGAAGCTACGCTCACGGTTTCACCGCGATAAGTGCACGAATGACCAAGTGTTCGTGGATGAGGTAAAAAGTACAACGCGGCACCTGCCATAAACGTGACCAGAAGAGCACCTTTCGCACATGCTCTGAGCGCGTAACTGGCGTCCATCAGAGCGCCAGGAAGCCGCGACGCGATTGGTGCAGGCCAGAGCGGGCGCGCCAGCAGCCGCACGAAACGGTGGACGCCGAGGCCTGGACCGTTTGAAGCGGCGGAGCACGTGTGGCCGCCAGCACAGCTGCGGCCCGTCTCATAACGAGAGCTAAAATTTACACCCCCTGTAAATTGCATCGTGTGGACAAATGGGCGGCATGCTCCTTAGTTTCATCGAATCACCCTATTCGACGGCTTTAAAATCAAACCCTCATCGACCTTGAACTCTTTCCGGCCCATTTTCTCAAACGATACATTTTACGGCTTCAATTTCCATTGCGGAACTGGCTACTGATTTTGGGGTGGCAGCGGTGCCGGCGGCGGCGGCGGCGGCGGCGGCGACGGGAGGAGGCGAGCGCCGCCGCCGGGCCGAATTCCCGCGACGGTTCATTTGTGTCGGCGGACTGAGGTGCGGAGCCGACCGGCTTACCGGGCACGCGGGTCGCACGAGACATCGATTCACCACGGCCGGCACGCGACGGGGAGCGGAGGCCGAGCTGGGAGGCGGGTAACCTCGCCACGAGCCGCGCGGCCTGCCAGGCTCCAGGTGGGGCGGCGCGGCCTCAGCGGAACACCGACCACACGCAGCAGCCAGACCTCGGCAACAGCTGTGCAGAAGTTAGGTAGCGGTGGGCGTGGGGTCTCTCAACCACGCTGAGTTGCCCACACTGATCTGCTCTTGCGTCGCCGCTTCCTGGCCGCTGCTCCGATCAATGTCACAGGGGCGCGTAGTGCACGTGGGAAATATGTAGGTGTGGTCCTGTGTTTCGCAGACCCTGGTCCTCTCAACAAGAATGCTGAGCTGCGAAGCGCTGAAAATCAGCCGTCACGACGGGACGTCATCAGAACGTCGACGGAATCACGACGGGACGTCATCAGAACGGCGGTGGAATCACGACGGAACGTCATCAGAACAGCGGTGGAATCACGATGGGACGTCATCAGAGCGGCGGTGGAATCACGACGAAACGTCATCCGAACAGCGGTGGAATCACGATGGGACGTCATCAGAACGGCGGTGGAATCACGATGGGACGTCATCAGAACGGCGGTGGAATCACGACGAAACGTCATCAGAACAGCGGTGGAATCACGATGGGACGTCATCAGAACGGCGGTGGAATCATGACGGGATGTCATCAGAACGTGGACGGAATCACGACGGGACGTCATCAGAACGGCGGTGGAATCACGACGAAACGTCATCAGAACAGCGGTGGAAACACGATGGGACATCGTCAGAAGAGCAATGGAATCACGGCGGAACGTCATCACAACGGCGGCGGAATCACGGCGGGACGTCATCAGAACGTCGGCCGAATCATGGCGGGACGTCATCAGAACGGCGGCGGAATCACGACCTGACGGCGGGACGTCATCAAAACGTCGGCAGAATCACGGCGGGACGTCATCCGTACGTCGGTAGAATCACCACGAGACATCATCAGAACGTCGGCAGAATCAAGGACCTTTATTTCAGTTTCTATACCGGAGCACACCAGCTCAGGCCGGGAATCGAATTCGAGTGACCCCTGAAATATTATAAACATATTTCGGCCCAAAATCAACGGCCTTCGGCTTCGCCTATCCAGATATGGCATATTTGTAGGTACCCTTTACTGAATCGTCCAGTAGTCTATTTGCTTAACCAGACATTGACCTGTGCTGTTGTTTACGCACTGAATATTGCTGGTATATATTCCCATCGACTCGGGAGCGGGGCATAAGGAAGTGCATTTCAAATTACGTCAGCCACTATGCATCATGCTCAACAACTTGAAAGATGAATAAAGGAACGGCAATGCCTGGGGATAAACACCACAAATAGCAGTCCCCGAACCAGATGAAAAGATGACTGATCAGACACGGCTCGTTTCGTGTGTGTTCACCTGTTTGTGGATACGGAGCTGGGCAGTTCAGGCGCGATGGAATCGCCATTTCATGGCAATTGGCTATAGGCCACGAGTCCATTAGGTACAAAGAACGTTTACAGAACGCATCACTTATGGCATGGCCATAGAACGCTTATTTCAACACCAGTCATCAAAAGCCTTGGCCATCGTTTACGCGTTTCTGAACGGCGGCAAATGCCTAGCCAGCTTGTGCGTCGAGGTTATGAGGCTTAATGATACCCAGTCCAGTGACAATACATCAATGTCCATGAGCTTCTATGAACGTCGCAGATCAGTCAGACTAATTAGTACCTGATGGGGCAGTCACGAAAATAGATCACTGCCCCGAGAATCGAACCCATTGCCAACCCGCTACGAATCCAGTATCATCGCACGGAGCTACGCGTCCTTTCAGGCACAAAAATAATACGAATGAGACAAAGCCGACCCATTTATGCGCAGCTCGCCGACGACGCCAGCAGTGAACCAGTGGGGGTGACGGCGAGCGCGACGAAAAATAAGTGGATAATTACGCGACGAAGTGCCGACGCCGAAGTGCTCACGGAGTCCGCATGAGTCGGCCGGTCCAATGGCCGCGTCGCAGCGAGCTTCGACCGCCGAGGAGCGGGGGGTGCTACTCAGCTCGAGCGGCCCAAGCACCTCTCGTAACGCCGCCCGGGATGTCCGACGTCGGCCCGACGGCTGACGGCCGCCATGGCCAGATGAAATTGGCGCCCGTTACGGCACACGGCTCGTTGGGCCCGGCGCTGGGCTTCCGGCGGCTGCTGCCGCTCGCGTCCGTCGCGACATTTGCGTCCGGCGTCGGGCGTGGCGCGCGCCGAGCCGAGTGGCGGGGTGGGTGGGGCAGCGGCGATGACAGCACTCAGTCAGATGGTGGGTCTTCACAGGGGGAGGTCTTTGGAGGAGCGAACGTGCTTTTCCCCAGACAGTGTTCGATATTTTGGACCGTGCAGTGCTCTTGACAGGACACGCGGTGCTCTTGCTGTCAGGATCGGTTCCACAGAGCCCGTGACAACGCCGACCTGAATAGACCTAACCATTACGCCCATCGCCCCCGACGCCTTCCGGCTACGTGGTGACCCGCAACTGTTGTTGACTCGCAAGGCACGTTCACTCGCAACACGGTCTGCTATCCAACCAAACTCCACGGCCTCCAACAAAGTTTCGCTCTAATGTCCCGCTTTTAGTTCTGCACACCTCAGGAACGACCTTGCGCGAAATGTTCACGTGGACGCCCAGCATTTTGTTGAATTTAGCTGAATCTACCAATCTGCTGACCGCTGATAACTGTGGCCACGTCGTGCGATGGTAAAACGGCCTCCGACGCCGAAATTGAGAGGCATAATCTGACACCGTCAGCAGACGGCAAAGGCCTGGCCTTCGCTCCTACCACAGAGCGACCGCCTCCCACTGACCACGGAACACGCCCCGTCGTCGCCGGTGGCGGCGAGACGGTGGCGGCGGGCCGTCGCCGCGGCCGTGCGGCGCGGAGTGGCCTGGCGGCGCGGAGTGGTGGCGGCGCGGAGTGGTGGCGGCGCGGAGTGGCCTGTCGGCGACGAGCCGCGCCGCCTCCGCCGCGACCGGCACGCCACGCTCGGCGCCGGCGGACCGGCCTTTCCGTCCAGGCCGATCGATTCAAAGGAGCTGTTTGCGGCGGAGCGCACGGCGAATCGTTAACGGACCATCAACACGGGCCTATCGTGCGGAGTTGCGGCTGACGGGCCACAAGCGCCCGTCAGGCCTCCCGCCGCGCCACGGTCTCTCCCGCGCGCGGTGTCACCGCACCCGTGTCCTGGCAATGAGCTGCAATCACGACAGTGAACTGCATTTCTGAAACGGTGGCCAGTCTTGCCAGTGCTGCCCCCATTGACGCAGCAAGGAGCGCGCATCACGACACCGTCGGCAAACGCAGTTGGCGCTTTATGCAAACGCAGCACAAAGTTTTCGCTGCCCGGGAACGGAGCAGCATCTCACATCATCCGACCGGCTTTCCTCGGAGCTGCGTCATCTCAGATCGGAGGGTAGGATGTGTTCGTCAATCGAACGAGTCCCATCTGGACTCGGTAGCCGGTGCAACGCTACGCGCGTGGCGCGGGACGCCGGTACCGTGGCGCATGCAACCCCACATGAACAGGTTTCAATTCGACCGTAGTGCATTCAAGCTAACTGAGATGCATTCACCCTCACAGACGAATGGCGGCATTTTTAAATTGAGCACGCCAATTCCGAAATTGTCCGTTAGCATGCCACCAACTGCAAACCCAACAAATAAATTATGAATTGAACATTTAGCTATCATAAATGGGCGCAATCACGCGACTGGACATGCATGACCAGAGAGATGCAGAACTAACATATTTATGGACGTGTTCCATAACGCACTCGAGTCCAGGCCCTGACAGCGCGTTCAACGCCTCAGAGCCCCGAAGTAGTGTATGTGACCCGGGCAGGATAAGGTAGTTCGCCAAGATCGTATATGATTTGATATAAGATCGGCCTCTTCCAGAGCCATCCAAGCTTGCGGCATAGTTCTACGGGCACTCCTAAACACAGTCCGTGCGCTGCAGGATGACAACGCGGAACACCTCGTCAGGGGCAGACATATTCCTCTTTCCTCGTCGTCTTCCAGACATTCTCTAAGACAGCCGGCGTCCTTAACGGCTTCCTCAAAACGCGGCTCATGGGCGCAAGCGGGTACAACGACCTCGGGCCAAAGCCAGCCTTTCCTCAGCTGGCGTTTCAACCACAGCACGCCGTTCTGCTTTCACTCTACGGCTCGAGCGTGCCTTCCGCGGCGCGTTAGTGAGTCCCTCGGGGCCTAATCACTTCAAGTTTGTTATTAAATACGGCATATGGGCGTCATTTCTGGCCACATGCCGGCAAAGTTACGAATTCGCAATATGACACGGCGAAGCCGCGCACGAGTGCCGCATGCAAAGCGAACAGGAATCGATTAGGCAGACTTCGTACAGTAGACAGGAGTTCCACCTCCAGGGTTTTGCTTGCTGCGGCTTAAACAGAGCCTGTTTGGCTACGCAGGAACTTCAACAGAATAATATAAGATACAACAGGCGTCACAAGAGCGAGCTGAAACGCCTCCAGAATTTCAAAGTGAGCGTGAAAAGCCTATCTTGCATCAGCGTCACAAGCTATTTCAACAAAATTTTTCCAGCTAGCGCCAGCTCACTGGGGCCGGCTCTCGTCGGCTGACAATGTGAGGAAATATAGTGAGGTGAAGATATCTGCAAACGATGCCATTTCCTGCCACACACGCGGCGGACAAAACGACAAAGCATTATCTTGAACCTGCCAGCGAACGCTTCATCACATGGCTTTCTTTGATGTCCTTGCTTGTTTATTTACGCTTTATCACACATACACATTTTATTGTTTATACACGCTTTACTACGAACACATATTGTATTATTTAAGTAGGTTTTATCAGTTCCCAAAAAATCGCTATGTACGTGTTGCTTTTCATCAATCTATAAACGTCTGGCTAGAAATGTTGGCCTAACTTCTCTGGAGCGTTGGGCCCGTCCCGGTCGTCAGAGCGGCCGGCCAGCCTGCCGTGAGCTGACGGAAGATGGGACTCGGCGACCCAGCCTACGTCGGTCAGATGCGGTCATCCCCCCGCCGCCGGCGGTCACCCCCCTGCACGCCTGTCCCGTCGGGCCGGCGGCCACCGCAGGACGCAGCGCGTCTCTCAGCCACTCCCGCCACCGACGGCGACACCGAACGATGATGGTCGTCCCGCGTACCCCCACATGCCGTCCCAGTGTCGCGTCCCGCCCGGGCCGGGTCAGACCCCCTGCCACCGTCCGGCGTCCCACCACGGGCCGCCGCCGCCTGTCGCGTCCCGCCCGGGCCGGGTCAGACCCACTGCCACCGTCTGGTGTCCCACCGCGGGCCGCCGCCGCCTGTCGCGTCCCGCCCGGGCCGGATCAGACCCCTGCTACCGTCCGGTGTCCCACCACGGGCCACCGCCGCCTGTCGCGTCCCGCGCCAGGCCGGGTCAGCGCCCGGACCACCGTCCCGCGTCCCACCACCTGCCACCACCGCCCGCCGCGTCCCGCCCGGGCCGGATCAGACCCACTGCCGCTGTCCGGTGTCCCACCACGGGCCACCGCCGCCTGTAGCGCCCCGCGCCGTCACCACGCGCCGGGCCGGGTCAGCCCGCCGCGACCCTCCGCTGCGCTCCAGGGCGCCGAGACTGTTCAGTTTCTTGGTCCAGCGACGCGGGCCACCGCTGCCGCCGCGGCCGGTGTGTGCGGCGCCAGCGGCCGGCGTCAGGACAGTACAGACCGCTTCGTCCGCTACGCATTGGCTGCTGACGGCTCCGCGCTTACGACCCCCTGCCCTCCTCTCCACGCGATGCGTCCGACCCTCTGACTCGCACGCGTCGACCCCACAAGACGTCGCATCGCCCGGATGGCGCGTACGGAATTGCAACGGTGGATTTATCGGGCTGTCGGCACGGTGCAGGCGCAAATTGCAACGAATGATTGATCGCACACACGAGGAGAAAATACCATAACCACCGAGCCACGTGCGACGGAATTCCGTTCGCAGTACTTTCTCACGGTCGTACGGATTCGGTCGCCTCTCAAAAGACATCAGCCCGCATTTCGTGCGCACATCCGGTAGATGGAAAACACGTCACAGTCACAGCCTAGCGCAGCACAGCGCATACACCGAGACCAGCACTACCATAACCCGCCTCCAGCTGTCGGTTTGAGCGAGGACAGAGGGCCGACCGCGCCGGACGGCGGCTGCGGCCGGCCGCAGCAGTGTCCGCTCCTGGCCGAGACGGCCCGGCGGCAGCGGCGGGCGACGGACACAGCAGCGAGGGCCGACCGCGCCCGCGAGGCGACAGCGAGCCCACGGGGAGTCCGCTGCGGCCGTGCTACACTCCGGAGAGGCAGCCGCACAGCACCGACGACGGCCACGGCACGCCGTGGGCTCACGGTAGCGCATATATGTGGAAGGTGTGCAGATGTAGAAACGCAGAAACAGGGTGTGGAGACGCTGATACAGGGTGTGGAGACGTAGAGACAGGGTGCGGAAACGCGGAGACGCAAAGACGGGGTGCGGAAACGCAGAGACGGGTGTAGAGACGCAGAAACAGGATGTGGAGACGCAGAGACGGGGTGAGGAGACGCAGAAACAGGGTGTGGAGACATAGAGACAGGGTGCGGAAACTCAGAGACGGATGTAGAGACGCAGAAACAGGGTGTGGAGACGCAGAGACGGGGCGAGGAGACACACACAGGTTGTGGAGGCACAGAGAGGGTGTAGAGACGCATACACAGGGTGTGGATGGGCAGACAGGGACAAAATAGGGCGCAGTCACTCCACAATAGGGCGTGCTCACTCCAACATCGGGCGCACTCAATCCAAATAGGGCGCGCTCACTCCACAGTAGGGCGCACTCACTCCACAATAGGGCACACTCATTCCACAATAGGGTGCACTCACTCCACAATAGAGCGCACTCACTCCCCCTCGAACCAAGACAGGGGTGAAAAGGGCGCGTTTGTTATTAATGGTCAACACCGGTGAGGTCTACTTACGTAGTTACCAATGCACCTAGACAGTTGAAAAAATCGATATGCAGAACAGAACTTAGAAAAAGTTGGTCCGAAATCACATATACGCAGAACAACATGCATCTGCGGCGGGATTCTTCTCCTAAAGCACAAATCAACACTCACCGAGCTGTTCAAGTCGCTCTTCAAGTTTTCATCCTGCAGACTCGAGACTGTCAACAGAAACGACGTTGTCAACAACACGCTCCAAAAAGCGTGCAAGAAATAACGGCTCAACGTTGCGACGAAATCTACACAATAGATGGCACGCGACCATGCTGGCAACGCCAAGCAAAAACCCGAACATAAGAAGTCTTAAGTGGTACCTGTACCTTCGCCGCCCGTGTCTGAGCAAAGTGGGATATTTGAATGGCCCATCCTGGTCAATCTGGACGCCTGGTTAGCAGCGTTCTTCGGATGAGTGTTGGAAAACATCAAAAGGCCCAATACTCATTCATTGAAAAGGACTTCAGTGGAATATCAGGCGGAAGTTGTTCGGTGCGCTAGCGAGGAACATTGGTCACACGGATAAGACAGTAGTATTGGCCTTATTCCTCGGATAAAACCAGGAGAATAAAGACATAGTTAGGTTGATATTTCGGCAACATGTGTTCCTCAACACAATAGCGGAAGTGTACAGAAGTATAAACAACGGAATTCTGCTCTTGCTTCGAGAAAGACGTGTTGCCGAAATAATAACCTAACTCTATCCCCATTTTTGTTTTTGTTTTCGAAGAATAAGGCTTATACTACTGTCTTATCTGAATATCACGCGGTAAAAACACACATTTGACGATGCTTTTTCAGTATCTCCGATGTTCGCGCCTGTTCACACTGCGGAACAAAGACGAAATGTTTGGTCTCTCTGATAGCGTTTCTATCGTCACATCCAAAAAATGCTGCTAGCTTATTAATCTAACATCTCACATACATCAGACAGTAGACAGTAGACAGAAGCCGCGCAGGCGCGGCCGAGCTGTAGTCTATATAATATCCTAAGCTAACGACTAATGACGTGACAAATTAAGGTAATAATGCCTTTGGTAAACTATGCCGCTCATTAGACTGCTGAACACAGCAGACTTTCCATTACACCGGAAATAGACCTGTATGCATACGCTTTTTCCCTGAACATTTCTAACGCGTGAAACGAAAGCAGAGCCTTAGGCATGCTCGCTTTTACATCAGACAATTATAGCGCATAAAGCGACAGCAGGGCCTTAGTCGCGCTTATTCTAGCGCGCCAAAACACCTTTCCGGACGTGGCTTCAGCCTCGTAAGCCGCACCGGTCAGCGTCAGCGCCAACACCGCCCGACCCCGCCTCGCGAGGCGGCCGCCGCGGCCCATAACGGGCCCGCTCGGCCGGCCGGGCGCGCGGCGGCTGCGGCGTCTCCGCGGCGGTCCACACCTCGCCACCTCCATCCATCGACCGGACCGGCGGGCGCGCCAATAACAGGCGGCCGTGCACGCCTGTGACGTCACGCACCGCACCTCGCCGGCTCCCGCGAGAGGGGGCAGCCGGGCGGGGCGGGCATCAGCAGGGCAAACAGCCACGCCCGGCGCACAAACACGGCGCGCCGGCCGGCGCGTGTTTGTTTCCAAGTCGCTGGAGACTTTTTATCCCGAGAATTCTACGGGTATTTGGTGGCATCTTGCGGTCCCAAAAATTTCTCTAATTTGCTGAGGCCCCGGCGAACAGGACGAGCTGTGGCGCTGGGAGCTCGGTTTTGGTGGCAAATTCGATGTGGTGTCGGGTGTAACGGTTGTCGGTTGTCCACGCATTCCGCTTATTCCACCTTGTCCCAGCACCAGATGCCGATACCTATCCACCACGTGGAATACCACATTAATGTGCCACGAACTAGGCGACTACCCTGTGCCGCCTTGCAGCCAATGGAGAAGTGGCTGCGGATTGCGGAGCCCCTGAACAGGTGGTAAGGTGCCTGCCTAGCGAGCAGTCAGTCAGGGTCTCAGCCAGAGGGGGCGGGCACAGAGTTGAGAAAGGCTCCCCTGACAGAGAAAAGTCTACCCTCCAAAACGACATCGCCGGATATGTCCCATTTGTCGATGACGGCATGTTTTTCCTCGAAGTTTTTTTTTCTTCTCCTTTTCTTCCATAACTGGAATAGAAGCTGCTGCCAGACAAATTCCGCCTAAATCTTATTATCAATAAAGTGAAGAAATAATGCGTCAAGCCATTCCATGAAATAAATCGCCGGCGCTTTCCATTTTACAATGGCTCAGCGGACTCTTTCTAAGCCGATAGAGCTAAGAACCTTAGTCAGAATTGTTACTTGGGCTCTACAGAGATATTACGGACCCTCGGATGCACATTCTAGATCGAAATGGGTCAACAACTTGTGTTAACCTGGCCAGGCCATGTTTGTCTGCAAATGTTCAACATTCAGTCAGAATCGAGTAGTGATACAAATTATGCAACGAAGCTTTGCACACGCGCGCTCTCAAATTTTCAGAAACAAAAAGATCGAAGCCGGGTATTGCAGTTTCCGTAAGCCGCGCAGCGTCGGACCAGGGGCTCTAACACTAAGCCGTGGCCAACGGGCGGACAAAACTGATGACGGATCTGAAAAGAGTACCACTGAACACTTTGGGACATCAAATCGTACTCTTAACACGTACTTCGGGTGCAAATTTCGCTGGCACGATTTTTAGATTGATGATAAGAACCGATTGGTCTTTACAGCACCGTGAAGCGGTGCTGAAATCTGGTGGCGGAACTGGAGAAGTAAACTTAGAATCTCTATTTTTCATGATGTGGTAACTTTTAATTTGCCCACAGGTCAACCACAAAGTTGAAAAAATACGCCCAGTCTGATCTTTGAACGGTGCGAATTAAGTTGGAAGATTTCAGACATCATCTGGGGCGTGCAGGCTCAAACATTTTAATGTAATTTGTTTCACTCATCGATTCCGTCAAAGAATGAACGTTTTCAGGCAAACATGGGATGGCCTCATACGTTTTCGAACTCATTTCGATCCACTCCATTCAACGCTTATGAGTCCCCTTTTCTCTCCGGGCAAGGATTCCTTTAAGTAGAACACTAGATGGCACACTTCTGTCTCCGGTCTGGAGTTAAAGGGCCGTTCCGCTCCACCGCGGCGGAGTGCCTTCCGAATCCCATTCTGGCGACACCTGGTCGATTCAGAGAACCTCAGAGGGATACATCGCATCACATTGGCCTCCGCCCTGACGCAGGAGGCCTTCTGACGCGCGCAGTTGGACCCGGATCGACGCAAAGGCCCTCATTGACGCAATAACATTCCTGATCGCCGCCGGTGGTCCAATAAGCGGACCAGACTTCAACTGAGCTTATCGGGCCAATACTGAAATTGTGTTGGGGGGCCCACCGTCCGGTACTGGGGGTCCCGACTGACACAGGACCCTTCCACTGTCTCCATGCGAACACTCGTCATCAGTTGGCATGTTTTCTTTCATTGTCAGAGGGCCCCGACCAACGCAAGAGGTCGTCTCTCATTTGGGATTCCGTCCCCGTCCCTGTTGAGCAAATGTTTCCCTGACCGACTCCAGGTTCCTTGCCAGCACAGGGGCCTTGGTACCTGTACCCTGTTAGGCACTGGGCCCCCTGACCGGTACATGAGCCCCGCACTGTTGCAGGGGCCCGGTACAACGCAAATCACGAGCCCGGCCTTATCCCTGATTGGGAAATATGACCCAAGAGTTCAGACCGACACGGAAACGACCATTCGGTGTTGGTGCCCTCTGGCCGAGATAGAGGAACACTCCGTCTCAGGGCCCCCCAGTGAGTACAAGAGACCTTATGACTGACATTTGAGATCACAGCCCTATGGGCGAATGTCCTTAATGTGACCTACAGCCTGTCCTTCCGGTTATTCGTCCTTACAATCAGGTCGTTAATGTCTGGTCTCGAAAGACCCTTTGGGCCCTCTTCAGGCCCTCTTAAGCACCGTTCCTGGCCGACTCAGGATCGTTTGCCGCCACGGAACCTCTGTTAGGCACTGTGGCCCCTGACTGACACAGGAGTCCCTTATTGTGTCGGGGACCCCGAAAATTGCGAATCACCGGCCCCGGCCTCGTTCCCACTTAGGCATTGGGCCACAAGGGCCCAGACTGACATGGAGCAGGCTGTTTGGCTCCGTTTTGGGACCTCACGCAATAAGGAAAGAGAGCCATAATAAGAGGGCCCTAGTAGAACCCTCGGACTGATATTTCGGGTCACAACACTACGGGTTGGGTGGGTGGGGGGGTGGGGGGGTGGTCCAATTCCAATCGGGCCTTGATCTTGGGTCCCGAGAGAACCTTAGGGCCCCTCTTCGAACCCCGCAGACACGGCTCGCGGTGACTCGGGTCACTCACCGACACAGGACCCCCTGTTAGGTACTGTAGGCCCCTGACCGACACCCTCATGGTTTCAGTGGCCCCGAGTAATACCAGCCGCGGGCTCGATTTTGCTCGTGCTTGGGAAATGGGCCCCAAGATGGAAATGGGCCACCAACACGTGTACGGTGTTGGTGGTCTCCGACCGAAATAGAGGCCCGCACTGTCTCAGGGGTTTCCAATCGATGCAAGAAGCTCTTAAGCTCAAGAAGCTCTCAGGAAGCCGCCATTTGAGGTCACGGCCTCACGGGTGGAAGCGCATCCTCGATGGACCTTCGGATACATGACCTCCAATCAAGATGACAATGGGCCTTTCAGTCGAGCTCCTGATCTTTGGTCCCGAAGGGCCCTTAGGCTCCTCTCTGGACGTCCTAAAACAAGGCCCGTGACAGACTCGGGGCCACTGGCCGACACATGACCCCCTGCTAGGCCCCGTGCACCCCTGACATTCGCAGGGGCCCCAGCCATTCTTTCATGTCGTGGCCCCGGTGCCTTGGTTCTGCTTTGGCAATGGCCCCCTCGGATTCAGACCGACAGGGAGCTAGATGTTCGGTGTTCGTGGTCGTCTGCCGACTGAGACACCCGCATTGCTTCAGGGGGTCCTCAAACGGCACAATGGAACCCTGGATGATATTTCAGGCCACGACCCTACGTGCTGCAATTATTTATGTAATCTACAGCCAGTCTTATGGGCCCTTATGCCCTCCCACCGAGCCCCCAATCATCTGTTCCGGTAGGCCGCCCGGACCCCTCTTCCAGCCTCATGAAACACTGCCCTTGGTAGCTCGGGGCCCCTTGCGAACACAGGGCCCTCTGTTAGGCACTGTGGACCCCTAACAGATATGGGAACCCGACCAATGTAAATCGTCGGTCCTGGCTTTGTAGCTGATTGGGAAGTGGGCCCTCAGGCCCATGCCGATACGGAGCCGACTGTGCGGTACTGGTGGTGCCCGACCGAAGTACAGGCTTATATCGACTCAAGTGGTCCCCGATCGGCGCAAAAAGCGCTCTGATTCATTTGAGGGCCCATCTCCGCCGGCCGGGTACCTTTAAGCCCTCCACTCGGGCCCTTGATCGTCGGTCCCGTTTGTCCCCTGCCTCTGACCGACTCGGGGCCCATTGCCAATACAGGGCCCCCTTTTTGGGCGCCGTGGGTCCCTGACAAACACTGGGGCCCCGACTAATGTAACTCGCTAGCTCCTGCCTTGTACCTGCTTGGACCTACTGGAATAGACGCTCAGGCCCATGCCGACACGGAGCCGGCTGTGCGTTACTGGTGGTACTACACCGACATGTAGGCCGTTATCTACTCAGCGGGCGCCTGATCAGCGCACAGGGCCCTCTGGCTGACATTCGAGTGCGCGGCCCTACGAGCCGTGCCCCCCCCCCCCCCCCCAAGGCATCCGGCCGGTCTTTGGGGTCCTTCTGGACCACACATTGGGCCGTCTCTAGCATTGCTTTAGTTTAAAAAACTCCGTTGCATCATTGCTTTAATTTACGAAACTGAGCCCCGGGTGGCACTTTTGCTTTCTCAGGGATTGAACAACGATAACATGTAATGCACGATTCGTGCACACATACTCTCGCATTTAGTGGCATCACGCACCCAAAATTGACAGCATTTTAGCAACATTGCTGGTGAATCCTTGCCAACTATAAGTCTCGGATCTCGGAAAACACAAACGAACCTTGTTTTAGCCGTCAGGACAACTGCTAAAGATATCATACCATGGCCTTCACACACATGTGGTTCGTGTCCTCGGTACCTGCACCCTTCTCAGCGACACCTGGATTGCAACGGACTACAGGCAATATAGGCATAAATCACTGTCATTGCAGTGTTTATGGCATTGCCCAGCCAGCTGGAGGAGAGGTTGAATTGCTCTCATGGCGACTGATGGAGGGCCCTAAGTGAGCGAATTGCACTGTTCATGCGATTGCACAAAGCCCAATGGGTTTGACATGGATGTTAGAGATTGCGAGTCACATGTTCAGGGTTAGCTCTTACGTGTTTCCCTGGAATTTAAAGCTGTCATTTGTCAACATTTAGTCTCGTGCATATTAACACGTTCCATAAATTTAGTAAGTAGGGGCACGTGCGCTCGGGACGGCCATCACATGCAAACCCTGTTCTTCTTCTCAAAGTCAGGGACTGGAACGCTTTCTCCAATTGAATAGGAAACTATATCCCTTGGTTACGCAGTATTTGCAACCACATTATCGTAGGTGTAGGGCTGGCGTATTTCACCCGAGAGTGGATGCCAAACGCCGTCGTACGTCGCAGGGGGCCAACACCAGCATGTGATCAGGTCAAATGGCTTCCCGATTTTTCGTAACTCAACGGATTTCGCTTCCATTCATACGAGTGTTACAACACAAACTCCCCTTGGAAAGACCTGTTCTGCTCTCTTTGATGTCTACGCTCTAGATATATCAACTGATGTCAGCACGACTTTGACCGCTTGGGGGAAGCATGGTCAGGGTTATCACATTCCCAATGAATCCGCCCATGATTTCGTCTCGCAGGCATCGCCAGTTACGAACCACCAAGCGCACCACAAGAAATATTGATCTAGAGTCAAATCGACGGGATTGCAGCGGGCATCGAGAATCACTTTAGAGACACTTCTCTTCACAAATCTCCCTAGAATACTGGTCGTATTTCGTTACCGTCAAGATCCGGTTTGACCATCCCGGCATGACGAAAGGGCGTGAGAGAAAATCTCCAGCACCAGAAGGCTACCAGCGGGGAAACAAAGGGGATGGGGCGGGAGGGGGGATGAGGGGGGGGGCGGATACGACCTCTGCTGGTCTCGGTGATTGATGGATACAGGTCGCTAGCGGGACGGGGCGGAGGGGGGGGGGGGGGGCGGGGGGGTGGGAGCACACTCACCCGGACGTCAGCCTGGGAGGAGCCGGGAAGGCCAGCCGGCCGATCGGCCGTGCGGAAGGAGGCCCCGCCCGTCCCGCCCCGAAAAGCCGATACAGCGGGGGAGAGAGCGAGGGGGAGGGGGGGGGGGGGGTGGGTACCACACCAGGCCCGTCTGCCTCCCACCACGTGCTGCTGAACGCTCCGAAGCCAGCCCTCATATACAGCGGCATCATCAGTGGCAGAACCGCGGTGCGGACCGCAGAAAAGCGGACCACCAGCCTGTCCTCGGGCCAGCCGTGCCTTTTAAACCGCCCACTGAGCGGAGCTGAATAGAAGAAGCGGCTTTGACGCTCCGCGAACCGACTGCGACGTGCCGCCATACGTCCCTGACCGCACCCCTGACCGCCCCCTGACCGCACCCCGACCGCACCCCTCACGGCCCCTCACGGACTGCAACGTTCGGCCTCGCGACCCGTTGCCACACCAGCCACAAATCGCGCGTCACCGCCCGGCCAGCGACTCTCACACCGCCCGGCAGCTAGCGGCAGCAAAAGGGCGCAGCTGTGATCTGCCGCCTGCGGAGCGGTGCCGGCGCGGCCGAGCAGGTGCGCGCCGGCCGCGACCGCGAGCGATCGCGAGGGCCCGCTGAGCTGCGCGACCCAGGCGCCGTGTGCCCGGCCCGCACCCGCTTACTCGCTGACCCGAATGCGATGAAGGGATAAATGTGACGTCACACCGAACAGGACGGGCCGTTGGCGTTTTCGCGAGGTTGGCGAGGCTGCATGAGCGACACGCGCAGACGGGCCGAAATTAACATGTCAAAGCCAGGCCGACTGTCAGAGCAGCAGATGACAATATTGCCGGTCACGAGTGGCCGGTACCACGCGCTGAAGGTCGCGTTAATGCATTATGCAGGACGGTGGGTCTGTTCGTGCGCGCGAGTTGGGCCGGGTCGGAGCGGGGCGGTGACGTCTCCACATTATGAGGCTTCAGGCGGACTGCGAGCGAACGTAAACTGAGGGAGACGAACTGCAGAGGAGGGGAGGCAGAGGACGGAAAGCCCCTCTTTGAAAGTGTGAAGAGGCTTTGACACGGAGAGAAGGGTGTGAGAGGTAAACCGAATGGGAAGACAAGGAAACAGGCGAGAAGAAGCAAACAGGGCAATAGGCAAAACAACTCAGCCACCATATAACTACATCCGGACCGGCACGGAAGCGAGGAAGGAGGAAACGAGATAGACAAAAAGAGGGATCTCGGGGCAGCGAACCAGACGCCTCACACGGCGACGACGGGCGCTGCTCCGTCGGCGGAGAGGGCAGGAGGGGAGGCGCGTTCGCAGCCGCCGGCACTCACACATTGGCCGCAGCTGCGAGCCCAGCTCGTCGCGCGTCCACTCCTTGCGCTCCGTCCAGAGCGACAGGCTGGGCGCCAGGATCAGCTTATTATCGTCCGGGTACGGCACGTTCAGGTAGTGCACCAGCACGATGTCCGGGTTCTGAAACGGCGAGCACGCCTCACGTCAGGGGCGGAGCATAGGGGTGGGCCTCGAGGTGATGGGCGACTCCGGCACGTCGATGAATCCCCGGCAACCGCTGCGCGGCTGAAGGCTGACGATGAATGCATGTCGTGCTGACCGGTACTCATGTCTCCACACAACAGATGAGAGATTGTCACAACGCTTCCCTCGTCCCACGCCGGCGCGCCAAGCCAAGCCAAGCCAAGCCCTGCCAAGCCAGCAGCCTGGCCGTCATCCCCACACACCTCACAACTACAGGCGGCGAACTTGCTATCGGCCGCCAGCTGACATCCAAAACCGCCCCGCCGGCGGCAGCCGTCGCACCAACTTCCCAGGCCGTCACAGGCGCGACTCGTGGAACAATTCCAGCCTGGCTCCATCTTAGTTCAGCTTATTGTGGTCCAGTTCAGTCGTCGTCCCCGAACAAACCCCGACCTCGACCCCGACCAGCTGCGCGCACAATTTCACCTTCGTCGCGGCCCAATGATTGGCGATCGCGAGCCCATTTGGCATACAGGGCCAGGGGAGCGTTCGCAATCGCCAGCGTCTGGCGTGGGCCGACCATCGCTCAGTGGCGTCCGGCCGTCCGGCCGCCAGGCCGCCGCCTGCGCCGGCTCACTCTGGCGACGTGGGGCGAACGGACGGCGCCGGCCCCCGCTCGGTCCAGCCGACCGGCGCCGGTACAGCCCCGCCCCGCACCACAGCCAGGGACCATCACCCGCACCACAGCTGGAGACCATCACCCGCACCACGGCCGGGGACCATCACCCGCATCACAGCTGGGGACCATCACCCGCATCACAGCTGGGGACCATCACCCGCACCACAGCCGGGACCATCACCCGCGCCACAGCCAGGAGCCATCACCCGCACCGCAGCCGGGGACCATCACCCGCACCACAGCCGGGGACCATCACCCGCACCACAGCTGGGGACCATCACCCGTCCCACAGCCAGGAACCATCACCCACACCACAGCCGGGACCATCACCCGCACCACAGCCGGGGACCATCACCCGCACCACAGCTGGGGACCATCACCCGTCCCACAGCCAGGAACCATCACCCACACCACAGCCGGGACCATCACCCGCACCACAGCCAGGAACCATCACCCGCACCACAGCTGGGGAACATCACCCGCACCACAGCTGGGGACCATCACCCGTCCCACAGCCAGGAACCATCACCCGCACCACAGCTGGGGACCATCACCCGTCCCACAGCCAGGAACCATCACCCACACCACAGCCGGGACCATCACCCGCACCACAGCCAGGAACCATCACCCGCACCACAGCTGGGGAACATCACCCGCCCACAGCCAGGAACCATCACCCGCACCACAGCCGGGGACCATCACCCGCACCACAGCCGGGGACCATCACCCGCATCACAGCTGGGGACCATCACCCGCGCCACAGCCAGGAGCCATCACCCGCACCACAGCCGGGGACCATCACCCGCACCACAGCTGGGGACCATCACCCGTCCCACAGCCAGGAACCATCACCCGCACCACAGCTGGGGACCATCACCCGTCCCACAGCCAGGAACCATCACCCACACCACAGCCGGGACCATCACCCGCACCACAGCCAGGAACCATCACCCGCACCAAAGCTGGGGAACATCACCCGCCCACAGCCAGGAAACATCCCCGACACCGAGATCGACAGTGTCCAACATCGCCTTGACATGACCGCAGTGACCCAAATTGAAACGGTGTCAGAGTGTCACAGTGGATTATCCTCGTCCAACATGCTTTGACACTTGAAAGTTGGGGCGCAGGGGGAGTAAAAGCTAAAAAACGTAGGTATGCAAAATCTGTGTCCATCCTCCTAGTTCCTGTTCCATGGAAGACCACAGGAATAGCAAACCTCATCCGGCGCATGCCATTAGACATAAGGCACCACGCAGTAGCAGAAAACAACAGTACAGCCTACCGGGAATGTTCCACATTTGAAGATACTGACGTAGGCATCATGTATGATGAAATAAGCTCACTTATAACTATTGACATACTTTTGAAGTACAAAATGTGGTTCCGGGCAGCATAATTCTCTGTTGAGTAAATATACTTCTTAATGCGTCATGGTTTGATTACGCCACCGTATCTTGCATAACACTGAGAGCCAATCGACGGCCGTAATATCTGGAAATCGCGCTCACGAACGCCAGATATGAACGCCTCGATACTCATATTTTTCTTGGCCTTGATCGCCGCATGGTTTATGGAATAGCAGAATTTGAATGACGTTATTATGAGCTCATGAATGCCAAGGTGACTTTGACGTACTCTCCCCGATATACCTTTCCCATTTTAGCGGGCGCGTAGCTCAGAAACGATAGAGACTTGGGTCTTATGAAGGGCACACTTGTGGACAGCACCGGAAGGTTTTCAAGATGGCTATTTCAGTTCGAACCCCGTACAAATGTGGAACGCTCCCTTTCAGGAGCTGACAATGGGGAATCACTCCTGTTTGGGCGACATTTGCAACCGAAGGCCGCGAATTCCGGACGCTGACTGATCCGGCGTCACCGACCACCGTCACGGACCACCGTCAGCGGTCACCGTCATGGGCCACTGTCAGCGACCACCGTCACCGACCACCGTCACCGACCACCGTCACCGACCACCGTCAGTGGCCACCGTCAGCGGCCACCGGTCGCCGGTGCATCGGAGGGCGCCGAGCGCGGTTGGCACGGTCCGGCGGCTGGGGCAGGCCGCGGCCTGCGGTCTGCCGACGACAGGGCGGCACGACCGACGACCGCCTGCAGAGCCACGCTCCAGCGAGCCGTAAAACGCGGCCCGGCCGCCGCCGAGCGCTTCTGCCGACAGTGCGGAGGCGGCGCCGGCGGCGGGCGGCCCAACCCGAGGGACGGCGGCGGGGCAACGTCCGGGCGGAACAACGACGCGGGACGCCCCGGATTGGACGCAGAAGTCCCGGACTGAGCGCATGAGGTGGCGTCCCGAGCTGGGCAGCGCGGCGTCCCCAGATGAGCAGCTGGAGGTCCCGGACTGAGCGCACGAGGTGGCGTCCCGGGCTGGGCAGCACAGCGTCCTCAGATGAGCAGCTGGAAGACGCTCTGCACTTAACAGTGGGAGGATGTCGTGGAGTGGACAAAAGATAACCCAGGGCACGTCCTGGACTTAACAGTAGAAGAACGCCCTGAGGTAAACAGGGGAGGGGAGGGGCTTTCCCAACCTGAGCGATGGAGGGATGTACCTGACGTGAGTGTGGGAAGATGCGCTGGACAGAACAGTGGGCATATGCCTGGGGCTGGAAAATAAGTGCCCGTCAGCGTTGCCCGTTCCCCAGCCCCGCGTGCGTCTCCGCCGGACGCGGTTCGAGCTGAGCCGCTTCGGCTGTCCGGTGTCGCTGACCGCTCACCTGAGTACGTCTAGGCCCGCAGCAGGCTGACGCCGATGGCGCACGGCGCCACCGTACAGCCCGAGCTGACACCGTCCAGCCTAAGCCGACACTGTCCAGCCTGAGCCGACAACGTTCAGTCCGAGCTGACACCGTCCAGCCTAAGCCGACATCGTCCAGCCTAAGCCCACATCGTCCAGCCCGGGCCGACATGGTCCAGCCTGAGCCGACACCGTCCAGCCTAAGCCGACATCGTCCAGCCTAAGCCGACATCGTCCAGCCTAAGCCGACATCGTCCAGCCTGAGCCGACGCCGTCCAGCCCGAGCTGACACCGCCCAGCCTGAGCCGACACCGTTCAGCCTGGACCGACACCGTTCAGCCTGGACCGACATCGTCCAGCCCGAGCCGACACCGTCCAGCCTGAGCCGACGCCGTCCAGCCTGAGCCGACGCCGTCCAGCCTGAGCCGACGCCGTCCAGCCTGAGCCGACACCGTCCAGCCTGAACCGACACCGCGAGCCGGCGGCCGTCACTGAGCCGACACCGTCCAGCCTGAGCCGACACCGCGAGCCGGCGGCCGTCACTGAGCCGACACAGTCCAGCCTGAGCCGACACCGCGAGCCGACCGCCGTCACTGAGCCGACCTCCCCCCAGCCGCCAGCGACGCGACCTGTCTCTCGCGCCCAACGGCGGCCGCTGTGCGGCCGGCGCAGGCCCGCCAGAAATAGGCGGAGGCTGCCCGGCGCCCGGCTGCAGTCGACAGCCTCGGCGACGGGCCTCCGGTGCCGGCAGGGGCGGCGCCGACTCGACCGGCGGGGCCGGCCTAGCGACCGGGCAGAAGCCAAGCGACAACGACGGCCGGGGGCAGCGCGAGCGGCGCCGGGCCGCCCGGCGGTGAGGGCAGCACTGCCCGGCACCGGGCGATCAAGCATAATCACGTGCTGGCTGACACAGAACGACCGCAAACAGCACGATCTTGAACGCCAGATCGTCTGCGCGTCACGCTAAGGGTCGATTGCGCGGGAGGGCGGAGGAGAATGCTACAAAAGGAGCCCGACGCGGTCAGCCACGTCACTGATGCCGATGCAAGCCCGCGGCACGGCCCGGCTCCGCTCCACGATGGCGGCCCGGCGCCGTCGACCGCCGCCTTCGGGCGGCGACGGCTGATGGCGGCGCCAACGGTCGAGCGGACGTTTGACCAAAGTGGTGTGCGGCAGTAACGGCGCCGATGCCCTCCCAGCGCCATTACAGCGAGCTCAGGATGCTTTTGACGCGGCGCCTGAGCTGGACACGGGCTCGTTCGTCCAAGGGACGCGCGCATTCGTCAGAGCCCGCGGGCCAGAGAGGGCCGCGCCGCCGGCGACACTCACCTGCAGAAGCCAGTAGCACCGCCGGTGGAACGTCGGCAGGATGGCAGAATGGACGTAACAGCCGTAAATGCACTGCAACAGCGAAGCAGGCGCCGGTGAGAGGGCGGCTGGCACGACTCGTTCAGCGAGGACAAACGATGTTTGGCAGAGAGGGGTTCTGTTACGAGGACAGACGATATTTGGTAGGGCGGAGTTGTGTCATGACACGTGTCTCAACTTTAACAAAAGTCGAGACACGTGTCATGGCACCATCGCCAGCGGCCCGCCGGCGGTACGTCCATAACATCGACCAGTCAACCAACACAACTCCGACAACTTGTTCGGCATTCCAACGCGAGAAACAGCGGGCGGACACATGACTGCCCTCTGGCTACCACCTTCGGCAGCACCAGTAGCAGAGGTTGTCCCTAGGTGACATCAAGAGCGCCCACGCAGTAAAAAATCATACACATACGCCATTTGCTAACCGCTTTGCCAAGAAAGGAAGCGGCTCAGAGCGCCACGGTCTCTGGGATTTCTGCGGGCTAGCCCACTGACTGTCACGACAAGCGACGGCAAGCGACGGCCACACCCCCCATTTACGTGAACTCTGATGAAATAACCTTAAGGGGCATTTATCGCAGCATCATGAGCGGGCCTGACTTCCAGCACGTTACGACTTTTAAATAGCTTTTAAGGACACTTGGCCGATGGGCCCGAAAGTTTGCTGACAACGGCGCGTAGCTCATGCCATAGGCCGTCACATTGCAGTATATCGTGCAGGGGCTCCATCAAGCTCCATTAAACGTCGAGAGCAATAAACGCTGGGTGAGAGACAGGACGGACCATATAGGGAAGCGGCGGGGAGGCGTGACGGCCCCAGCGCGCGGCGTTCTGACCATGCGTTCCCAGCGCGATACACAGTGTGATGGTCATTTGTCTCGGTTTGCAGGTCATCAATGTGACCTTGCCATCCGCTGGGAGGATTAATTGCGGCGAGTGGCTCCCATCGCTGCGACATCCACGCTCTCCACGGATAGCGGGAGCTGCAGGGCTAGAGTATGTGGGTAACGGACCAACCGCGGAGCCAAGTCATGGGACAGTGCCACGGCACGGTCGGCAGTGGGACGAGACAACGCGACACGTCTGAAGGATTCACATCCGCCAGGTGGGGGGGGGGGGACGCTTAGGTCCATATTTTTTTGCCATAGGTGGCTGCTGACGGAAAAGAAAATCGGCGTGAAGCGTTCCCAACAAACTCCGCCCCACCCTCCCTTAGAGCGAGTGTCCCATCTTTGGAGCATATTTCAAAACCATGCTCTAGTGAAACCTCATGACTAGTTCGTGTAATAATGGCACTTGGTAGCATCAATGTAGCACCGTCAAGACATAGTAATATCAGCTTTAATTATTGTCTAGTCGAGATAGCGCTGTCAACGCTTTGTAACAGCACTGCCCTTCTTCCCTGAAGTCGCGACTGCGGTCGTCATGACAACAACCACGCGAACCTCTACTGGTGTGAATAAAAGAACCTTCGTGATCGGCCCAGCGGGTAAGGGCCTGCTACCGAGAAACGCATCGCTTAAAGCTTGAACCAGTGCGTCATACGGATCATGTGATGCCCCCAACCATAAGTCAAAGTGCGGCTACAATAGGGCCATTGCAGTGGCTCTATTCACTGTGGTTAACGCTGCAGGGGAGAAATCGAAGCCATAGTAAACGTTTCGTCGAATTCGCGGGATAATAGCTTCGTGTTCGCATATCGCTCCGCCTAAACAGAGATTTTCAAGCGTCCGTAGTATTTCTTATACAAAGACTTTGACACATTAGTGTGCTGTTAACACTGTACAACACACACGATGGAAAAAGCAAGACTGCTGATGTGTGTTACTTCCATAGTGGTGAGCGGGGGGGGGGGGGGGGGGTCAAACGTGATTTCTTCCACAGGGTCAGCTACTTCAAATCAAAATTCTGAGCTGTTCAGAAGATTTTCAAAAAAACTGGTAACACTCATCAAATCGTACGCGTCTGATGGAGCAATAAGTGAAAAGTGTAAAAAGGTGGGATACTCCCTTTAAGAAAGCCTGGTAACGCCGCTGCTAGCGGCAAGCGCTGCTGGCAGTGGCCTGTACAGCGCCGAGCTCACCTCGATGCCCTGCACCTTCAGCTTCATGTGATCTTCCCGCGTGGTTTTGCCATCCTTCCGCTTCTTCCAGCAGTAGCCATCTCGCCTGTAGCGCACCTTCTTCCTGCTGTACAGCATCAAAGACCCGCTGGAAGGCCTGCAAACCAGAGCGCATCAGCCGCGGGCCACACATCCCACCGACGCAGGCACCCGACCTACGGCGGGCGAGCGTGTGGCGTGCCGTTGTCACCAGAGGCGGGAACAACACCCAGGCTTTATGAGGAGTCCACCCTGCCGCCGCTGCTGATCGGATGCTGCCGGCGGGTTGCGGTGGCTGTGAGCCGCTGTCCTGCAGAGCGGCTGGCGGGGCGGGGACGTGCTGACCAGTGTGGGCCAGGCCGGTGCGATCGCGGTCCCAAACAGCGCTTAGGCAACTCGTCAACTGACTGGCCACTGGCAGCTGGTTGGGAGAGACAGTGTGAGGTGCTGTGTCTTTCGATCCAGCTGTCCGTTAAGCTGAACTTGTTCGACACCGGCAGCCCGGCCAGGCTCCTTGCGACAAGTCGCGCTTGGTGAAGGTTCTGATCCCAGGGCCGCTTCTGCGTAACAATCGCTCAAGTTCTAAAATAAAACCGTCTGTTCAGAGAATATTATTGGCAGCTTTATTTATATCTTCCAGTACACAAAAGCCTGGCCTGTATGCTTACACCAATTCTCGGATAGCATCAAAAAGTGGAAAGACACCACATCACCCCAAAGCGGCGAAACGCTCCAATGTCTAACTCTGACATTTTCGTGTCATAAAATAAGCCAGCCTTAATGTTTGTCAAACTGACAATAAGACCAGGATCCTCGATAACATGACTACATTCGCAAAGTAAGATATACGAGCGGCGCTGCATCGCGGCCAAATAACGCCGACGAAATATGACCAAAGCATAATTCAAAACGCGCAGCTGTTACACCATCTTCCTATGACGAGGTCCTCTCTTCGGAGCTTTGAAACCTAAAGTGAGAGCTCTGAAGCAGCCAGCGCGGCGCACCTCAACAAGGGCCTCACATCCAGAGCAATAGACACGCATCAACACCGCAAACAGGGCTCACGGCCGCGGCGACGCCGCTCCCGTCGTGGCTCAACGAAAACGAGCCGCCGGCGAACAACAGCGCTCCGCGACACGGCAACGGCAGGCGACACGCACGGGGCGCCGGCGGTATTAGCGATATGAACCCAAGAGCGGGCACGACAGGAGCGCTACTCACGCCATACGCCGGAGCTGGTCCGGACGGCGGCGCACGGCATAGTTCGGGCGGCTCGCGACAGGGTCAGGGCCGTTCACAACAAGTCAGGGCAGCGGCACACAATACAGTCAGGGCAGCAGCACTGACACAATCGGGGCAGCGGCACACAACACGGCCAGGGCAGCGACACACAACAAAGTCAGGGCAGCGGCACACAACACAGTCGGGCAGCGGCACACAGCACAGTCAGGGCAGCGACACACAACACAGTCAGGGCAGCGGCACACAACACGGTCAGGACTGACACACAACACGGTCAGGACAGCGGCACACAACACAGTCGGGCGGCGGCACACAAGGCCAGGGCAGTGGCACATTGCACAGTCAGAGCAGCGGCACATGACACAGTCAGGACAGCGGCACATGATACAGCCACGGTGGCGGCACACGACACAGTCAGAGCAGCGGCACACATTTGTATGGGGTTTTGAACTGAAAAAGACATCTTGTATACCATTTGGTGTAGTTCCCAATCATACCCTCATCAAGACCTACACATCCCTCCAATTTTTGAGCTACATGTCCACGGAAATGTGCAGACTATTTCGTACAGGCTATTTCAAGGTCAACCAGGCGTCCATGACGCCACAATAGCGTCATTCAAATCTTGTCATTCCACTCGCCATGCGGCGATCAAGACCAATAGAAATATGCTCGTCAAGTCGTTCATATCTGGCGTTCGTGAGCACGATTTCCATATATAACGGCCGTCAATTGGCTCCTATTCATTCGTATGCTAGCCACGGTGACGCAGTTAAGCAGTGACGCATCAAGGAATATCTTTACTGAGTAGAGGAATTGGGTTATCTAGAGCAGTCTTTTCCACTTGAAAATATGTCAACATTTATAAGTGAGCGTATTTCATTATATCTGGCGCTCGCTTTACTACCTTCAAATGTGGAACATTCCCTTCAACAACAAATAGTGCTGTCTCCGTCATGTTGTCAGCCGTTTACTACAAAGCCACGCAGGAAGAGCCAAGCCGACATGACGGGGCCCCATCCTTTGACGATGACCCACAGCTCCAGCCGAGCCCGTGCGGTCAGGGTCACGCGCCCTTCCAAAGGTCACGCCGCCATCCGGCACAATGCCGCGCCAGGCGACCACCCGCAGGCGGCTGACACGCATTGTTCGGGGCGAGGGCGCGGCGGGTGGCGCCCATCACGTGACCCGTGACGCGCGGACGGGGTGTGGCCCGGGTCGTCTGTCTCCCGCGCCGCTGCCCGGTTGGGCGGCGACACGTCCAGCACCGGTGCAGGACGGGCCGCCGGCGCCGCGCGCGGCCAGACCGCGGCTGACGGCGGCGGGTGATGGATGGTGGCTCATGGCGCGCCGGCGGATGGACGGGTTATGGGCGGCATCTGACGCTGTCCGACATCACCAGCCGGCGGGCCGCCCCGGCACGTTCGCGCACGCCGAACACCAGCCGTCAGAGGCGCCGAACGCAGCTCATCCTCGCCGGCGATGCCTGTGAGACAACGCGCTGACGGTCCGTGACGTAGCGCGCCGAAGCACGATATGGTACACGGTGTCACTACCGCACGTGTGTCACTGCTGCACGGTGTCACTACAGTGCTACTGTGCCACTACCGCACGGTGTCGCTACAGCGTTACTGTGTCACTGCTGCACGGTGTCGCTACAGCGCTACTGTGTCCCTGCCGCACGGTGTCGCTACAGTGCTACGGTGTCACTGCCGCAAGGTGTCGCTGCAGTGCTACGGTGTCACTGCCGCAAGGTGTCGCTGCAGCGCTACAGTGTCCCTGCCGCACGGTGTCGCTACAGTGCCACGGTGTCACTGCCGCAAGGTGTCGCTGCAGCGCTACAGTGTCCCTGCCGCACGGTGTCGCTGCAGTAGACGTGACCGGCGGGAACACCCGAGCCGAGGGCCACGCCCGGCGGCAGCTGGCACCGCACAGCTCACATCACACAGCGCCGAAAAGTGGATATAAACAAGGACAGGGGTGGGAGGGGGAGGCGAAGCCGGCCACGCCCCCCCCCCCCGCTCCCCCTCCACCCCGGGGGGGCAGGCCGGCTTCATCACGCGCCGGGCGGCGTGCGAGCGGCCAATGACACACCGGGATCGCAGAGCACGCGCAACGATCTCACGACCAATAAGCAAATGCGCACGGGCAGCCCGCACGCACCACAGCCTCTCGGGCCCGCTCACAGCGCCTGTCATGAGTGACGCGCCGGTGAAGCGATGCACGCGAGACGCCGGACAGGGATGTCCCCGCCACCTGTGTCCGTGGATCACGAGCAAAGGTACGCTGCACCGGGCCGGACATTGGATGTGGGTGAAGCCAACTGAGCACTTGGCCTCCTTATTCGGTCGATTCAGTCCGTTCCAGGTGGCTCAAAATCAAACGGCGTTGCTGGCTGCATCTTACGCCGACGTGCGATCAGTGTAAAAACACGGTGGCGTGATCAGGGAGGACGGTACTTCACCAAACACAGCGCGGGCCAATCCAGACAAGCACGAGTTTCTCATTTGGCTAGCAACTCACATATTTTCTGGATTTGATCCGTCCCGGCCGTGCAGTCACCTCCCTCGCCACCTCAGAATTGCATCTTTAGTTCCCGGGAGAGGGCGGCATGACGTTTTATTCCCCAGAAATGTAGATCGAGAAAATTGGATGAAGAAATTCTGCTCTGACGGAGTTTTCTTTTTATTGCGCCGCCATCTTTATCAGTTTTTCATGAGCCACCCCAACAGATCCGCATATGTATGTTGTTAAACGAGCCACGGGCACCTGCAGGCGCAGCGAAAGACTTTTTATAGGCTGCCGAGAGACGTCAAAACCTTTTCATCCGTCGACAGCAGTGAGGTGGACTTGTTACCAGATAGCTTTACTATGTTGAGATAGGCTCGCAATGCGATGAAGTACATCTCAACCCTATAACATGTTCATTCGTCTTTCAATTCTGCTTACCAAGTTCAATTAGTGATTCGAGGTGACTAGAACCTTTTAGAAGGAGACTTGGCGTATTAGTGGGGGCAGCCCTCCTGGCTTGAGAGCACACTGTTACGGCGTCAGTGCCGGCCGAGGCCTCCTCACTGGCGTCTGCGTAAGTGGCAGGCTCGCTCACGCCGAATGACTTGTAGGCGCGCGCCACTGCGGCGGTCATTAGCGACGCAACGTCTCACGCGGGTTACCACGACGTCACCGGTGAAATATTCACGCCAAGCACGGGACTCGAGCGCGATCGACCCGGCGTGTGACGGAGCGCCGACCCCTCGAGCCCCCGACGGCTCAACCCGTGACCTCACATCCCCGACGGCTCAACCCGTGACCTCACATCCCCGCCGGCTCAGCCCGTGACCTCACATCCCCGCCGGCCCAGCCCGTGACCTCACATCCTCCCGGCTCAGCCCGTGACCTCACATCTCCGCCGGCTCAGCCCGTGACCTCACATCCTCCCGACTCAGCCCGTGACCTCACATCCCCGCCGGATCAGCCCGTGACCTCACATCCCCGCCGGATCAGCCCGTTTTTTTTCTACGCCGTTACCCAAGAACAGGTAACCAGGAGTGCCCCTCCCTCAATCCCAGCGACGCAGTAAACCGTGCGTTAACACCAGAAAACATAAAATCAAGTCGCGGCACTCCCAGCTAGGAAGATGAAACAAACTTTAAAAAAACAGGCGAGGAGGTGGAGCAGACCCGAGGGAATTGTGTTATGTGAGAGGTAGGGAAAAATCATAGATGAAAGGTTTAAAGTAGTCATTAGCCAAAATCAGCTAATGACAGCCCGCTACAACCGCCCAATAATCTACAACCACTCAATTCCCCGTGTTAGTAAGGGTTATACAGTCACAAGTCGGAGGGGGCAATTACCTGGTCATTTTTGTGCTGGGTTTTGGGCTGGATTTCCAGGGAGTCCACCCAGCTAAGCAGAGCTTGTTGCTGGGAGAACTCCCGGAGCCAGCGCCATGAATTTGGGTATATGTGCATGACTTTATATCAGAAATTGATTATGAAACATGAAGGAGGTCAAATATGAAGTGCGTTGGATATGTACAGCACAAGGATGGCAATGTCTTCAAATATGTTTGTTACGTTAATATGTGTTCACGAAATGCTTGCGGATGATGTTCTTAACGATGGTTTTCGATACAGGGATATCAGCTATTCTTGGAAAATATGGAACCATAATGTCCTTCCACAGCTTAGGGCCAAGGCAGGATGCTGTAAATAGTCTATAATTACGATAAGAGAAAGGTTGTTCTAAATGTTTTGCTCGCCTCATATCCATGTCATTGGATTCGTAGAGATTGTAAATTAAATCGAATGATCCAGGGAGCTGTGAAGTTAAAAATTTGTGCATCACAATTAACATTTGAGATTTAGCACTATCCGAGAGTTTCAAAATTTTGCATCGTTTAAAGATTGGCTCTGAGCTTTGCGGAGGATACACATTTTCTATAAGACGCACAGCCCTTTTTTGCAAAATTACCAATCGATCTAGTTGAGAAGCATAATTTATGCCCCAAACCAAGCAACAGTAATTTAGATAAGGAAGAATCAAAGTGTTATAGAGTAGATGTGACGTTGTTTTATCAATAAAGTACCTAACCCTACTTATTATTCCAATATTTCTACTTACTATGCTTGCAACAAAATTAGTGTGGCTTGTAAACTTAAGAGATTTGTCAATGATTACACCAAGGTATTTTATTTCTTTTTTTCTCTTCAATAGGTGAATTATTAATTTGCACATTTAGTCGGAAATGCGAAGAAAGGGTTGTGTAATGCTGTGTTCCTCACATCCCCCCGCCTGTAACCTCACATCCCCGCCGGCTCGGCCCGTGACCTCACATCCCCGCCGGCTCAGCCCGTGACCTCACATCCCCGCCGGCTCAGCCCGTGACCTCACATCCCCGCCGGCTCAGCGCGTGTCCGAGCCGGGCCAAGCGGGCTTAGCGCGACAGGATCAGCATCAGAACACGCGGGCGAGCATACTGAACAGCGACACGTGTCCAACTAAAGCCGTCCTGAGTCCGACTGATCCGAGCGTCCACCGCGGACGGGCGCGACACTCGGGGCGGGATGCTATCCAGTCTGCGAAGACGGACCCGTCACCGATCAGCCGTCGGCCCGCAGCGTGACGTGCCCCCCGCCCGCCCCGCCCCCGACCGCAGCGGACGCCGCGGCAGCGTCGACAGCGGGGCGTCAACTCCCGGCGCGACGACAGCGGGAGTCAACTCCCGGCGCGACAACCGCGGGAGCCAACTCCCGGCGCGACAACCGCGGGAGTCAACTCCCGGCGCGACGACCGCGGGAGACAACTCCCGGCGCGACGACCGCGGGAGTCAACTCCCGGCGCCAGAACCGCGGGAGCCAACTCCCGGCGCGACAACCGCGGGAGCCAACTCCCGGCGCGACGACAGCGGGAGCCAACTCCCGGCGCGACGACCGCGGGGCGTCAACTCCCGGCGCGACGATAGCGGGGCGTCAACTCCCGGCGCGACGACCGCGGGAGTCAACCCCCGGCGCGACAACCGCGGGAGTCAACTCCCGGCGCGACAACCGCGGGAGTCAACTCCCGGCGCGACAACCGCGGGAGCCAACTCCCGGCGCGACGCCGTCTCGATGACGTCTGCACGCGCGCGGCGCCGGCGCCGGCCCCGTGCGGCACTCACCGCCGCCCGAGGCCGCCTTTGTGAGCGGCGAACCACCGCCGAGCGGCCCTCGGCCCGGCCGCGCGTCCGCCACACAAAAGCACTCACCTTATCTTCACTTCTTTGGAGAGCCATTCATTGTGAGACTCAAAGTTGATTAGGATCCCGGCGATCTCCTGAAAAAGCGAGGCTCCAGTCAGAGACGGCCCGCGGACCGGCGCCGGGAGTGCCTGCCGCGGCGGCACTCCCAGCGCTCCGGCCGACCCGGCTGCCAGCGCGAGCGGCGCATAAATTTGGAGCTTCAGTCGATCGCGAGAGCTCTAGAGATCGGGCGGGAGTATCGGGCTGAGATAACAAACTCACAGCGCGGCGCGCGACCGTGGTGTCGATGAGTGCCAACAGATACAGTTTAGATGGTGCACAACATGAGCTTGCAAACGATGCGTGATCATGCCTGGGGGAACAAGGTCCGGTTTTCTGAACACAAGTTTAATCCACTCACCTAGTTACACCTAGGGCGGTGGTATTCCGGTGACATAAAGACGTCATATTTTGGCATCAAGCCATCCAACATAAAACGAAACGAGCTCATACTCTCCGCTTCCTGTTTGTTAGAGCACTTTCTTAAACGATTAAATAAAACCACTAATCTGATGCCGACATAAAAGCGCTACTAATCACCCTTTGAGTTAATATTGAAGCAAAAAATCTCAGGTTTCGTCATACAACTACGAACATCATAAACAATTCACGAACAGCTGTGAAAACAGTGATATACACCTAAACCTTAACGACTGACGAGACTGATTGATTTGCCACTTCAACAAAGACCTCGCTAAAATATAATTTTCCATCCGAACTTTTAACTCTAATTTGGTACTCATCGGAGCTAAGAGCGACGTAGGTAAACCACAAAAGAACATGTGAGCAAAACGTTTCAATTTTGACTTGAAGGCAACCAATACTTGAAACGCTGTTGCGGGGATTGGTAGCAAGCTTTGTTCGGCATGGTACGAGCGGAGTGACAACAGACGTCAAAGCTATCAGTTGTCATGCACAAGACGCCAAATCCTAGGCTAAGGGAACCAGACGCTTTTAAGATCCTGTACCAGTGGGTTCCTTCCATGAACTTACACATGGGCCCCTCGTGAAAGCATGAACGGTTCATTGATACAGTCTTCGCACGCTATTTACCACAACAGGACTAGAAAATTGACAGACTACTGGCATCAATGTCAATTAGCAGCCTTAACAGGTTCGGCACTTTAACTCGGCGTTTTAAACAACTCCCGTGATTTACTGTTATGGCGATTGGGACGAACGCATTCCAAAAGTCGTTAACGCGTTGTATGGATAGGTGCAAATTGCAGCCTTTGGCTCCGAAGATGCAACTCAGAATAGCTTCCACGCTACACAACGGACGACTAAAGATGCACATCGTTTCATGTAAGGATAGCTCGGCCCGCAGCCTCCCTCCCAATCATTGACCGACGGCTGTTACCGTTCTGAGCAGTTAGATGCGCTACGCATGGAGCACCGCAGGCCAAGCGCTGTGTTCACGGAAAATTACGTTCCCAAAAGGCGTAACTAATAGGCACAGGAGCGGCTGAATAGAGGGGTACGTAACTGCACGAGAGCGGGGAAAGAGAACGCCAGGTCAGCCCGCGTGACCTGCTACGCTACAACGTGCCCGGCGAAACGGCCACTTCCGCCAGAACTGTCAACTGTCGTCAGTCTTCGCTGCTGTGTAACCGGTTTCGGGACGAGCGCTACTCGCCCTGACTGGGCCACCGCGGTTAACTGCGGTGCAGTCTGTCTCACACCGCTGGCAATGGCCGACACGGAAACCAGAAGCATTTCAAAAACCACTTTCACTCGCGCCAAACGTCGCTGGTGCGTGTGAAACGCTCGCGGGCGCGCACAGTCTCAAGCCCAACTGCCCGGAAGCGTCCGCGTTTTCCGGCCACTGAAAACAAGGCAGAGGAGCAGGCGCTGAGGTTTAGTTTGCGCCGAAGAGGGCGCATGGGTTTTGCCGCTGAACAGAAATATTCCTCCGTGGTATTTGCAAACACGAATTTTTGATACCGGTCTAAAATGTTTCGGAACCTCACAGGCAGGAACAGAAGGTAGCACGTCATCAGTCAATTTTGAGACAGATTTACAAAACTCAATTGATCAAACCACGTTGAGGAAAATAAAATGGCACATTTTGACACGCAGTTCTGATATCCTAATTTTGTGTACTGCACGCAGTTGTTGCTGTGTTCTTCTGCCTTTGTGCTAACGATCTGTGAGGAAACTGGGTCCACTGCTAAGGAGCCGGTACAAACAATAAGGATCCGGTGCCCCCAAAAGTACGGAGCTCCATTACGATGCGTTAAAAACATTACATGCCAACTAACATGAAATTCGTGCAGCAAGGAAAATATGAAGCCAGTTGTACTAAAGGTATGCCAAAAGCTATCGATACGAACAATACATGTGGGCAACCGCCGAGACCGTAAGCTACGAGACCGTAAGATGATCCATGTTATACTCATGTAATTGACCAGCTATGCAGGAAGTATGAGATGAAGGAAAATAATGGGAGTTGACCTTTGTACCTATTTGCCCCTGCAATGCTCCTTTCAACTCGCTCCTGCCTAATCTTTTCCCCAGGCCTCACTTGCGGCCAGCAATCTGCTCAATTTAGGTCGTTGGTATTTGTCATAAATCCAGACCTAATCCGGCACGGGTCGAACCGCGTGTACAGAGGTGTCATGAAACGAGTACTCATAAATCTGTCTCCAGAGATGGCAAAATTAAGGACCTTATGTGGATGTGGCCTTGTGCACGGACATGGCATGTAAACATCTTGTTTCTTTAGATATTTTGCGGAATATTCTGTAACGACGTCATGTACTGTCCGTCTGATTTATGTGCGTGAAGGTTGATCCAATGCATGGGCGCATATGTGCAGAACGAAGACAACATGCGTATTTCACTATTTCCACTATGTGAACATGCCCAGGAGTAAGAGAGAATATTCGGATTTTTCCTTAACATTTTCATGAAATGTACTGGCTTACGCCTCACCCGAGCACAAAGTAAACACAACCTTAAGCGCATGCAAGCAGACAGGTTTAGCGCGCCCTTGCTATGTTGGAAACGCCGTAAATTGCTACGTAACACGCTCTTTATTTGTAAGGTGCATGTAGTATTTTTCCCCAATGACATTAAACCTTCAGTAGGCTAACAGCGAAGTGATGCAGTCCTGCTATCAGCATCATACCTAAGGTAATTGTGAACTGGCCATAAATTACAATGTTATTTGGAATTCTGTTAGTGGGCCAGTCCCATCTGTCATGGAGCATGGACAGTCACATCTGGCATCCCGACTCAGGATTCACCAAACCAGAGTGCATCCAATTCTCGAAAGTGCCGAAAGCCTGCACGCCGGCACCTCTCTGTGAATGCATGTTCGACGCACTGGTGTGGTGCCTCCTCCCCCACTTCCCGTGACTTGAACGTGCAGTCGCCACACCCTGATGTGGACAAGCTTTTCTGCCTGCATGTTATAACCATTTCTATCACGTGGCGTCATGGAATGCCCATTCGTTATCTTCGTGACAGCGGCGGTGCTCGACTCTAACGCGCCACAGATTGTCTCGCATCTTTCATCGCTGTCGCCGAGCCAGGGCGAGCCTTTCTCAGAGACACTCAGAGCACGCCTTAGTGATCAAATGCAGGGCCTACGCAGCCGACCATGAAGAGAAGGACGGGCTATCGACCGGACTGTACCGGCGCCACGCACGGGCGCCGAAGCTTTGAGCCGAAAACGCCCGCTGAAATTTAAGCTAATACTATGCGCACATCAGCCCTCGGAGAGAGTTATGTTTCCCTTAGGACTCCTGTTTGAAATGCAGACCAGATAAGAAAAGAGTATGAAGATGAGGAATGGCCCCTGCACGGTAAGAGATGATTGTGGCAACGCAACACTCTGCTTTATGTACAGTCTGTCGGGCCGTCTGTGCGCATGTCCGTCTCTCCGTTTCCCTGCTGGTTCGCTTCTTGGATTGTCCTCCGTCAGTCGGATTGTTTCGTCTACCGAACTTCCATCCGCGGAGTATTTGCAGGACCGCTGGAGGCGCACGAATCATCCGTCCGTTTCTACGGATGACGTTGATTACACAGCATCGCTTTCTCTCGCTACTAAAAGAACAACTCCAGACCTACCAAGACACCGTCGCCGCCGGACAGCGTCGTCACCACACATACATTCGCCGACATAGCCGGCGGTTGCTGACGTTCACACACGCCACAGCGCCAGCCGCAGACAATGCCGGCCGCGGACAAATTGTCCAGATGTCCCGCAATAACTGCGACGATAACGGGCACGCCCCGCTCGGCCTCATCAATCGCGCTGCGAAGGCGGGCATTCCGTGCGAATGTAGCTGACGTCGGAGAACAGCGTCGCGGCCTCTGGCGGCTTGACTCTGGACTGCGAATCGCGAGGGCCGGAACTCAGGACCGGCACAAGCTCCAAACACCGCAGGCTTGGCCACTGCTGATTTCTGCCGCCGTTTCGTGCTGGTTATTTGACCCATAGCCTCGTGCTCACAGCGTCACGAACTGTTATGAGTGGCGCTCGAATGCGGATGAAAATGCGAGCTATATGGGTTGACGAATGGGCGTCATTACATGTACCGTGTGCCAGCAAGCACGCTCCTCAGCCGCCGACTGCTTCTGGCTAGAGGGCTTCCAGCAATAAGTCCTCCGATTCTCATAAACATGCATGAATGAGACCCGTGGTCCAATGCAAAGGATGGCTCCAGATCGTTTGGTAAATAGTGCACCGCCATTAAATTGCTTGCAATCAATCCAAGAAAAAGACAACAAGTGTTTCAGCGCACGAAACCCATCAGAGGATGCTTTGAGCTTGGTATCTCAAAGCGAAGGCTAAATCAAACAAGCCAGACTGAAGCAGCGCTCGCCGACCAAGACACCACCGCCTTAGAACTGTCCAACTCGAAGCTCCTCGCAGCACAGTCAACCCGAAATAGACTCGACGCGGGACACCATTCACACCATGCCGCGCTCATCCATCCAGAGTTGACTGCCACGAGCTGGAAACACCCAGAATAGCTGCCGCGCCGACCGCCACCCCTATCGGCCCGAGTGCCGACGCCAAACAGAAGAGCGATGGCGGAAGAACCATTCGTCGTCGGCCGACTCGCCGCGCTGTGGAAGTCGGAAACGCCAGCTCCATGAATACAACACACGCCTATGAGGCTGAACCGGACGGACGACCTTGGGGCCGAGCACGGCTAGCTCAGAGATGCGCACGGAGCGACGCTGCCGGAAGCTGGCACGATTGGTCACCGTCCACCGTCGGTTGGTCTGTCTCTTCCCTTCCTCCCTTCCGTCCGTCCCTTCCTCGGCCATACCGCCCCTTTCTCGACCACGCCGTCCCTTTCCCATTCCCCATAGCACCCCTTTGAAAACCCGCTATAAGCTTGCAAAAGGCGCCCCGGGCCACTAGGGCCAGTGCCGCACGGTGACGTCAGACGCCAGTGTGACGTCAGACGTCCGCGCGGCGTCAGTGCCTCAGGATGCCCTCAGCGCGACGTCAGGCGTCGGTGCGACGTCGTAAGTCAGCGTGTTCTCCCACATCAGCGCGCCACCAGACGCCAGTGTGACATCGGACGTCCACGTGGCGCCAGACACCAGTGTGACAGACATCAAACAGGCGTCAGAAGCCGGTGTGACATCATACATTGGCATGCCGCCGGGCGTGCGCGGCCCCCCGAGTGAGACGTCTGTGTGCCGTCAAACATCAGTATCGTCAGGCGTCAGTGCTACAAGGCGTATACAGGATTTCGCCAACTTGTTTTCACATACCTACCACAGCCACTGAATTTGCGCGTATTTCAATATGCATCAAAGCTTTCACAAAGTTGTCAGGTGGTGGTCAGGGGAGGGGAAGGCCCGTGTCCCTGGTGGGTGGTGTAAGACGCCAGTCGACGGTGCCGGCGCCGCCGGCGACGCGTGCCGCCGTGGCGCGGCTGGGCCTTACCTCGTTGGTGTTCCAGCGGTGCCGCTGACCGGGCAGGTGGTCGGTGCGTGGCACGCTGCCCAGGTTGGCCGGCACCGGGCGACACTGGTCCTCATCTGGAACCGGAGGGCGCGGGTCAGGCGCCGGCGGGCACAGGGCGGCGCTGCGCACCTGGCGCGGCACGCGGGCGCCCGGCGACAGCCGGCCGGAGCTCGCCACTCGGGGGTCGAGGCTTGTCGCGGCCAGCCGCCGTGCTTGTCGCGGCCGCCGCACGGGCTTGTCGCGGCCGCCGCACGGGCTGTCGCGGCCCGCCGCACGGGATTGTCGCGGCCGCCGCACGGGCTGTCGCGGCCGCCGCACGGGCACGGGCTGACGTTCCTGTGTCTCTGTGGTTTACAATCATCAGAGGCATCCAGATTTCGCTCGCACGTGTGAACAAAGCGAAGCGGTTTGTGTCTTAAAAAATTTGCACGAGTTCAGATGCATGAATCCGCGAATGCAAATGCATCTGAAGCCAAATCCAAACCAAACCAAGCTGGAGATAATCGTGATCCTCAATTTCTGATATGTGGCCATTTCCGATACGTTCCCAACCTTTATGGGGATTCCGGAATCCGATGCCGTATTTTAGACGAGGGGAGGGCGATCCAATCGACCACGTAACAGAACCATTTCGTTACGGGAATGTGAAGCAGTCGATTCCGCACCCGCGGGGTCCCGTCCCATGAGAACCAGCCGCGCCAGGTAACGACAAGGCGGCTGATAGGAGCCGATGGCCCCCTCACGTCGGAAATGGCGCAAACCGCCCGATTTGCGGTAGCCCATTTTGCGAGAGACCGAAGTTTACGACCCCGGCGCTCTGTTCATCAACAGACGGCGTAAACGCACCGCGCCCGTTGCCATTTCGGACCGACTGGCGATCTAAGGACAGCCACCACTAATGCTGCTCCTCAGGGCAGACACAGAGCTAGCGCCGAACACTCGGTGACGGCTGCACGCGTTAGTACCCCGCATCACACCATGCCGTAACACTGTGCTCTGCCGCGGCCGCATTACAAAGCTGGGGATAACATTCGTGGACTAGGTCAAAAGGTCAGGGGGTACACAGGATTCAGGGCACCAAATGTGGCATCACCGCCTTCAAAATCGACACGTATTTCCCCACGCGCGGTTGGCTTTTCAGCGATCATTACTGACTGGCTATTTGGTTTCCGAACTGTCCGTGCGGCGCACTGTACTGCACGCTGATAGCGGCGACAGCAAAACAGACAGCGGTCGCAGAACTCTCGGCTGCCGTGTGTGGACAGACATGAACGAGTACAGTCCGCCGAGCCGAAGCGTGTCTGTCATAGACAGCAATCAATGGAGCAGTTTGAAAAGAGTCATTGACTACTCCGCAACTACCATTTCGAAGATGAATCATCATGGTGCTGGTCCTTAATCACGCCAATCATCGCGATAGATGCAAGCACGTCATCACCGCGGGTCGAGTGGGCCGACAACGTGGCCACCTTCACCTGCCCTACTTGCCGGGTCTCCAAGGGAAGGGTTTCTGGAGGGGGAGGTAAGAAGGTAAGTGGCTGGGTCCCTTGGGAGAGCAGGGGGGGGGGGGGGGGGGCGCAGCAGGCAGCCATGCGGCCGGGTCTGCTGGAGGCAGCCCCACTGGTGGGGCTCATCTCCAGCGTGGGTCGTGTCCTGGCGTCGGTCTGGACCACCGGACCGACGTCTCACCGTCCCGGTACAGTCAGCGCCTGTCACTGCCGGGCCAGCGACCCCGCGAGGCCATGCGGGACTCCGCGCGTCGGGAGCACACCGCGGGCCGCTACGGCTGCCGCCTACTGACCTCCTTTGCAGCAAATACTGCTCCAGTCAAAACGCGGCGGACTTATCGACGAAAGCAGACGGCTGACAAAAACCGGACTACGCGAATCAGGAAGAGTGCCGCAGCTGTCTGCAACGTGATAAGCCGGCGCGGCCAGGTACCACACCGGCGGGCCACTATAACGAGCCGGCGGGTCCAGTTTAGGTAAGTGACATTAAAATCGCTGCGCTTTGCTAAGCACAGGTCGGCAGGCGCCTACTTGCTCACACCTGAATCAGCCTGCACCTTATAGAGTCCCTAACATACTTCTAGAGGAGCCGGTGGGCATGCACCTGTACACGGCAAGGCCTTCGCGTGTCTAGCCAAATCACCGCGCTCGAGACAATGCAAACGCAACGACGTTGCCACCCGCTGGAACAAGCGAATATGAGACGACACTCATCCCAATTTCGCAGGTATAGTGCGCCCCCCGGACGAGATCCGCCAAAGAATGGTATCCCATCAGGTCCTGCTTCGAGAGCTTCCGTCGTTTCCCGGAAGCCGGCCAGTAATTAAGTTTCCGAGTTTCCGCCGGTTCGGCGGACGCGGGCTGAACGGCCGCGCTAAAGGGTGCTCGGCAGGGAAATTAATACGGAGCACGCCGACGCCGGTGCCGACTCCCGGGAACGGCGCCGGCGCGCCGGACGAGCCCGCCGGGACCACGCGCCGAACGACGCCGTGCCTCACGCTCGGCGGACACAATACGGGCTGACGCGGTCACCGGGTGGGGCTGTCGTACGAGGTGGCGCTCGGCCGCGTGCTGCCGACACGGGCGTCAGTCGTCAGCAGTCTCCCGCGCAGCGATTCGGAGACGCGTCGCTGCACCGGCCGCTCGAGCGTCACCCTCGAAGCCGTCGCCCGAGCGGTGACCGAGTGGTGACGGGTGGTGACCAGTGGTGACCGGTGGTGACCGGTGACCAGCCCGCAGTGATGACCTGTGACCGGCCGGCGGGAAAGGGCCGTCGGACGGTCGCAGCGCTCGCTCCTCGCCACCCGCCGGCGCCACGCGCAAGCTCTAGCTCCAAAGCCATACCGCCCACGGGACGTAAACAGCGTGCGCCTCGTTAATTGCGGTCGGCTTCGAGCCGCGCCGCCCCACGCACACCGCCCACTAAAACCCCGGCCGCGTCGTCAAACAACGGCGCTGGGCAAACAACACGGCCTGTCTGTTCTCACGCACGCATCGGACACGCTGAAAGGAGAGCTGCGAGAACGGTATCAAGCTGAGCCAACAGACCTGCCGCTGCAGCCGGAGGCCGTACGGCGGCGGCCGCTCGGCGGAGAACGTCTCAATGCAGGCGGCGCAGGGCGATAAGCGGCGCTGAACCCACCGCAGGCAGCTCGTGTGCACACCGCCGACGGGTCGATCGCCGCCGCTACGCCCGACACAACGCCGCAGATGCCTAGCGCCCAGAGCGTCTCGCGTAAGGGCGGCTTACTCCGATGCAGAGCGCTCGAAAGCAGCTTCCATTATCATGCATCGCGTCCCGGAGCGGTATTGTAATATACGTCGCTTTGCATACCGCCAGCGAGCGCGTCCACCCGCTGGGCCGGCCCCGGCGCCAGCAGGCCACGACCGAAGCCACACAGCGCGCCGGGCGACCGGACGGCGCGGCGCCCGACGACCGGGCGCTGTTTTCCGACCATCAAGCCCTGACGACACGCGAAGCCGCCGTCTGGAGAGGCTCTACCTTCGTTACGTCCGACGGCGGCCGCGCGGCGTGTCGAATATCCGGGACGGCGCTTGGGTGCGCGGGGCACGGCAGCGGCGCGGCGACCATGGCCACTCCCCGCGCGGACGAGCCGTCACAAACGGTCGCGGACGAGCCGTCACAAACTGTCGCGGGCGGGCCGCCACAAACTGTCACGGACGAGTCGCCACAAACTATCACGGACGAGCCGTCACAAACTGTCACGAGCGAGTCGTCAAAAACCGTCGTGGACAAGCCGCCACCAACTGTCACGTACGAGCCGCCACAAACTGTCGCTGACGAGCCGCCACAAACTATCACAGACGAGCCGCCACAAACTGTCGCGGACGAGCCGCCACACACTGTCACGGAAGAACCGTTACAAACTGTCGCCAGCTCAGACACACAACGTGCCGGATACGGTACGCATGGCATCGTGTCGTACGCATCATCGCATCGCATCGTGGCACCGCCTAAATTCGCTGACCGAAGGTGTCTCTAGCACGTGGGCAACGTGCACAAATGCGCTTTTACACGGCCCTTTTCTACTATGCGCCAAGGTGCATGGCAAATTTAGTCTTCGTCATGCGGGACGGGCAACTATTCCAAAGCTTCGTCTCTATCGAATTATCGCACGCGGACGCTGTCGTCCATTCACGCACGTCGACTGACACGCCTTGACAATTGAGACGGGTGGCCGTTACAGACCGTCGCTAACTCCAATTTTACCCTGGCGATCGCGGCAGACATAGATCCGAAAACGCAGCTTTCGCCAACGGCACAGGACTGAGCCAATCGAAACAGCTTCATCCGAGGGAGGGCTTGTTACCGGCCCGTAACGTGGTCGGCCATCGGTTTCCATGCTTCACTTGACCACAATGGTCGCTCACGATACAATGGCCGACCAGCCCTTAACAAAACGCTAGCCGGCGACACTGTGTCCGAAACCTGAATTCGGATTGAGTTCTGTGCGGGCTAGACCCAAGAAGCACCGCCCCACTGTACGGAGCCGGCGAGGTCACAACGCGGGGCTGGACAAAACTTGCCTGTCGATTCTACTAACGCCAAGCAGCGCCGCCCATCGCGAGACCGACGCTGCCGACTCCCACCCGTGCGGAACCGACCCCGCCCATCAGCAGACGGCGCCGTGACCTCTCGCTCGCGCGCCGGGGTCGACGGCCCGTGAGGCGCGGCGTCGCCAGGCCACCCGAGCGTATCGAAGACCGATCGGACCGGCGGCGGCCTGGCCGGCTCTTCGCGCACGCCCGGGGCGGCGGCGTCCAGCGCCGGCCGCCCTGGCCGACCGTCACGATGGCAGGCGCCAGCCGCATGGGCACTGGCGACCCGACGGGCAATAAACGGCGCAGAAGTAAGCTGAGATAATGCGGGCTGCTTTCAGCGCTCGTGCGAATGCGACTGCAGTGAGCGAGCGACGGTGACCGCGGAGAAAATCCACGGCTTCGTACCAGCGAGAAAATAAATTGCGATGTCGCATGCCGCCGACGCCGACGACGAGACCGTGCGCGTCACATGCCGTCGACGTCGCAGTGCCGCGGCACGTGCG